GTAGAAGGGATGCAGCTACCCTACAAAAATTACCGCAAGACAATCGCCCAAGCGGCTGCTGAGATATGAGCCTCTCAAAATCACTACTTTTGCAAAACAGCTTGAACACTCTTGACTTTTCACGTGGCACGTGCCACGACGGCCACTGAGATGTATCAAAAGTAGTAATTACGGAGTAGAAGGGATAGGGCTACCCAGCAAAAAAGACCGCAGGCCAATCGGTTCACCGGTTGCTGAGATATAAGCCTCTCAAAAGCTTACAGGCCGGGCCGGGCCGGGCCGCTCATACTGAGATTTTCTCGTTATATTGAAAAAAGACTCGCTTCGCTCGCTGCGCTCGCTCGCTCGTACTAATAACCAGTTCTCTATATACCCACATATACCGTGCTAATAACACTGCATGAACATTTGCGATACGTATAACGTAGGACTATTGATTGCCCTACGTAGTACCCAGGGGCGGCGGATTCGGGGGGGGGGGGGGGGGGGGGCAGGGGGGGCAGCTGCCCCCCTGGCAAACTCGAGGGGGGGGGGCAAAAGTATCTTTTTGCCCCCCCATAATTTGTGACAAAACTTAGACAAGAAACATATACCTGATTATTCCGTTCGATCATCGGAATAATCAGAAAACTTATATATGTAACCAGATGCCCATATACACTATCATACGTTGCCTTTCTTAAATGACAAGTGTTCGCGTTCAATTCAAGTTTTCCTCTCTTCAACCTAGTTTTGGAGACATTATAAGCGTCAACGTGACGCAGCGGCAACCCAGGCCTTCAGTGACCGCTTACAGGGGCGACGGATACGGAGCGGCAGAGGAGGCATCGTTCCCTAAGAAACTTCTGGAGGAGGGACAAACGTATATTCTTGCCCCTCCATAATTTGTGCCCTAAACATGAGGAAAATTTCCATAGCCTGCATGATATTGCAGCTATGCGCTCTTACAGTTTTCCCAACGGTGCCTTTTGAATATGTGTAAATGCTAACCATTTCCGCTTTATAGCATTTTTTGTCTTTTCAGATTCGATTTAGAGATATTTTTAGTGTGCAAGAGACCGCAACTCACACCCTCAGTGGTCGTTTGCCGCTATTTTGTACCTACATGAATGCCAAATCGCAAGCGAGCGGAGACGGAAGGGCTAGCCATTCGCTTGCGGGTAGTTAGGACTGATGAGCGCTCGTAATAAGCCACTCCCCTGATTTTTTTCGAGCGCAACAGTTTCCAGTGCAAGTAAAATGGTAAACGCCGAGGTCGTACACATTGACCACATTGACCAATGCACGGTATGACACCCAAAGGCCAGTCATCAGAGATCTGCTTTGGGCATTCGGAGGCTTGTGTGGGGCCAGTGTAAAAACTGGATGTTCACAGTTCAGTATCCGCTTTATTTCAGTATTCACTATTAAATAAGTAAAAATTAACGTTGGAAACTTTTGAGGGTTAGGGCACTGATCATTAGTGGGGCCCCCTCTGGCTAAAGGCTGGCTATAGAATGCAATACAGAGCATCGAACACGAAAGCAAAATCTAAGGCATTTTGGAAAAATGAGTATGCCCCGCAGCGTCCGATAACTACCACCTTCCAGTGGGTCAAGCCAACGGGGTCCAAGTCTGTAATGGCACTTAACGATAGCACTAACCTTGTCTCACTTTTCGTTGAAGTCAGTTCCGAATGGTTTCGGCGACAGACTGGCTGCACTGAGGTCGTTTGGTATGTGCAACTGTAATTAAAGCCACCTGAGGGCTGAGGCGCCCACACTAGGCTGAAGCTGGGTTGGAAATGCTTCGTCTTTGCAGATATCACTGGCCGCTGATTCTCGAGTGCCTGAACCGGTAGATGTCGTGGCAAAATTTGGTGTGATAATTTGGACCTTACCGCAGTCAGCGCACCCTAAAGTCTTAATAAAGAAACGCCCCTCCCCCCCCCCAGAGCTTCTGCATCCAGTCCACCGAATTCCTTCACCCTAGTCCGTCGCTCGACTCCCTCATCTCAGCCCTCCGTTCCCAGCTTGACGAGCGTTTGGGCCTTAGTTAAGCCTTGCTGTGGACTTACTGTAGGATAAACCCATCGAGACAGTCCTTAGCTAGTTTCAGTTGATATCTGTTTTAGAAATGCTTTTTAAAGGAAGGTTAACCCGCGCCCTGGTGGGGTCTGTTTATAACGCGACCTGGTGGGGGGGGGGGGGGGCTATTTTTTGCCCCCCCTCGTATCTCCGAAACTACTGGACGGATCCGCAAAATTCAAACGGCGTTCGAAAGGCCTGTCAAATTTGTCGAGGGAAACCAAATTTCATTGACCTAGGGGTCACCGATGACGTCACAGGTCAGGTCAAAGATGAAATGTTTCACCGTTCACGGGTCTTCTTGGGAATGCGCTATAACACCGAGGAAAACGCATTTTGTCGAGAATCAGCGATAGGGCGTCAGTTGCCTAGTAGATATGTTGCTATTAGAGGTCACTGACAATACCAGGTCAGGTCACAGGTCAGGTCACCAAGGGTCACAGGTCAGGTCACATGAGCCCAACTTTACTAAGGTTGTGTGATGCATGTTTTATGGCCAATTTTTCATTTCCAACACAATGGTGTTGGTTATAAGACTATCAGGTACGGCTTAGGTCACTTTCTGGTGAAGTTGAGGTCAAGGTCAGGTCAAGGTCAGGCCAAAAAAGGTCAAATTTTAAAGTTGATAGTTTTGCATAAAATGGGTATTGATTCGATGCAGCTCGTCACGGGGAGTCTAATGGTGGTCTTTGTTTTGCGCTACGGGGTCTAGAATTGCTAAAAATTGAGTTTGAAAATTTGACGTCATCAATTTTGAACAGTTTTTTCGCTATAACTTCGCCAAAAAAAGAGGTATCAATCTCAAATTTGGTATGTGGATGGAAGGCCGTAAGGACTATCATATATATTCCGGTTTTTGCAAAATTCAAAAAACTTTTTGGATTTTTCGATTGTTATATCCAATAAATATATTTTTTGGTTTTTGGGGGTCAAAAACCAAAAATTTCAAAAATCTGAGATAGCAGTTTTGTAGCCCTGTCGATTCTTCAACTTTTATGTTTCTATCATTTTTCTGTATTTGCAAAGCTATAGGCCTGACAGCTCTGCCCGCGAAACCCTTTTTTGGGTCGAAAACGGCAGAACATGACGTCACTCTGACGTCATTTCCGGCCAACCTATCATAGCCTTTGGAAAAATTTTTGGTCACAATGTGTAAAATTGATGTCCGGGAGGGTACTGAAAGTTTGGTGACGATCGGCGCAGCGGTTCTGGAGATATATCGAAAAGTCTGGAGGGGGGGGGGGCAAAAAATAGCCCCCCCCCACCAGGTCGCGGGTTAAACGGAAACCGAACGTAAAATGAACAGAGGAAATGGTAACGAGTTACCTCATTGAAGAATAGCGCTCGCCTACTTCAAAAGGTTTGGCACCGTTCTTCAAATCTGATTTGCGATCGGGTTATGGGCTATGGCACAATTTTTCCCATTGGAGCTTTTTTCTAATACAGGCTACAGCAATACGAAAATCGTTACATCGTCCACTGGCAGATCCAGGGAGCGAGCATATAAAGCAAATATTTACTCCCCCTCCCCTTGCATCGCGCGAAATAGACAAAACGTACCTTATGTTTCCTAATAACAAAACTTTTATCGAAATGTTTTTTTGCTTTATACTGTTAAGCAGACAGCAGTAGGTCCGTAAGGAATCGAAATCCGAGGAGTTTTTGGATTTTGGACACTTGGGGGGGGGGGGGGTATGTCCCCTACAGCGTCGAAAACGCCTTTCTGGATCCGCCTATGACATCGGGCCTGTTCCAGCGCCTCCAGTAGAAATTCTTGACTGGAGGCTCTACCAGAGGTTTCACTGGAGGCGCTGGAACGCAATCTGGAGATTTCTGGAGATTGGCATCACATATACTAAAAGAATGACGATTGTTCTCTCTTGAAATGCAAAATTTGTTTTCAATTTTATTAAGAAAGATTTACAAAATTATAGCAATGTAATTTTCTTTACATTCAAGTTGTAAAATAATCAGTCAAAAGTCCTTTGTTTACATTCGTGATTGTCACATGTGCACCATGATTGTAGACCAGAGCCTCCAGAGAAATTTGGACCTCCCAACTCTCTGGAGGCTACTGGAGGTTTCTGGAGCTTTGGCGAGAGCTTTCTGGAGCTTTCTGGAGGCGCTGGAACGCTCTCTGGAGGATTCTAGAGCTTTCTGGAGCTTGCTGGAGGTTTCTGGAGGCGCTGGAACAGGCCCATCATCTCGACTGGGATCTTGCCCCCCCCCCCCCCCACGCCAAAATCGAATCCGCCGCCACTGGTAGTACCTACGTATACTTGGTCATCCGTCATCATCATGTGTCGTACGATCTTTATCCATTACGATCTTTTGCATACGATCAACTTCCTACGATCTTTTGCCATACGATCATCTGCTTTACGATCTTTTGTCCGGTTACCATTTTTATGATTTGTCCACAAGCTCGTCAACCGCAAGGACCAGTGCTGTTTGTATGGTGGCTTGTATGGTGGCGTCATCTACAAAACCTCTGGTAGCGCCGCCACGAGTGGATCGGGGCTTCTGGGATTATTGGTTAGCGAGGCTACAGCAGCCTGGATACTGAGAGATGGTAAATACCAGACTGACTACTACTGAAGCTTTATCTGATTTTTGCTTCCGGTAAAACTTGTTGTTCACTGATATTTAGGATCGCTTCGTAGAGTTGTTGAAGACAACTGGAAAACAACAGATAACAAAATTTCGGCCAACCGGCATCGCCATGGGTTTGGTGCGATGCCATCTGTTGACATCGTTGACATCCATGGTAATGAAAGTAGTCTCGCCAGGGATGTCGAAACACATCCCTTTTATTTTTAGTTTTTGCAAAATACTTCTAAAATAAATAAAAATATGCATTCATCAAGGCGCAAAGAGAGTTGAATCTGGGTAAATATAAATATTATTCGGTGATCAATACAAATAGTAAGCATCCGCGTCGTAGACAAACACGGCAGCCGAATACTGCAGCGTGTGTGGTGTTGATGAGTTGTATGGGATATTTTACCGTGCTGAAGGTGAATGTATCTTTGCGAAGCATCAACACCATTGAAGATTAATTGGACATAAATTTCTAAGCAACGACAAGTGAGTATTTCGTAGATGTCGTCTGTAAATCGCTCGATGCTGGTGCGCCGGTAATGTATTCCGGCTTTATGGGGTATGTGGTACTGTGAGGTGGGGAATGTTTTGATTTCCTAATGCTAATTTTTCATTAACCCGCGCCCGGCTGGGGGTCCTGGATTTCCACGCCCTGCTGGGATTTCCACGCCCTGCTGGGGGGGGTGTTTGAACACCCCCCCCTTCTAACTCGGCTCCTGGGCCACGTAGCGATACGCCGAAGGCGGCGTTCGAAAGAGCGTCAAAAATAATGACGAAATCACTTCCGTCAATTTTTTGGTCAGGTCAAAGGTCAGGTCACCAGAGGTCATTGAAGGCAAAATTTCGCCGATTTCCAGGTCGAATGTCGAAAGTTTCCAAGAAGCCAACGCATAACTCGGGAACCAATAGAGCTACAGCGCCGCGGAAAAGCGCATTCGATAGCCCTATTAACGCCCTTTCTGAGTAATTCTCTCAGATTTGACCTAACGTCAACGGTTTTGCCTGCAGGGGGCAAAAACTGCAAAAATAGCCGATTTTTTCGGAAAGTTTTTCTGCAATAACTTTTGACCCAAGCATTGTACGAGCTTACTTTTACCAGCATCGTGTTCCTCTCGTCAAGACGCATCGAATGAACTATAACTTGACCTTGAAAGGTCAACTTGAAAATTTGACCTCAGGTCAAGGTCATGACCTGACCGGAAAGGGTCATGTTGCATATCAGTCGATCCGTATCGTCGAGCTGAACACATTAAGGTGTTTTCACCGCTTTAGCATGCCTCTATCAAAAGTTATTTGCGAAAAACTGTTAGATACCATTCGTGACCTAAGATGACCTCAGGGCATAAACAGGGGTCACGGACACCATTTTCATGTTCAGTGTGTCTAAACCACTTGTAATTCAGTGTTTGGGAGTGTTTATAATGTCTTTCGTCCAAAAGAGACGCATTTCAATTTTCTCCCATTGACTTATAATGGGGAGGTCGCAAAATTGACCTGACCTTAGGTCATCGATATCAAAATTCTGAGATATACATTTTGTACATGCTATTGCTCTTAGCAATCGCTGAAAGTTTCAAAGCGATCGGTCACTCGGTGTAGCTATGACAGACATTGAAACTTTTTATGAGGTGAGGTCACTTCAAGTGACCTGGTGACCTGACCTTGAATGACCTTGGTCTGAAATTTGCACAACATGTGTAGAATTGATGTATGGTAAGGTGTACCAAAAACGGCGGCGCTCCGCGCCGCCGTTTTTGAGATATTCGCGAAAAACCACAAGGGAGGGTGTTCAAACACCCCCCCCCCAGCAGGGCGCGGGTTAAAATGTTGAATTAGCCTTTCATTTGTGTTGAATGTCAATTATTCTGCTTTTATCTTAGATTCGGGACACAGTTATTGCTGCAGTTGTTTCTGCTTGCTGCAGTGATTCTAGCCACTAGGGTTAGCTTTGAATCTATCAACTCCCTGGCCTATAGTTTCTGCAGTAGGAGCCTAATAAGCTATATCAAGTAAGGGGCTAGATAATTGAGTCAGAGCATTCTGTTGATATTGTGGTCATGCGCTGCCTTAGTAATTTTTTATGAATGTGTAGCGAGCTTGAAGAGGAGACTCGGGTTCTTAATTTGTTCGACAAATTAAATTGCATAGGATTCTTGCCTGTTACTTACATTCATAACATGTTATCTATTTTAGATGTAAATTATATGCTTACCTGGTGTCAACATATTCTATATTTGACCTATTTTACATGAAACATTTAGACTTGATGTAAGTATATATCAACATATGAGACATGCAAAAAGACAAATGAACTAAATGTCTTTTGTTTGATTTGCACAACTTGCGAGCTTGTGAACAACTTGCACCCTTATAAGCTATATTAAAACTTATTTACTAGGTTGGGTGCTTGCAAGATTAATACCTAGCCAACAATGTTGAATAATTTGGTTTGACTTCCATAGAAACTAGATGTGCCTTAACAGATCTCTCGGGTGTTTACTAAGAGATGGTGAGCACATAGCCACTATTGTGCACACTATATAACACTCAATTAGATGTTGAACTCTGAATATTATGTCTTGAAAGTCTAAAGATATTGCAAAACTGCAAGCAATGCTTATTATGCATAGATATGTTAATGTATGCAACAGCCTCCCACCCAAAATTAAAAGCTATTTGGCATTCATGCTGTGTCATTACACGATTTAACAACCCAAACATTTAAAACAAAGTTCATCTAAAAAATAATATAGATTATGTAGGTACCAGAAGTTGCTTTGGACCAAAGTTGTGGAACACTATTATGGCACTAAATTTTCCATTACATGGAATACCACAGTCTAAAGAAATGGCAAAGAAAATAATAATTACATGTCAAAATATTTATAGGAGATACATCTATCACGATTTCCTACTTTTTGCATAGGTACCATACCTACAGTGCCTTTATGTATTAAGGTACCTAATGCCTACATACTTTCAAAAATGTTTGTTATTGCTTTAAATATTATGTATTTCTTAATTCACATAACATGGCTTAATGAACCATTTTTACCTCATGTAGGTACACTTATGTTTTATTTCACATTTATAGGTGTAAAAAATGTATGCAGGCAACCTAAGGTCATGTCACCAGGTCAAGTAAAATAGGTACTTATGCCCGAAAACTTTAACAATACCTGCACCATCTCCCTGAACTGTGAAATTCTGTGAATTGTATGAGAGCATTAGTTTCAACAACTCATGCACCTCATTTTGTTTTCTTTGGCCTGGGGTCAGCTCAGATTTAAGACCTTACCATTAAAAAGCAAAATGGAACAAGTAAGAATGCCTCATGCTTGGGACAAACATGCCAAATGTGCAAGCTTTTTCAGAAGCATGGCAACTCTACTCATGTGCAATGGACAGGGTGCAGCTGATGACCAGGAGTCACTGGACTTTGAAGGTCGTGCTGGGTCAAGTTCCGAGAGCTTAAAGCTGGCAGACCTTGCCTTTGATTCAAACAGGATCTTTTGACTCCAACCCCATTTTCAGGTCAGGCTAGGTCACTGAGCGTTGATGTCATGAATGGACCCCCGCTTGTTCCTAAAATGTCGTAACTCCGCGACGCCGTTAGTGCCAGAGGAGCTTAAACAGAATGACAGTAAGAACATAGTAACCTCCTGAAGCTTCACAACTTGCATGTCTAGGATTTTTTTTTCTTCTTAAGATCACATGAGGTCAGGCTGGTCATGTGACATTGTGACATCATGATTGCAAGCGAGGATGCTTTACGTAGAATTGCAGAAATTTCTGAGTATTAGCGGCCGGCCGGCCGGCCGTGGGGACGCTTTTGCGAAGCTTATTCCCCCGCAACCACTAGACCGATTTACTTGCGGTAATATTTGTAGGATAGCTTTCTTTCTCCAAATATTCTACCAAGTATTGGACTATTCCTGTCTCCTGGTGCACGTGGGTGACCCCTAATGCACGTGCCATGTGCAAAACGAAGATGGGTCAGTTTTGTAACAATTGCAATAATTCAGCAATTACTGGGCCAGTTGCGCCAAAACTTGGCATGTGGGTAGGCAACCACCTGGCAATGCATATCCCTACGTCACAGTTGGGTTACTACTGGACGTGCGCACGTGCAGGGGTCGTTTCTAGATCTCGAGAACGGCTGGGCCGATTGCGTTCAGATTTGGTTTCCGGACCGCGAAATCGTCTATTTTGGCAGTTTTTGCCCTCTGCAGGCTAAACCTCACAGGGTGTCCCGAAATTGATGCGCGGTTCTTCTATCATCATATCTTGTAAAGGACTTGAATTTGTTTCATGGCTTTGTATGTTATCATAGCCCCCATTCAGTCGTACTGCCATTCACATTGCCTTTTACGCTCTGTCGTGTCACACATCAGGCTGTCCAGAGTCTCCTTTGAAACTACGCCATGCCGTTTATACGTTCTGAAGCAGCGTCTTCTCTGAACTGGCCGGTGGAAGCTTGCTGAGCTCTTCTCTGACGATCGTCCAGAAGACTTCCTGGCGTGATGGCCCTTTCTGGGACCTTTCTTGCTGGAAAACGGCTCTGGACATGTCTGGCACAAGTTTGGCTTTGGTGTTTAGCCATTTTCCTTTTTCGTCTGCATCTTTGTGGCGGCAGTCTTCTTCAGGACCTCGATGACATAGAGATCAGCAAACACGGTCTGTCGTCGCGGCGCTTGGTGAAGCTCTCAGAGAGGCCTTTGTAGCTTACCATGCCCCAAACGAGAATCTTCCGCGGATCTTTCACCTTCTCGATAGCTGGCTCCTCAGAGCTGCTGTTGGACCACACCTGGTTGTCGGGACGGTTAGGGACTTAAGAGAGCACGTAGGGGCGCCTCGTCACTGAAAAGGACGCATCTCCAGTCCTGAATGGTCTAGTCTTTGTGGGCCTTGGCGAAATCCAGCTGCCTGCACTTCGAGACCACGGTAAGCCAGGTCTGCATCCTGAGCTGAGCAGCTTCAGTTTCAGGGTAGTCTTCAAATACCGGTGGGTGGTCGATTTGGATGCTGGGTGATGCCTCTCAGTCAGGTATCTTACTAGCGCCCATGTTGAATGATGCTTTCTAAAGGTCGGCTTCGCAACCACGATCTTCGCCCCTGTTGTTGTTGTGTTGTCCCTCCAAGCTCTGGCGAGCTGTAGCCTAACGGCTCTGGAGGTACCTGTTTTTGCTCTCGACGGAAAACCACTCTAGCTAGGGGCTTGAAATTTGGTGACTTTTCCTTGCCGTTCATTGGGCACACTGTGTCAAATTTTTGAGTTTCTAGCTTGCGCAGAGGCGTCTCCAGGGCGAGTTTCTCGGGGGTAGTTTTGGCCCAGCTTTGACTGTGCCGACATTTACCGCTAAGCAGCGACTTGCTTAGGTTTGTTATGGTGATCAGTAGCACCCCCCCCGTCATATGTATGCACCTAAAGACTATGTGACGTCATTCTACAATGAAAATAAAATTGGAATAGGCGGACCCAGGTACCTGGTAAAGGGGAGGGGAGGGGTAATCTCAATATACTGCCTCCCAGTCTTAGCATGCCTGAACCCGCCTATACTTAACGAAAACGTGTATTTTGTGCTCACGTTGCATATTTTACATGGTATATGTATGCCATCATGTCATTAGACTTATGACATACCATGGCAAAAACTCAAAACATCATCCCAAGTTAAGTTACCTGAATCCGCCTATGATTTTTGAAATATCCAAAATGCCGGAATATATATAATAGACAAGTTCATGAAGAAGGGTCCCCTGAAGTTTTATCAAAATCGTTAAAAAGATAAAGAAGTTATAGCATTTCTAGTGATAAGGGGGGCATTCCACGATAGATCGTACCACTTTTTTCCAATTTGACACCCTTATCTCTCGGATTTTAACGATAATTGGTCTAAGGGGTAATCAGGGGCTCTGAATCCTCCTGTGACAATTTCAGGCATATCAGATGAGTAGTTTTTGAGTTATAGTGTATAACATGTTTTGGATCTTGCGTTGCAGCGCCAAGTTTGGCGGGCTGTAACTCTAAGACGGATAATCCAAATGCCAAATGCTATACGGCATTGAACTTGCAGTTGCATTCAAACAAAGAATAATATGCATTTTTTAAATTTTTAAGTATAAACTATTTTTGATATAAAACACCTCGAGCTTCCTTTCATTTAGATTTTTATGCCCTTGGGACCAATTTTTTTTTGAATTTTTATATTCTTAAAAACATTTTTGGATCATTGTTGAGTAGTATGCAAAAAATTAGGAAGCTGTTCTTTCTATAAATGTACTTATTTTGCGTCACCGTAATGGTCTCAAATTGTGATTTCGGGAAGAGAGCCTGCAAATGGCGTGGTAAAACTGCCTAGTGACATCACTGGTTACTGAAAGTTCAATTGAAGTCATTTGTGCCTCACTTTTGCATTGTTGACCTTGCGTGACGTCATTCGTACGTCACTAGGGTCATAAGAGTTTTTCGTCAATAACTCTCGATCAAATTGAGCTAGAGAGACGGGAAAGCTACCAATGGACTAGGGAAGATCTTGCGAATCGAATGATGTGCAATATGATCTCATTCACCCAGCTTCGTGGCCTGACCCGACTGTTAACCATCTCTGTGGCGGCGCTGTTTGTCCAGCGCCGCGCTGGTTGTCTTTGCCGCGGACTCGGGGCGGTCACGTGATGCCCGGGGGCTGGCTGCCGGCTGGGCCGTCCGGTCGGAGAGTGGAGCCAAATACACGGTAGTGTGCTGACCCGCGGTCAGCGACTTATGCTGACCTCACCAGAACAAACAGTATACCATTCGACGCGCCGGAGCTAGGCAAACACAAAGATGCTAAAATCGCGGCTCTGCGACCATTTGTTGCGAAGTTATCTATCAAAAACCGGACCCGTAATTTGGGTCACTTGAAATGACCTCAGGGTTCACCAATGAACCCGAGACCTTAAAATGTGGTATCATTCGATGCATCTTGTAACAGCGCACATGCTCGTTTTTTCCGCAAGGTTCTAGATCCATTAGAGGCGAAACGGCGAGCTGGGGTCGTACCGACCCCTCGGAAACCCATTTTGTATGCATTAAAATGAGGAACTTATAAAAAGAACACCTTTCTAATTTTTTGCATGTCGATTTTAAATGACCTGAAGTTTATTTTGAAGAAATAAAAATGGCAAAAATTTTGGTCCCAATGGCAATTATAGACAATTTAAAAAAATATTACGACTTTTTTCAATAGGTAAAGCTTTTCTTTCCAATTTTAAGAAAGCTGTATTAATCTTTTATTCATCGTTAGTTCAAAGCTGTTTACCGTTTGTTGCTTGCTTAGCTCGTTTTTGAGTTATAGCTAATCAAACTCACCCTTACAATCTGAAGTTTAGAAAATATTATGCAATATAACTCAAAAAGTTTTCATCTGAGAAGTCTGATATTTTGGCAGGTGTTTTTGGAGCCTATGATTACCCCTAGTACCAATTTTCATTCAAATCTGAGGGATGAGGGCGACGGGCCTGGTACGATCTATCGTGGAATGCCCCAAGGTGTAAAACGCGATTTTTTTCGAAATTTTTTGCTTCCAGGACCCCCTATTTTGGACTTTTTTGATTTTTAAAAAGTAAATCTTACGATGAGGGCGATCGAATGGCTTTTGTCCCATTAAGATCGGACTTTTAAGTTTTCGAGATATCAAGGGGGGGGGGGTGAATCCCCCCCCTCCCACCAGTTAACGTAGTCCAGAAAGCCCACCAGTAATAGGGTTAAGGCAGTCTCTCGCCCTCGACCTATGCCGTTCTTGAGTGTCTCTCCTGATATTTTGCGGGCCATCCAGCGTTTACCTAATTGTCGCAGAGTTGACGCCCAGGCAGCCCGAGCCTGGGTCGCACCTCCCTTGGCCACCCCCACCGCGCGGTGGCGAAGCAGTGGTTTGTGCTTTTTCACTATTGGCCATATGCAGTCTCTCCACGTTGCCTGTATGGACAAGAACGGCCTCTCGCGCCCATTACCGGCCGAGGTCAGGTCAGCCACTGGTGTCATGTTATCGTGTGACCAGTAAGTTACCCCAGATGCCGGAGCCGGCAGAATTGCATTTCTTCAGCACTCGGGAGGGATAGCATAAAATGTGACAGTGTGACACCAACCGCGCATTAATTTCGGGACACCCTGTAGCTCAAATCAAATTTTAGCGAATTGCTCAGAATGAGCGATAAAGAGCTATCGAATGCGCTTTTCCGTGGCGCTGTAACTCTATCCGTTCCTGCACTATGCGCCGGGTCTTAGAAAATTATGGAACTTTGACCTGGAAAGATGTGAAATTCTACCTTCGGTGTCCTCTGGTGACCTGACCATTGACCTGACCTAAAAGGGACTAAAGTAATTTCTTCATAATTTTCGACACTCTTTTGAACGCCGCTTACCGCGTGTCGCCACGTGGCCCAGAAGCCGAGTTAGAAAGGGGAGGGTGTTTACTGTTCAGTGTTCACCTCTCAGCAGGATGTGGAAATCCAGGACTCCCAGCTGGGCGCGGATTATTTGTTTTGAATGGGCTGATGAAGAGCTATCGATTTCTTTTCCCACGATTTTTAATGTTTGCTATTTTTTATACCTTCTTATTATTTATTACGGAGCGAGCGAGCGAGCGAGCGAGCGAGCGAGCGAGCGAGCGAGGGTAGTCTTTCCTTAGATTAAAATGACCTCCCACCTTAACATTAGTTTTGAGTTGAGATAGCTTAAATGGGGTCCCTGGCTTGCACTTGGTTTGTGCACTCACAAGATCGAGAAATGCCTCAAATCGAAAAATTCTCATTTCAAAGTTGCAGCACTTGTAATCAGAGGGGCTAATGCATTAGAATGCCCCCTCTGAATGTGTTACGGCAGCGCAGATCTAACGATTTTAAATCTTTTACTTAAACGTGTAGTAACACGCGGTGGTATATGCTGCTTTGCGCGCAACAAATGCCGCACTTTCAAATTAAGTCGCTAGGAACAGCGGAGATCCCAAAAGTAAACAAAAGTAAATGTATGATGTCTTGAAAACCGGTGAATATTTTTCGATGAAATTTGGTAGCTATTCGTTTTCGCCCTTTCTGAACCGAGCGACATTACTTTCATGCCAATTCATTAAACGAGATACCTATAAACCTCCAAACCGGCCGATTGCTCATATTCAGATCTAGAAGCTAGCTTAACTAAAACATGGAAGTGTTCAGCTCTATTGAACAACAATGTTGGTGAAGGGGGGGGGGGACGAGACAGCCTAACATATTGTGTATTGGGTACCCGTTGAGCTCTTGGCTGGTTATAGGTAACTAAAGGGAAGGGATTGTTGAAGTTGTTTTCTTGTGAGTTCAAAACAAAAACAAACTGTCAGCGGTAGGCGCATGCATCATCAATAGGCTGGTGAAATTAAGTCTGCAAGTGGAGCACCCTGCATTTTGAACCGCGCACTGTTGCGCACTGGTTACTGTGAACAGTGCCATATTGAGCATTTCTGAAATGCTCCGCTGTTGCCCCCGATATCGCGGTCTGACTTATGGGGTTGATAGCGATAAGAGTCCAAACAGTTGGTCACAGCGCGAACAGTTGATTTGGCACCGCGATTACAGCTGACTAATGGCCTACAACGGAGGACGTGGGTCCATTCAAAACCACCACTTAACCTAATCCCAGCTGCGAGGGACAGGGATTGAGCGCCATCGCATTAAAAAAAGAAAACTTAAAAACGGTGCTTAGTGCCACCTTTTTTGGCACAAGTTGGCCCTTTTTCACAACACGCTGCTACCTGATGCTATCAAGTATTGACGTTCAGTTTTCATGGAAGCGTAGATAATTAAAGTACAGTTAATGAAAATAAATATAATTCCTGGCGCTGAATGCAATAACACGACCTTGACAATAGACTAAAACGTGCCGTTAGCTAATCATGGCTTACGGTCGCCCTTGTCTATCCCTAACCGCGTCACTCGAGCGCGGGCGCGGATTTCGTGCGTCAGCCGGCTCAGCGACGGTGCCAAACGACCGGTGGTGACGTCGCTTACGACCATCGGGTGACGTCATACTGCTCTCCCGGCGTCGTGTGACGTCACTCTGCTCTCCGGCCGCCGCCGTCGGCGATCGGCCGCGCCATCCATCGGCGGCGGCGGCGACACGATGGGTGTGGCCGCGAGCCGCGCACCAAGCACTTAGACAGACTAGGTAGGCTGGGATAGGTTGATACCTACATAGATAGGCCGGGATGAGCCTGACGATCTTCGCCGGTATCATCTCCATCACCGACTGACGGCTGTGACTGACCGGCAGGCAGGACGGCAGACGGGGACTGGCCGGCGTGAGAGCAGCGAGCGAGCGTGCCGGCGCGCCGCGCTCCCAGCAGAGACCAGCTGGCCCGACTCAGCAACCGTATGACGGTCGCCATGCGCGGCGGCCCGGCCGAGCAGCCGCCCGGGCCCGGCGGCGATCCCAGCAACAACAACACGGTCAGTGGCCAGCACGGCGCGCCGGCCGACAGCACGTGGTGTGTTCCGGGGGAGCGGGAGGGGGACAGACGTGTCCGTGGGAACGCTGGGTGTGTGTGACGGCGCGGCCGGCCCTCCGACGGCGCCTCGTCTGCCGGCGGAGACTGGGAGACGGAAGGCTGTCGTTTCCGTGCGCGGTCCCGTCTGCCGGCACGCGATAACGGCGGAGCGTTGGCCTCCCCGTGGCATCTGCCGGAGTGAGTGGGGCGAGGGGTTGAGGGTACACTTCGGTCCGGGGGTACGAACTTTCGTCAGCCTGATCTCGTCAGTCTGACAGGGTTATTTGTACACCCCTAGGAATGAGGGAAGTAATCTGTGTGCCAGTTTCTAATTCCCGCAGCGCAAAATGTGAAGTTGGGAGGGGTAGGGATTTGCGGCTCCCACGGTCGGTGTGCCGCTGAATGAGATGGGAGTGTCACAGGGCTAGAGGGAGGGCCTTGCCTCTCCCGGTGGTATCACTGTCCTTGCAGTTGGGTGACAGGTGCACCAGGCTGATCAGCGCTGACCGTGGTTGCTGCCTCCTGCAGGGTGGCGACTCTGAGCCTCCCGCGGGTCCGCCGGCGGCCGGCGGCTCGGCAGACGGCGGCCCGGAGCCGGCCTCGGACGCCGAGCCCGAGTTCCCGGTGGCTGAACTGGCGCGGCTCGAGGAGATGATCTCTCGGCCGCGCTGGGTGATCCCGGTGCTGCCCGGCGGCGAACTGGAGGTGCTGCTCAACGCCGCCATCGACCTCTGCAAGCGAGGTGAGCGCCGAACGGGACGAGCGCTCGCCGACGGCCGCGGCTCGCGTGCTTAGTGCATTGCGTTGACTAGGCTCGTTTTGTGATCAGCTGGTCGTAGTCGATCAGTGCGGGCATGTGATCAGTGAAATGGCACATCGATGAAAGTGGCGTAACAGTTAGTGGTAGTAGTGGCAGAACTAGAAGTAACCCATAGCGTTTTTACTCAGCTGAAGTTAGCGCGATATTGCTGTAATCTGGTATCTGAGGCGACAGCGGGCGGGTATGTCCCGTGCCCCGCGCCCTGATGTGGTGTGAGGATAGAGCGTTCTTATCAGTCTCACCAGCGGGTGTCTCACCGGAGTACTGCCGGGGATAGACAGATGTGCTGCTTAGATGTGCAGTACAGCTGTTCAGATGTACAGATATGCAGCAACACGGCTTACATTTGCTCGGGCGGTCGTGGCGACAGCTTCTCTCAGCATCACAAATAAATAATTCCGGATTTGAAAATAATTTCTGGATTTTCTGAAAATATTTTTGGAAAATAATTCTGAATCTAGAAAACATAATTCCCATAGAAAATCTTCAGATGCTGCACTATTCGAGGGATGAACGTTTTCTGTCATGTAGCTCATAACGACGTGAGTTCAAAGTATTGTCAACAGTGGAAGGTCAATCAGTCCTGCTTTCTATAGTGATTACAGTATGCTCTCAGTAATACGGTTATGTTATCCTCAGTGACTACCCCATCCTCGTCCTTGGTCACCCACCCCTGTTTCGGGCTGAAAGTCACATCCGTTGGGCAGCCAGGTCGAACGGGTCGCCCGTGCGTTAGGCAGTGAAGTAGCTTGGCGACTGCCGCGCATCCAGCGGGCACCCCGGTGGGGACAGGGCGCCGTTGGCACCGAGGAGATGTTTGTAGTCGGCCGTTTGGCGGAGAGGAACGTTCCGCCCACGCGCCGCCGGAGGGCAGGGGACGTGGGTAAACGGGCTGCGTTGATGCCGGCGGAGGGGCTGTGAGGGTCACGGGCTGAGACCGCGGGTTTTCCGGGCTTTCGACAGCAGCGAACTGCTGGAACGGGCTCGGCAGATGGGATTGGGTGAGTGGGAGATCGATGGTAGGCGCGTTTAATCGTCTGCACCGTGTAGGAGGAGAGTGCGCTCTGGCGGTGCCAGCCTGGATTGATGCCCGAGTGGCGCGGCCGGCCGTCCTCTCGGATAAATATCGATCGCTGTCGGCGGAGTGTTATCGTGCCAGGGCCGGCACTCGCCTCACCTCAGACGGACCGCACGGCGCCGCTGGCTGACGTACCCCTTTACCCTGTGTGCCCGTGTTTGGCAGCCAGCAAGCAGGCTGTCTGGGGACTTCAGGAGGCCTTACCGAGCTGGGCTGAGTTGATATCAAATCTTATTGAGGAATGAGGGAAATGACAAAGGCATAGTATAGGGAATTGAAATGGTCCGTGCCCAACCAGAGTGGGCACTGGGCGAATTCATCGGATACTGACGGGTCGTCCGTCCACGGCTGTTTCAGGTCTGGACACACGTAGCGAGCCGTGCCAGCGCTTCTTCCGTGATGGGCTGACCACGTCGTTCACAAAAATTCTCACGGATGACGCCGTCAGCGGGTGGAAGTTTGAGATACACGTGAGTAGCGCGGCTGGAGCAGACAGAAGCGACCATCTCGTGGGTGGGGCCTTTGTGTCGTTCTGTGCCAGTAGACCCATGCTGTAAGAGCCCGGACACTGTTCCACAGCACGCCGCGATCCGACGCTACCAGGCACTGGCGCTAGGTTTCAATGGAAACGTAAGCAAAATTAGATTGTGCTTACGTTTCCATGGAAACCGAGCGCCAATGCGTGGTAGCGGCGGGTAGCGGCGTGCAGTGAAGCAGGGCTCCGGTCAGACACCGCTCTGGCTGGCTGGCGCTGGCACTCCCCCGCCCTCCCCCTCGGCCCCCCCCCATCGCCGTGCCGCCGGCGTTTAATGAACTGTGAAATGTATTCGAGAATGGGCCGACTAGTGACTCGGCAAATCGTCTCGAACTGAGTAGGCCTGGAATGTTTGGCGCCGGTCGCTTGGGCGATGACGTATTTAGTGTTTTGGTGATTATGTAACAGATCGTGGCCGTAACTGATATCATCTCTGCTTTCAGAAATGTATTAGCAAAAACTGTGAGCGGCTCATCGAGTTGTGTGTGACAAAGCTGAACGACGATTGGTTCTGTTTGCTAGATCTACTCGCCATGGTGTTCAACCCACAGAACAAGTGAGTTCGGGCCGCCGACTGCGCTCTACATTGAAACCGTATTGTGTATTTCGCAGAGCGAATGGGGTGCGGCCTGCCAAATCGGGCTGCGCTGAACGCTGCAAATGCTAAATGTTTGGAACAATCAAAATTTACACTGAAATGTTAGCGCGATAAGGGATTTTTGGCTAGCAAACTTCATTTCGGCATTTAAAGCTCCGTCCTTGTTGCCCCGGTTCGCGCTGTGTGACTGTTCGCCCGGTCAATGCTGTCCCCGCTCTGTGGTGCCGCACGCCCCACCGCCCGGGCCGGCCCAGCTGGTATAGTTCGGCGGTGTGCGATGTACGGCGCCGATAGCCGCGTTTGGTCGTATCGTGCCGGCGCTCACAGCGGTACGCTCACTTCCGCCGGCCCGTGAGCCGACCACGGGCACCCCTGGCCGCCCGTGTCGGTGGGGCGCCCCGTCCGCTGATCGGACGGGCTACTGGGAGTGGGAGTGGGTTCGCTGCCGCGTCCCGCTTTACTCACCGATAAGAGCGACATGCCACGCGTCCCTCTGTGACCGTGACCGCGGCTATCCGTAGCCGGGAACCTGACCACGACCGTTGGGACCCCGACCATGGCCGCTACCCGGACCCTGACCGTGGCCCTGTCGTGACCGCTACCTGGACCCTAACCGTGATGCAGAATATCCCACGCTATTGCCTATGACTTTCGTGACGAATGTCAAACTGTGACATGATGCCGACCGTGCTTTCTACCTGCCTTTATTGATACCTCTGATTAAACCCCTGATAGCGCGTTTAACCGTTCCTCTGAGAACGATGGCGACCTAAAGACCCGGCAGCGACTGACTGTGTCCCGGCGGCGACTGACTGTGACCCGGCTCGCCGCCAGGTTCCACACGTTTAACAGTACGCGGGCCTCCGAGTCCGTGCCACCGGGCGGCGGCGGCGCCCCCGAGGAGGTGCTTTTCGCCCGGCCGCCCGACCCGCGGATGCCGCGCGGATGGCTCGTCGACCTCATTAACCTGTGAGTGGTGTGGTGCGGCTCTAGGTCTGTTGACACACCTAAGATAACGTTCAATGTTTGGTCACAAGAGCGTAAAATAACGTACGATATACGTATTTCGCAGTTCGCACACTTTTTACTTCAAATCAGCTAAATTCATGGCTTCTTTTAAAACTGAGATATGCATTTGCGAATAAGCTTTGAGCATTCATATAGCTGGTGAAGACTAACTCTGGTTTCTTTGGTTTCTGTTTCTGCTGCCTTTAGTCTAAAGGAGTATGCCTCCGCTCAGTTCTAAGACGCCTCGTCTCCCCCTCCTCACCAGGTTCGGGTCGCTGGGTGGGTTCCGTCTGCTGTTGGAGAGGTTCCAGAGCGGCCGAGACCTCACCGTCATCACCATCTTCGCGCTGATCCGGCCCGTGGGCATGTGCTACGAACTGCTCACCGTGCATACCATCGAGAAGTACATACTGCCCATCGTGGTGAGTAGACCGACGCCCGGCCGGGCCGCTGTACTGCAGCTGGGGTGGTAACAAGGGGAGCCTGGAGCGAGCGGGGTTCTTCCCATTCGGTTCGTCGTCTGATGGTGTTATTAGTGGATGACAATCCGTGTCTGGAGGCTGGAGCATCGAGCGTTTATGAATGAGCTATTTTTCGGTGGTATGATGTTCATATCAAGTGTCCTTTTGAGGGATAGTCTAGGTTTCCATTTCCACCTCTACCAGCTGGTTAGGGCACATCCGGCTGTCACCAGTGCCGTTAGGGCTGGATTAGGCCACTGGCCGCAGCAGCTGACACCAAGCCATGGCTAACCACTGCGTCCTCCCGTCGCCCGCAGGAGATCGTGCCCACCTTCCTCGAGAAACTCTCCGACGACGAGCTCAAGAAGGAGGCCAAGAATGAGGCCAAAAACGACGCTCTCTCATCGATCGTCAAACTGCTGAAGGGGCTGGCCGGCCGCGCACCCGGTCAGGAGGACACGGTCAAGTCGCTAGAGATGTTCCGGCTCAAGATGATACTCAGGTGAGGTCGGCGTTATACGCAGTATGCGCGTTACCCGGCGGGCCAGGAAGGGGGGTGGGGGTCATGGTAAACCTGAACTTTGCTTGAATAGTTGCTAGTGCGTAATATGCTCTCCAACTTACGACGGAAACTGCGAATAAGTTATAACTAGTTTGTGAGTTATACCGTGCGCGGCGGTCTGCTTTTGGTAAATATTTTCATTTGCATCAGCCGACGTTATTCGTTTATATATTCGATTATGTTATTCGTTAAGTATATGCCACGGAATCATGCGCTGTTTGGTTGTAGCATGTAAAATATGATTTGCTCGGTAGATTTTCCGTCGTCTGAGCCTTATTTTATCAAGTGGGGGATTTCCCTGGTCTGTCCGTCCTAAGGGTCGTGCTGCCGCCGCCGGCTGCCGTGATATCCCCGTCGCCCGTTCCCAGCGTGCTGTGTGCTGACCTCACCCTGCGCCGCGCCGACAGGCTGCTGCAAATATCGTCGTTTAACGGCAAGATGAACGCTCTGAATGAGGTGAACAAGGTGATCGGCAACATGGCCAACTACTCGTACGGCCGCGGCGTGGGCGACGACGACGAGTGGCTCACCGCCGACAAAATGGCGGTACGTACCCTGGCTCCGGGCGGGGCGAACTTAGTTTGGCTTTTCACCCCGTTGCCTCTGTCTCTGCGGCTCTTCGTGTCGTTTTTTTGTGGGTTGTGCCACGTTAAGGGCTATGTACAATGTACATAATTGAGCTATTTGCAAGAAACTGTACATCCAATAATGAATGGTTCACCCTGTATCATAAGTATTGATCGGCGTTGTGGTTCATGCGGTCAATGTTGCAGCCTTTTCACCGTGTTCATGTGTCTGTACCGACTGTGCTGACGGGTCGTGCTTTCCTCTGGTGTTCCGCAGGAATGGATCAAGGAGAACAAGGTGCTGCAGATCGTTCTGCGGGACTCGCTGCATCAGCCGCAGTATGTGGAAAAGCTCGAGAAAATTATTAGGTGAGTCGGTGATCTCACCAGCTGCTCAGTGTCACATGGCACACGGCCTTGGAGTAACGGCAAAGTTTGGCAGGATGCAGAGCTTTCACTAGCACTGCTTAGTGCTTAGTCTTCAATGCGATTTTTTGCTTCTAACATTTCTCGTCTGTCGCCAGGTTTATAATTAAGGAGAAGGCGCTGACGCTGGAGGACCTCGACTCGCTGTGGGCGGCCCAGTCGGGAAAGCACGAGGCCATCGTCAAGAACGTGCACGACCTGCTGGCCAAGCTGGCCTGGGACTTTTCCCCCGAGCAGCTGGACCATCTGTTCGGCCGGTTTCAGGTGAGCTCCGAACCCCGCAAATATCACGCTGAGATCCGATATATCTGCTCGCTATTCAGCTTTGTAGAGGCTGCTATTCGATCGGAATGCCTTGGTTGATATCCGTCGGGGCTGATAAATGTGGTATGCCCATAGTCGTACCTCCCACTGCCACTGTATCCTACCTGACCTGCCATGCTCTGTTCCGACTGACCCACCTCCCCACTCAATCGGCAGGCCTCGTGGGCGAACGCCACCAAGAAGCAGCGCGAGCGTCTGCTGGAGCTGATCCGCCGACTGGCGGAGGACGACAAGGACGGTGTGATGGCGCACAAGGTGCTGAACCTGCTGTGGAGCCTGGCGCACTCGGACGACGTACCGACGGAGATCATGGACCAGGCGCTCAGCGCGCACATGAAGATCCTCGACTACAGCTGCTCGCAGGTGAGCCGGCGACAGGTGTCAACACAATGTCTGACAGACATTGTGTTTGTGGTCTGTTGTCAGTAAGTAACCATCGACGGTGTTGAGTGCTTGGTTCGAAATCACATGTGGCTGTCTTCTGTCAGATGTGCTGGTCCGGTGTGAGACGTGTCTTTCTGAGGCCAGAATCTGTCCTCAGAATACACACATCATACACACGGTGTGTGCTTGCTCTGGCGTCAGCTCACCTTCACACCACTCACCCCCACCGTTGTCTAACCGACTGTCCTCGGCTGCCGTCAGGACCGTGACGCCCAGAAGACCAAGTGGCTGGACCAGTGTGTGGAGGAGCTCAAGTCGGACAAGTGGGTGCTGCCGACGCTGAAACAGATCCGCGACATCTGCTGCCTGTACCAGGAGGCGCCGCCCAGCTACTCACACACGCAGCGCAACTCACAGCACGGGTCGCACAGGTGAGTGTCAGAGACGGTACCTGGTGATAGCTAGGAGTGCCGGCTGGGACACCTCAGCAGCTGAGGGTGTCATCCGACTACCCCTTAAGTGCGCTGTTTGTGATGCGACAGTAGCGGGGCAGTCTGGGCGCTGGTGCTCCGATAGTCTGTGCCGTCATTTGAACTCGAAATCAGCATTCAGACGATGTATCGGCGGTTTGCTATCCACTTAACCAACCATTGTCTAGGACGACACCTTTGCGCTGTTTTATCTTACCTTGCTATTTTATATCGAGTCTTACTTTCTAGTCTTAGTATCTAGAAGGTTCTTTCTTGTGGCACACTTGTTTTATTAGTACGACGTTATGGGCGCAAAATGACCTTAGCAGTCGGCGCGCCCTAAAGCCCCAATCAACAAACAAACACTTAACCAACGTTTGTGAGAGGCGTATGTGCAGTGCAAGTTACCTATTACTGGTCAAGTCATACCAGTTCTGCCTCCCTGTTGCCCTCCTATCCGACCCGATAATGCCTCTGGGTATCTGACCTCTTACGTTGCGCCCTCCGTCTGTCTCCAGACACGAGATCATCAACCAGCTGCAGTCGCAGCACTCGCTGGTGGTGGTGATCACGGAGAACCTCACCAACTACGTGCAGCGGATGCGCGAACTGGCTAGCAGTGAGTGGACGCGGGGACAAGTCCGAGTAACGGACAGAGTTCGGCAGTGTTAGGATGGATGTTGGTAGGCAATCCTCCGACAGGCCCGACAAGCATCCTGCTCTAGCTGGTGTTATATAGTTTGCTTGGGTAAATATTAAAGTTTTATTTGTGCAGCAGTGAGTGCTTCTCCTGGGGAATTTACATTCTAGCTGACTGGGACGCCATTGTCACTCACATTTCCGTGCGTTTTAGAACGGGATGAATAGGTTTGCGCGAGCGTGTGGCCGAGCTGTAAGACGCCATGATATCCGCTGTTATTTTGCGTCGACCTGACGCTGTCGACTGGTCCGGCAGCGAAAACGGACATTGACGTGAACACGTACTGTCCGGACGGCCGCTACAACCACATGCAGCAGATCGAGCAGCGACTCAACTTCCTGCGCTTCCTACTCAAGGTGAGCGAGCGGCTCTCGTGGGTCCCGGCGGGTGGTACCTACTCGACTTAGCTGTAACTGTGACGGTATCTGTGACTTTGTACCTTACTGAGGCGGACCTTGAATTATGGTGAAGGCGTACGACCGCATACAGTCTTATATCGTCTGTAGAATGGTCGGCTCTGTTAGCATATTGTATACCCTCCTGTATCGCTCACTGTGGCTGTTCTGTAATACGCCAGTCGCTACTACACCTTGACGTACATACCGCATATTTTGACGCCTGTCTTGACTACGCCATCCAGGACGGCCAGCTGTGGCTGTGCGCGCCCCAGGCCCACCAGATCTGGTCCTGCCTGGCCGAGCGGGCCGTGTTCCCGGCCGACCGCGAGGTCTGCTTCAAGTGGTTCAGCAAGCTGATGGGCGACGAGCCCGACCTCGACCCCAACATCAACCAGGAGTTCTTCAAGCAGAACATCTTGCAGCTGGACCCAGCGCTGCTCACCGAGAGCGGCATCAAGTGAGTCGCGCCACGGACCGACGATGCTGGGTGGGGCTCGTGGATTGACCTCTGGATGGACCCGCTGACTGACATTGGGTGGACTCCTGGCCAACACTTCGGCGGACCGCGGTTGTTGAAGCCCGTGCACCCGCTTTTGGCATAATAAATTGCCTGTGACATTTTGCCTTTGTCGCATGTGGTCTCCGTGTATTCATGACTATCGCCTCATTGCAAAGTCGGTAAGGACCCTCGTCGACTAGGGCCGTGAGTGATCGCCAGTTGCCTTGTCATTTGTAACGAGTGTGCTGTGTCTCTTAGGTGTTTCGACAAGTTCTTCAAGGCGGTGAACCAGAAGGCGGGGAAGCTGGTACCCAAGCGTCGCACGTTTCTGATGGAGGACGAGGAGCTGATCGGACTCGACTACATCTGGCGGGTGAGTGGCGGCACACAGACGGCGTGGTCCTCTGGCAGCGGCGCTGTTGGTGTTTGGTCAGCGAGTGAAACCTGTCTTCAGCGTATGATGGGCTGTTCATTGTAACTTGATTGTCCCTTGATATCGGCGGCGGCTGGTCTGGCGTCTGTCCACGCGGTAGGAAGTGGTGTGTGAACTGTGTAGGGTCATTCGCTGTTCATTGTTCACACCGTCTTGTGACATTGATGGCGATAGCGACTGAAGAATGTTCTCTTCCCGTTGCTCCAGGTGGTGATGAACGGCAGTGACGAGATCGCCAACAAGGCCATCGAGCTGCTGCGCGAGGTGTACACCAACCTGGGGCCGCAGCTCCAGACACAGCAGGTAAGGGACGCGCTGCACGCCATTCGGGCAGAATACAGCCAATAAGGCTGCTGCGCGAGCGGGTGTACAGTGTACACCAACCTGGGGCCGCAGCTGCAGACTCAGCAGGTGTGCGCGGTTATGCAGTAATTGTATTACCTCACCGGTCAGACAAACGTTTGGTGGTTGGTGGCGGAACATATGGCCCGTGAGAGTGAAACGGCCGGTAAATGATCAGTCACCGGCATATTTCTATCACCGAGAAAAGTATGGTATTATACATTTTGTAGGCTGATACTTATAGAGATTGTGAGCGTCGTGTAGTATTTTCGTTTGGCTGGCTTGACTGTCGGTTTTCTGACTGTAATCTGGTGCACTTCCACAGAAGAACATCCACGCCGACTTCATCGCCAACTGCATGGACCGCCTGCGGGCCAGCTACGACACGCTGCTGCTGCTGGAACGGGAGCGGGACTCGTCGCCGGCCTTCCAGCGCGTGGCCACCGTGCTCTGCCGCGTGCTCAAGGTGCTCCGCGAGTACATCGTCGAGTGCGACAAGGAGTACGGCGACGAGCGCGTCTTCCTGCCGCTCTTCAGGTGGGGTAGACCGGTGGAGGGGTGGGAGGGGAGAGGGTGGCCCCAGGACTTGGCAAGTGCTGGAATCTTATCGGCAGATCGCCAAAATATGTGACGAATGTGCGCGAGTATCTCGATTAAGGGTAAGGTCAATCTACAGCGATAATGGAGGGCAACAGGCAAATTTTTTATTTGATGCGGACGTGAAATGAGTGTCAATATGACACCTACTCTGACTCTTTCCGTCTGTCTTTTAGGGCGTACCACGGCAAGCACGTGAGCCTGGTGATCCGGCTGCCGGCGCAGGGGCGCAGCTATGACTTCACGGTCGAGTCGCATACTCAGGAGACGCTGGCGTCGGTGCGCCGGCGCGTGCTGCACAAGGTCAAGGCCAGTCCGCAGGCGTTCAAAGTGGAACTCTACATCAACGGCGACACGATTGACCACGCCGAGGACAAGAAGTGCATTGGCGAGATCCCTGTGATCAGGGATGAGACGGTACGTGGACCGCCGGGGTGGGGTGTTGCGGTAGCAGAGGGTACCTAGTCTCGTCAGGCCCGGGTGGGAACGCTGCGTCAGTGCCGCGCTGAAAACTGCGTTTTTGCGAGTTTTGCGTTTGACGTAACATTTTGCGACTTATGATACTTTTGAAATGTGGTTATCCTCAGAAACATTACTAATAGGTTGTATCGGCAGTAACAAGATAAACAGAACTGCTGAGTAGCGGGTCGCTGATCCTCTGTGTCGTCCATGCCTCCTTCTGACGCTGTCCCTACTATTCCCGCAGGTGCTGACTGCCAAACTGTGCTCGACGAGCGGCGCGGGCACGGCGGGCGGCGGCGGCGGCGGTGGCGGCGGAGGTGGTAACATGCCCTCGTCTCCGGACAGTAGCTCGGACAGCTCTGCGCCGTCCCCGCAGCACCCGTGCGACGGACCCAATGTGGAGGCAGAGAGCGGCCTGCCCGGCGTGGTGAGTCCGGCAGCCGGCGGCAGTCAGTCATCGCGGCTCGGCACGCATCTTCCACTGTATATCACATGCTAGCCGACTTCCCTAACCTGGGATATCATCGAAATTAACTAGACTAGATGTTTCAGCGTAGCTAATTTCATCGACAACTTATGATATGAATAGGGTTTGTAAGTCGGGACAGCTGCACTCCGCAGTCGCTGTAACTCGTCATTTGCACTGCGAACACCCACCATGACTTGTCCACGGCCATTGACCACCCACTCGGCCAGACTCCTGACCGTCTCCGTTCGCTGATGTTCGGCAGATCCTGTCTCAGCAGGAGAAGTACGTGGAGTTCCTGCTGCGTCTGGCCGACCTCGGCTGCCGCGTGGGACACGCGCCGCTGCGGGACGCCGCTCGCAGCGTGCTGCAGATGGCGCCCGCCGGACGCAGCACCGGTAAGGCGGCGGCCGGAGAGCGGGGAGCAGCGGGGATTCGGCAGGGTAGCCGGAGACCAGGGAGGGTAGTAAGGTCACGTCCGGAGCTAGGAAGAGTTGAATTAGAGAGAAGAGGGCTGGCGGGTCGATTTTTTTTTTGTCCACAGCCAAACTGCGGTGGGAATTAAGATGCTCGCAAGTTCTATGGATTTTCGCGTCCAACTTATATGGTTCTGCATTTCGTGTAGCGATATTTGGGCATTCGTCGAAGGATGACTTTCTATATCAATGCTAGACCACCTGTAATTCATGTGCCGTGTCCCGATCTAACCGCTCGCTTTCCGCCCTCGCCAGTCGACCAGCTGCAGACGGCGTGCCAGGAGGCCGGCGAGCGGCGGCCCGACGCGCCCGTCTGCTCACTGGAAGGCATCTTCTTCTCGCCGTCACCGGCGCAGGTTCTCTACTCACTCGAGGTCAGTCAGACTCCTGTCCCTGACCACTGACTGATGACCGGAGTTATATAATTTGAGCTGTGCATTACCCATGAATATAAAGTCGGAAAGCTGCATATAGTTATGCATTACGGGTCGTGGGTCGACTTGTTCTCTTGACGTAATTTGTCTTGACGCCACTGCGCCCCTGTTCGATCCGTGACCTCCCGTTCGTTCCTCAGGTGCTCTACAGTCTTCTGATGCCCGCCGACGGGCCCCTCTCGGACAAGTGCTGTGAGTTTCACCGCCAGTTTCTCAAGAGCGGCGGCGGAACAGTCGTCCTTGACATGCTGAACAAGAATAACTTCCTGTCGGGCGCCGACCTGGCCACGCGACGGTGAGCGTCTCTCTTTTTCCCAAGCGTCCCTCTTTTTCCCGTGGCTTGTTTGGTGGCGGGCGTATTAGTGGGTGCTGTGACAGTACTTATGCAATATTACCGCTCAGTGTTGTAATTCCGCTATGGTAACACTGGCGTCGTTCCGTCGGCAGGTTGGCCTTCCTGACGGTGCTGCGTCTCACCAAGCTGGTCCTCTCCACCGTGGGGTTCGCCTCTGCCCAGCTGACGGGCGAGACGGGCGACACGGCTCTGCAGCAGGTATGTGTGTGTCTGTCTGCTCTCTCCAGTTCACCTGTGTGACCTGCCGTCAACTAACCGAGGATGGCCGGGGACCGAGAGACTGCCCGGCGCCCCTGAGCTACCACTCAAAAATCGGACAACAAACAGTCCGAGATGGCGACCGGATAGACTTTTGAACTGATGCTTTGCAGTTTAGTGCAAGGATAGATATGTTTCCAGGCTTTAGATCATGACTGCCGGGTTCTGAAGCTTGGAACAAACTGTCCCTAACGAGTCTTTTTTTTTTGCTCGGCCCCTGGTTAAGATGAACGGTTGACCAGCGGCTGCTCTGGTTCCTAAACGACCTCCCCGTATCCCGTGATTGTAATGTCCCATTCAACCACTATGCCTGCGAGTGCCGCGCTCGACCTTTGCTGGCCTCTGTCTCGTATGTGTCCCGCTGCTGACTACTGTCGCCCTGTCTCGCCGTCCGAATGTCTCGCTATGATCCGCGCTAACCCAGCCGGCGCTGCTCGGTCCGTACCTAACCCCGCTGGTCCGTCCGCCGCCCGCCCCGCTCAGTGTGCGCTCTGCTGCCGACAGGCGGTGATCCTGCCCGGCTCCGAGTGTACACTGCGCAATGTGGCCATCACGGTGGCACAGAAAATGGGAGACACGGTAAGTGCACGGAGCCGGCGGTGAGGGTGGAGATCACAAGGACACAGCAGGTTCAAGATATCCTCCCGCTCTATCCGTACTTAACCCACGGCCACGGCCAAGGGTCACACAGTCGGGCATTTCGCAGATCGGGTCATAGCTTGCTCAGAGTCAGCTGAAAACCCTTTTTTGTCACATGTTCAGTCATAAATGTCGACGAAACAGTCTGTCAAGTGCTAAACCTTCAGTCCCGTTCAGGAACTTCGTTACTTGTTGGGTAGCGATGCAGCTGGCCTTTGACTCACTGACTCACTGACTCGCTGACTCGCTGACTCGCTGACTCGCCGCTCCCGTCGCCAGATCACGTCTGTGATCCCGGAGCTGGGTCACATCCAGCTGGTGATGAAGCTGGTGTGGGCGTCGAGCTGCGAGCAGCTGCAGGCCGCTGACCGACAGCCGACCGAGCTGCGCCAGCTGCTGCAGGCCGTGGACACCGAGACGCCGCCGGCCGATAGCGATAGACATGACCTGGACGGTGAGAGGGACGGGGAGAGGGTATGGGGACGGGGCGGAGATATAGCAGGGATGGGGAGAATTTACTGATGGTGGGATCGGAAGAGAACACAGGAACAGGGACAGCCGTTGACCAGGGAGTACCTTGGGAGATTTATTCAGATCCGCGATACAAAAATATAATTAAAGATTCAATAGTAAGGGGTCATTGCGTGTTACAATTCTTCATATTACCGAACATTGGGTTTTGTTTTCTAATGTTACACTGGCTGTGTTGGTAGTATGCCAGGAGGATCTGTAGGATGGTCTGGAGATGTTCTGTTTTCTGATTACTAACCCCTGTGTTCCGTGTTGGCAGTGTGCCGTGAGGGTCTGGAGACGTTCTCTGTGGCGCTGTGCCTGCGGCCCGACATCCTGGAGGCCCTCACTAGAGAGACCTACTTCCAGGACTTCATAGTCGACCTGGTGCTCATCTGCCGCAACCGGTCAGTGGCAACGCCTCATATCCCTGTCTGCCCCCTGCTGCTGTGAAAACAAGTCTAACTGATTGAAGTGATCGCTGTTGGTGCCGCTGGGTAACTTGCTATCATGGTCAGGATTTGATGCGAACATTTTGTTTCAATGCAGCTTTATTCCCGAGGTGTTTGTTCAGGCCTGGATGTGGCCGTGCTCGAGAAATGCCTCTCTGACTGCGTGCTTCCGTTGCAGCGTTGTGCGTGTGTGTGCGGCGGAGCAGTTCTCCCTTATCGCCATGCGCTGCAGCAACAACAGCAGCGGGCTCATCTTCTTCATCAACCTGCTGTTCTCTATGTTGAACAGCAAAGCCAAAGAGAATGCACCCAACTCTCAGGAGTACTTTCAGGTGAGGCCTCACAGTGCGATGCGTATTGATCCAATTATACAGCATCGCCTTATCAGAGTGTTTCTACATTAATTGGGGTGTCCAAAGCCGTGATATCCATACAATGTAGGCTGCACAGCCTGACAGTCTGGTAGTCGTCGCTGGGGGTCGAGTGTCTATTTGTATTTCATGCGCTGGTGACCTGTTCCGCTGGCATTACCCGCGGGTGACTGGCGAGTGGCAGGTAACGTCTCAGCCCGTGCAACTGACTGGACTGTCCTCTCCGTCTCTGCCGCAGCTGCTGTGCCGGCTGCTCGAGTGCGCCTGCCATCACGGAGTCACCGTGCCCGGCGTGGACAAACTGCTGCACGCAGAGATCGCCTGGCTGCAGCACGTCAAGGTGGGTTATCGGGAGGCATGGACCATACGCATAGCAGATGGCGTGTGGAGGGTAGTCGAGCTAGAGGAACGGAATGGGCCAGACCTTAAGTGCCCTGGGTCAGACAATGTTGGGTTTGCGGGTACCCCTGCTCGTCAGTTAACGATCTGTTGTTGGTTGGCGTGAGAAGTGCGCGTTGTATGTGCTGCAGCCTGCTCTCGGCAAGACGCGGCTGTAGATCTGTGTTTAGACTCTTGTGCGCTGTTGACTGACGTTCCGCCCGGACCTCACCTCAGGAGCGGCACCGTGTCGTCCCGTCCGACCCTAATGTGTGCTCGCTGTGTTCCTACTGTGTGCGTTGTTGACTGACGTTCCGCCCGAACCTCACCTCAGGAGCGGCACCGTGACCCGTCTGTGACGGAGCCGGTGGATGAGCTGCTGATGGAGGGGCACCTGCGCGTCACACGCGAGCTGCTCGCCTTCCTCACACCCGAACAAAAGGTGGGCGTCGCCGGCGCAGCATAGAGCGCGCTGCCAGACAGTGATTCAGTTGTTTTACCCGAACTGTAATCGGGAAGGGTAGGAAGAGTTGTGGTGCCGGTTATGGTATGGTCCTTCAGAGGTTCGTCGTGCTGGCTCCATTTGGTACTTGCCGTTACCCGACTGACCGAGCTACCCTCCCTCTCCGTCAGCTGGCGGTGGGCAGCGACCCGGGCACCCTGGTGACGGACCTGCTGGAGAACTTCCTGCTGACCAACTCTGTGATGCTGCTCCGGCTGGAGACGACGGGCGAGCTGCCCGACCAGCTGGTGAGTCACGGTGAACCTCCGCTCACCGCTCCAGCACGACTGGGATGCTGAGGATTTGTTGAAATGTCCGTTCCTCATTCTTCCAAATTGCTCTCAGTTCCGTTCCTGATTGTTGTGGATCTGAAATCCGCTAATGTCCTATACGCATGAAATGGTTGGTTTGAAGAATAAACAGAAAATGATAGACCACGAACTTTCGAATGTGGCTTTTTATGAGTGGAATGGTTCATGGTTCAATCACATTGGTTAGATTAGCCTCAACCAGGTCGAGCGCACTGTTGTGTACACGACGCTCTCTGGCTACATCAGTGCATAGAAAAATATGTTCTGTGACCGCGAATATGGTCCCCGACCCTATGTGGGTTTTGCTGACATCCTCCCCGTCCGCCAGCCGACGCCCATCTGCTACTCTGCTGCCACCGGCGTAGCGGCGTTCGACGTGCTGGTGGCGCTGTGTACCGGCTGTGTGCAGAACCTCCGTCTCGTGGTCGACACTCTCATCGAGATGTACTACAGCGGTGAGTCGATATAATGCCGTCCCCCGTTCGGTCTCTCGGTGTCGTGAGATGTGGATTCTCTACAACGCTGTGTGCCTCTGTCTGCTGCCGGCGCATTGGAGTTGGTTTTGAGACCCTAGTTTGGTTGACCTGCCACATTTCGAGCGTCCCAGGGCGCCTGGTCTTCATGTCTACTGGGCCAGTCTCAAAATCGTTAGTAATCCATGCCCTCTCAGCCCACTCGCCACCCGGGGACAGTCTGTAGAGTGACCTAACGCGCTGCCCGCATCCTCAGACCGCGAGGAGCCCATCACCGAGTGGGAGTACACGCCGCCCGTCGGCAAGCGGCCCGCCGGCGGCTTTGTCGGCCTCAAGAACGCCGGCGCCACGTGCTACATGAACTCGGTGCTGCAGCAGCTCTACATGATCGAGCGCGTGCGGACGGGCGTGCTGGCCGCCGAGGGGGCGTGCACGGACCCCGACGAGGACTTTACCGGCGAGGAGCGCGCCGATAACGAGGTGAGAACTGAGGGTGCTCGCCAGCCTGTTCCGACATGCTGTTTATGTAGTGTGAGTTGGGTGGATGATGGTGTATCATGAATCACCTGCATTGCTGTGTGACCTGCAGTTGGCTGTTGCTGTGTGTCGTGTGCCACAGTTCCGGTCCGCCGGACAGTGTGCGTGTTGGCTCTGTAGCCGCGTGTGGACAATGCTGACCGATCTGCTGACCTTTCTGTCTGTCGGGCCGAACAGATCCAGTTCAGCGAGACGGACACGGAGGAGCGTCGGACCGAGACGCAGCGCGACTACAACATCGGCATCCTGAAGTGGCTGCAGGCCATCTTCGGCCACCTGGCCGGCAGCAAGCTGCAGTACTACATCCCACGCGGACTCTGGAAACACTTCAAGTGAGTGGGGTGCCGGGCAGCCTAGCTATAGTCGAGTGTCGGGGCGATTTGGGTATCAATACTCCGAACCAGGACGGGACGGGGATGGGCCGCTGATCTGCATGGACTACCTGTATGCTGACATGCCCCCCCCCCCCCCCACACACACATTACCAGACGTGTACTCTTGTATCGACGTGCACTTCCCTGAGACATCTCCGCTATCCGTTTCCAGACTGCAGGGCGAGCCGGTGAACCTCAGAGAGCAGCACGACGCCATCGAGTTCTTTATATCGCTGGTGGACTCTGTGGACGAGGCGCTCAAGGCGCTCTCCCAGCCGCTGGTCATGTCTCGCGTGCTCGGTGGCACCTTCTCCGATCAGAAAATCTGCAAACAGTGCCCGCACAGGTACGTGTCGTGTCCTTTCCCTCCCTTCGATGGCGATACTTATGTTGGCTGTGAGCACTCAATGACCGCCGTTGTGTTTTTCTAAATCATTAACATCCTCATTGTATTATGCGAGAGTGCTACGGCTCACTGACAGCGTCTCCGTCCTGCCAGGTACTCCAAGGAGGATCCGTTTACCGTTCTGAACGTGGACATTCGCAACTTTACCAGCCTGACGGAGTCGCTGGACCAGTACGTCAAGGGTGATCTACTGGAGGGCGCCAACGCCTACCACTGTGATAAGTGCAACCGAAAGGTGAGCCTCCAACCTTACGCCGTCTGGTCGGCCTGCGTCGCGTGCACCGTACTTGGGACGAAGGCGGGGCAGGCGATGGCGTTTTGGGTTTGTTTACTGAAAATGTCTTTTTCCGAACCCCAGGGATTCTTTGTATGCGGGATTAGCAATTTGTACGGATTCCGAATATCAGACCCAGCCCCTGCTTCGTGATCTAGGCCCACATTTATTGATGGTGTGTACGCATCGACACAGAACGCCCGCTTTCCGCTCTTCAGGGCAGAGTATTTGGACGACAGTTGGCTGGTATCTGACCATGAAAGCCTCCAGGCCGATTGAACACCGTCCCTCGACCTGTGACCTTCGGTCCCCTGCCGTCTAACGACCAACCGTTCTCGGCCGTCGCCAGGTGGACACTGTGAAGCGAACCTGCATCAAGAAGCTGCCGCCGACGCTGTGCATCCAGCTGAAGCGCTTCGACTACGACTGGGAGCGGGAGTGTGCAATAAAGTTCAACGACTACTTTGAGTTCCCGCGCCAGCTGGACATGGAGCCTTATACCGGTGAGTGAGGAGGAGAGGATATGTGATGATGGACGGCGAGGGAGGGCGGAGGGTGAGGGCAGCTGGACATTGAGTCCAACACTGGTCGAGGAGAGGGAAGGGGGGGGGGGGGCGGTGGTCTCTGGGCTGCTCAGTGACTGTGTGGCGCCGCGCCACCGGTGGTCGGTCTGACACGACCCCGTGTGTCTGCCGCAGTGCGCGGCCTGGCGCGGATCGAGGGGGAGCTGATTGACGGCGATCCCGAGGAGCTCACCCGCACCGTGTGCTCCACCTACGAGCTGACGGGCATCGTGGTGCACAGCGGCCAGGCCAGCGGCGGCCACTACTACAGCTACATACTGCACAGGTAATAACACCTACAGCAGACCCACATACTGCACAGCCAGTAATGCACAGCGGCCAGGCCAGCGGCGGCCACTACTACAGCTACATACTGCACAGGTAATAACACCTACAGCAGACTACATACTGGACAGCCAGTAATGCACAGCGGCCAGGCCAGCGGCGGCCACTACTATGTACAGCTACGTGATGTGATACTGCACAGGCAATTACTACACTGCTGCATGCATACTGTTACTGCACAGGTAATGCACATTGCACACCAGCTACGTAATACACAGGTAACACACTCGTACGTCTAAAGATACATACTACGTAACCAATGTCTAACATATCGCCGATTGCAGGAACGCCGAGGGCGGCCGGCAGTGGTACAAGTTTGACGACTACGACGTGTCCGAGTGTCGGATGGAGGACGACGAGGAGATGAAGACGCAGTGCTTCGGCGGAGAGTACGTCGGCGAGGTGAGTCGCTCGTCCGGCGCCGCGACCCGCCGCCGCGCTGGTTTGGTGTCGAAATAATGTGTGGATGGGACGTCGGCGAGTTATTCCGTATATTAGAGGCTAGAATAGTTATCAAAATAAGAATTCGTCGTGAAACGAAAGCTTTAATATATGTCTGACGGCTGCGACGGTTGTCGAATGTGTGAGAGTGAGGCCCACTGTGCGACTGTGCACGGAGCTGTTATACCTACTGCTTGGTTTATGTAAGCTTGTTGGGCCTAGCTCCCGGCCTCGCGCCATGCTTCCGAGTTCTCTTCGGTCCTTATGTGAGTCGGCTCTGCGGCTCCCTGTCCGCCCGTTCCCGCTCGGCGCGCCAGCTGTTAGTATGACCCGTCACACCTGCAGGTGTTTGACCAGATGATGAAGAGGATGTCGTCCCGGCGCCAGAAGCGCTGGTGGAACGCCTACATCCTGTTCTACACCCGGACGGACACGGACGCGCCGCCGCCGCCGGCCGCCGGCTCGGCCTCTGCCGACGGCGGACCGCAGCTCACCGCCCAGATGAAGCAGCTCTCAATCAGTCAGTACCTGCCCGGTCCGATGGGCGCCTAGTCGGCCTGCTGGGTGGTTGTAGTTGGTAGTCGTCCGAAGCTGGGCTGGCGAAGACTTATCACTTATCGACAAATTTAAGCACAATAAATTTGTCTTTCTATTATCACTGAGACTTATCGTTTGACTTTTTCTCAAATTAAGGTTATTCGCTTAGTTGTTTCGTTAAAGTATCTAAGATCCGCGCAATGAATTGTAGGAGACGTAGATCTGGGATTTGGCATGGTGCAAACTTTTTCATCAAATATTGATGTTCCTGAGGATTTATCGTCTGTGCGCTTATTTTTTGATGGACATGCTGAGACACACTCCATATTGTTTTGCCCTACCGCAGGCCCTTTCACTGTCCATGTTTGACGCTGCTGCCGACTGTGTTACAGCGGACATGGCCTCCGTCAGCCAAATCAAAATGCCGGCGCCGATACAGCGCAGCATTCGCCGGCAAAACATCCGCTTCCTGCACACCAAGAACCAGTTCTTCGGCGAGTTTGTCCAGTTCATCCGCAAGCTGGTGGGCTGCAACAGCGTCGGACAGCTGCCGCAGCACGTCAAACCGGTAAGAATTCTCCCCACACGCTCACTTCATGCTCACAGTGCTGCCGCAGCACGCCAAAAAGGTCAGCATTTCTTACTTGCGCGGTTGGTTAAATGCACGTTGCGTCTTCATTTATTTAGTGCCAGAACTTGGAAAACGTGACGTCGAACTGTGAGTCGATATGGTGAAGTTAAAGAACTGCCACAGCCCAGCAGTAATTCAGCCCGCTCCTACCACTATCCTGGTACTCGGTCCCGTGTCGTTCACTGACTGTCTGTGTGTGCCTCCGCGGCTGGTCCGCCCCCGTTCCCTGACGGCCCCGCTCGTGCCGCAGAGCTCCGACTCGGAGCAGATGGCGCTCATGTCTGTTCAGCTGGCGGCGCGCTTCCTGTTCACGGTGGGCCTGCACATGAAGAAGGCCGTACGCGGCCCTACGTGCGAGTGGTACGAGGCGCTGCTGCCACACCTCACCCACTCGGCTGCCGCGCGCTCCTGGCTGGCCCAGCACGTGCTCTTCGTCAACGGTGGCAGGTGGGGAAGGGACGGCCGTTCTCGGCAGAGAGTGACGTGGTGCTTCACTGAAACCATAATCAGCACCCGCACTTGGATGGTTGATGTACCTAAGTGCTGCAAATGCATGACCACCCTCGGTGCAACATGTCGCGTCTATGATGTTGTTTTAGAGCGCAGCGCCATCATCATCTGCAAATAGTTTTTTCTCTCGCTCAGTTGAAGGTCCAGGGTGAATGATTGATTTTTTCTCAAATGAAATTGCTACAGGATAAGGTCCAAGGGCCTTAAAAAGTGTAAGAGACGTCCAGCACTACATTGTATGGTTCATTCCAGTCCAACACTAACTTCCCCTCTCGGCGACTGCCGATCGCCGTGACACTCACACGCTGACCTGTCCCCATCTCCTCGCACCACTGACCGCCCTCCCGTCCCGCCGCAGCCGGTTCTGCGAGTACCTGCTCGAGTGTCCCAGCTCGGAGGTGCGCTCCACGTTCGCCAAGCTACTGGTGCTGCTGGCTCGTCACTCGACCCAGCAGCCGGCGCCGACGCTCTGCCAGACGCCGACCGTGGCGCCCGAGACCAACGGCCTGTCGACATCAGGTGGGGACCCGAGCGCCGTGCTGTGTGCGGTGAAGACTGGGGGAGGGAGCTGAGCTGTGGACGGAAGCGTGACCTGTTAATGTGTGTCTACGTGGTCTAGAGAGCCAGCCAAGTATCTTGCCTGTATATGATTTTGTGTGGTGAAAGGGCGGGGTCAGTTCGAATGAGGCGGGATCTTCATTTAGAACGCGACAACGCGTGCAGTACATAAGGTAGATAGGACTTAGCGTTGATCTGTCCGTCTGGACCTGTCTGTCTGTTTTCTAGAGGGCGGCGGCAGTCCGGAGGGCGGCGTCAGCTCCCCTCAGAGGCGGTCCGTCTGTTTGTCTGACTGTGTAACCGTTTGCTGTCCAGAGGGTGGCGGCATTCCGGAGAGCGGCCTCGGCTCCCTCTCAGAGGCAGTCTGGGCTGTCACTATGTCAGAACTGTGTGTGTCTGTCTGTGTTTTCCAGAGGGCGGCGGCAGTCCGGAGGGCGGCGTCGACTCCCTCTCAGAAGCAGTCTGGGCCGTCACTATGTCTGACTGTGTGTGTCTGTCTGTGTTTTCCAGAGGGCGGCGGCAGTCCGGAGGGCGGCGTCGGCTCCCTCTCAGAAGCAGTCAGGGCTGACTGTATTTGACTGTGCTGACTGTGTAACTGTGTGTTTTGCAGAGGGCGGCGGCAGTCCGGAGGGCGGCGTCGGCCCCCTCTCAGAGACTGACTGTGCTGACTGTGTAACTGTCTGTTTTCCAGAGGGCGGCGGCAGTCCGGAGGGCGGCGCTGGTTCCCTCTCAGAAGCGGTCTAAGCTGACCGTGTCTGACTGTGTGTCTGTCTGTCTGTTTTTCAGAGGGCGGCGGCAGTCCGGATGGCGGCGTCGGCTCCCTCTCAGAAGCAGTCGTGCACGCCGTTCTCGGCCTGCTGAAGAAGGACGTGGCCGAACACGGTCGCCACCTGCCGCAGTACTTTAGCTTCTTCCTGCTGTATGCCTCGTGCGGGATCCGCGAGCGCACCCACCTGCTCAAGGTAGGTAGCCGGGGCCTGGATGCGACACCATGCGAACCATTTCTTGGCATTACTGCACTCGTAGTGGAAATCTTTCACAAGAACCATTTGTCTGGCGCCGATCCTTCCTAACTATCACTGCACCACGGCTGCTTTTGCTCACTCTTGGTGTCTGCGGTGTAACGTGTTTCCGGCCCGTCCCACAGCTGCGACCCTTTGTTGATCAGCGGTATGCCCGTGTGTGTGCCGTACTGACCCCTTGTGTCCTCGTCCGGTCCCACAGCTGCAGATTCCCGCCACTCTGATGCTGGTGGCCCTGGAGGAGGGCCCCGGGCCGCCCATCAAGTTCCAGTACGCCGACCTCAGCAAGCTGTACCAGACGGTGGCTCTGCTGGTGCGCTGCTGCGACATCAGCTCAAAGATGACCTCCTCTCAGCCGGTCAGTGGCCCGGCCCGGCGCGGGCACCGCACGGTGGATACTAGGGATGATGAGGGGAGGGAACGGGCACTGATAATTACCGATACCGTGATATAACAGACACGTTAGAGCTGGAATAGTGTTCTCTGTCTGGTAATGAATATTTAATCTGAACCAGCTGTAATGCCATCCGCAATATTTTTGTATTTATGTCTGTCGAGGCTAATGTTGAACAATCAAGCACTCAGGAAAGCAAAGCTGCCTGTTTAATTATTAATACAGGCTCGCTGTACGATGCATGCTTGTTCCCTGTACCATTATACATCCTTTTTACGACCGCTGACCGCTGACTCTCGCCGCTCAGGGTGTGGCGCCGCTGCCGAACCCGCACGGCGACCCCGACTGCCCGACGCCAATCATGCCCATCCAGCCGGCCGTGGACGAGATCCTCTTCACCCGCGCCAGGTGAGAGTACCTCCCGGCGGCGCGGCACTGGCGACCCCGCTGAGTGGGGTCGGGACGTGACTGATAGTACCGCAGGCAGAGACTGACGGCGTCAGCGGCCGGGCAGCGCGCGGTTGGTGTCCTCCAGTGTCTGTTGTGTGGTGGGGTGTTGGTTTCATGTCGGCTGTCGGCTGGCGTTGTTAGGCAATGAATCACTGGGCTGGTTGGGCTGTCTGTATGAGAAGCACACTGTCATCTGAGTCTATCCAGTAACGGCTCTCTCCACTACCCTGCAGCTACCTGAAGAAGATAATCGAGGACGCCGGCACGGTGGAGGAGACGGGCCAGCTGCTGCGCTACTGCACCTGGGAGAACCCGGCCTTCTCCAGCATGGCGCTGACGGAGCTGCTCTGGCAGATATCGTACAGCTACAACTACGAGCTGCGCCCCTACCTGGAGCTGCTGCTGCAGCTGCTGCTCGTCGAGGACAGCTGGCAGACGCAGCGCATCCTCAACGCGCTCAAGGTGGGCGGATAGCTGGGCAGTGGGAAGGGAGGGCTGACGGCGGACAGTGGGACAAGGGAATTCAGGGCTGGAGGCGGGCTGCTGGATAACAGGGGAGGGATGACTGTATGCGGAAAGTTGGCTATGGTAAGTGACGTTGTAGTTCGTCGCACTGCAGCGGCTGCTGTGTTGCAATTTTAATATGAAAGTTTTCACACTCCATCCACTGTACATCCCCGGTCCGAACCTTGTCGACCACTGCTGTGTGCCTGACGCGTCCGTCTGCGACAGGGCACTCAGGACGAGCGGGAGGGCCGCGAGGGCCTGTTCGACACGATTCAGCGCTTCAAGAACCACTACCAGAAGCGCGCCTACCAGTGCATCAAGTGTCTGGTGGAGCTGTTCTCGCGCTCGCCGGTCGGCCAGCGCGTGCTGCACGCCAGCCCCGAGTTCCGGCGCAAGTGGTACGAGGCTGTCGACTGGCTCAAGGAGGAGCTGGACAGGGTGAGTGTCCGCCGCAGCGACCGGTCAGCAGCGGGGACGGCCTGGAGGTGATCCTGGGGTTTAACGTGCTGTAAGACCTGGACGTTGCCTTATTTGTTATTATTTGCCAATTACCAGGTTTATATGCCGTTCATAGTGGAGGCGAAGTATGTTAGCTGTGTTTTTGGTAGGGCCCCTTAGAGTGATCTGATAATGGTAAGTGGGTACGTTTTGCTATGCACCCTTTTAATTCACTCACATATTAACAATTGGCAACTAGAATCAGCCGGCCAGCCGCACAAGACTAAGTGGCTCATTTGACCGTCCCCCGTGCTCCCGTCCCTAGCGGCCGTTCCAGTCGACTCCGCAGTACGGCTACACCTGGTCTCCGCCCACACAGAGCAACGAGACGTCCAACGGGTACTTCCTGGAGCGCAGCCACTCGGCGCTCATGTGCCTCGAGAAGGCCGACGAACTCTGCCCAGAAGAGGTACGTTGCACTCGACGGCTCGCACTGGGAGGGCCGATGAATAGGCTGATGGATTTGTGGTGCGGGCATTTATATAAATGGTGTATTTATTTATAGGCCTTGCGTGCTTTATGTGTTCCTGACATTGGATGAGCTCGAGTGAATTACCGAAATTTACCGTTTTGCGACACGACGCTACCAATTGCTTGATTTTGTTTTTGTGTGTGAAAACGTCTCTGACCCCCACCCCCTGACCGTCTGACCGTCTGACCGTCCGCGGCAGCCGGAGGGTGACGAGCTAGAGGAGGATTCTCAGCGGCCGGCCGGCGACCCGTCCGACCCGGCCGGGGGCCCCCAGCCGCCGCCGCCGCCGCCGCCGCCGGCCGCCGGTCACGTACCGCCGCAGCCGCAGCCGCAGCCGCCCAAACCAGCCAGGTGAGTCCGCGCGGCGCGGCGGTAGGGCCGGGGATGTGACGGCGGGGTCAGCGAGGGAGCTGTCGCCACCCACTGGCGCGGTTGGTGTAACAGGCTGCCTCACGGCTGCAGGTGCTCTGATTCTGATAAACTGTAAGGTTGCCTACATTGACATATTGACTAGACCTCGTCAAGACTGAATTGATGACTTCGTGATGACTTCGATTCTGTCAATTGATGACTTCGTGATCTGTTTGATTTGCACTGCTTGCATCTCCAACATAGCCTGGTATGGGACGAAATTATTATATGATTCAGATCGCCTGTTAAAAGGGTCATGTTTTAGCTGAAAGAATCTGAAACGATTTTTTTCGCCAAATATTGGGACTCGCAACAGCATCGTTTTCAGCTCATTAACCACCAATCAACGTTTCTAACAGTCCTTAAATTCGTTTGAAATGCATGTTTACTGTCACGGGTTACCAATTTATGCATCCATTACCACTTCAGGGCTTTGTATGTGTAAGTTTTAGTGATTTTTTCTCGTTTTTTAATGAAGCCGCTTGTGTTAAGCGGTTATGAGATTACTAAATTACATGAGATTACTAAATCAAATGTAATATGACCGAAGTGTTTCTAGCTTAGATGCATGTTTTCTAAATCGTGGCTGAACTGATGAGTGAAAGCAGCTAGCTATATCGTAAATCGTAAATGTATTTAAGTGTCATAGTTGAGCGTCAAATTCCGCTCTGAGGAACAGTGGAGTATGGATGACACTGGTGACCAGACGGCGCGGACGGCCGTGACTCAGGCCCCGTTCATCCTGTCCTCCGGCCTGTCTCCTACCGTCGTCACCCCGCCAAACACAGAGGCCAGAGCGGCGTTATATGCTGTCACCGCCGCGGAGTGACTGACTGCGCGTTTCGCTAACTAGCCGCGGCCCCAGCTGGCACCGCTGTGACGCCCAGTCCCCGTTTCAGCTTCAAGTCACCCGATGCGAACGACAACTGACGACACGCGCCCGCCGCCAGCCCGCAGGCATTTCCGTGACTGTGCCGGGGCCCCACGCTCGCCGCTCTCCTCTCCTCTGCGCTGCCGCCCCGCCCCGCCCCGCCCCGCCCCCCGTTTCTTTCTGTCGGACGCTCGGCACGTCTGCCCTCTCAGTGGCGCCGCCAGTGGGGCCCGGGCACCGCGAAGCGTTACTGTGATTTATGCCTTACTACCGAGCGGCGCAGCGCCGACACCTGGCGGACGGTTTTGTAAGTCGTGCTTCGCCCCCGGACCGCTCGGCGCCGTGCCGATCGCTTCTAGTCCACGCGCGGTAGCATAAGTGAGAGAGAGAGAGCGCGTCGAACAGTTACTATTTATCAGTGGTTTTATTGCGACTGGAGTAATATATTAGCAGTGTTGTTTGCCTGCAATATGGCGCAAACGGTGCTGTGATCAGAGAGCGATGAGCAAGAGAGGGCGGCGCTGCGCCGCCCGCGCGGCCCGGCCGGGCGACGCGCCCTACCGGAGTGACAGGGAGCGCAGCCGAGAGCGAGCGAGAGAGAGAACCAGAGACCGAGTGTGTTGAAGACAGTGGCGGCGGCCCGCCTGACTGCGATGCAGTGGTCGCCGCCGGCCGCCGGCCGCGGCTGTGCCGCATCGGACGCTGCCCGCGCAACATGAGTTGTGGTATTATGATAAATATCGTAGTATACCTCTGTTGTTTTAGTCGATAACCGGGAGATTCGTCGATCGCGGCGCACATCGGTCGCGACATGAAGTTTTGTTTGGCAGACCAGCCGCGATGTGACGCTAATTTCATGGCCGCTTGTCCGTGGATTTTCTAAGAATTATTTTCCATGAGTGAAAATGCTGTTCTTAATGAAATAAAGTCTGTGTTATTTAGATACGCGCAAAACGAAGACTTGCCGTTGTACAGTGGCCGATAAGAAGCTGGCGTATGCTGAGTTTTGCCCGGTAATTATTATATTCTGAGGAGTGTTTTTGGGCAAACGGATGGTCGTGGACCGCTCGCTTTTATCTCGATGATTTGCGTCAGTCTGACGCCAAAATACATTCATTTCTGAACTAACTAATTAATGGATGGCTCGGTAAATAAGCGACCTAATGAGCCATGGCTAAATGGACTAGCTTTACATCGATGATGGAAAAGGAAACACGCCAAAAGCACAAAACCGCTTGCATGGTCGTAAATCGGCACCGGACGCAGATTTTATGCGAGTGTCGATGATGCGAGCGCTAATCTGGCTTGTTGAAATTCGGTAGGATGACGGCTCTACCAGAAAAGGGTCATTTTGGCGTTTTATGACCCGTCTAGGTCACACCGTTGATAGTCTATTGAAATATCATCGCATTTGCCTTTTTCACGGTCCGCGGCGCCTATCCTCAACTACGTCGAACTTCCGTAGATGCGGCCTCTGGCGACCTTATTTTCACCCAACATGCAAATGTCATGACGATTTTCCAAAGGCCACCGCCGCTCCTCGACTCTTCGTTATTCAGGACCAATATATAGGGTGATCCTACTGGGTGATCAATTGTCCAGGGGATTGGGAAAACCACAAGCCGGAGCGGGGCGTGTAGCAGCAAAAACATAGTTTTAATGAGCGCAAGATCCACACATTCTTCTAGCTGCCTGGGCAAACAAACTGCTCTGGTCCGAGCGTAAAAGATCAAAAAACATTTCTCATTGCTGCTAATAAAACTATATTATCCTCTGAAACAATTACAACAAACAACTGAGCGAATGCCGAGCTAGCACCGTCTCCTGAAAACGGACAGCTGCTGACGGTCAGCCGTGGGGTGGTCGTGACGGCTCAGACACTGCGCCAAACACTGCGTAATGGTCGACCACAGACAGCCGAGGACGAATGACTGAGACCTCGTTCACCGTCCGATAAAAGTGACGGTGGCCGCGCGGACCGTTTCAAGTGCGCGTTCACTGCCAGGTGACAGTGACAGTGACTGCGAGGACCCCCAGCTGATAACGGGGACGGGGGCCGCATGAACCGTTCGAGACGGTCTGAACGCGCGAACCGTTCGAGACGGTCTGACCGCATGTCTATCCGATGACGTTGACAGTGAGTGTCGGAGTCTGATAACCGCCGCTGTCCGAACGGTGCGCTCACAATACTGATAATACAGCCAGTCATATTGAAATAGGAAAGAGCAAGCGAAACCGATGAAATCCTACGGATAAAATCATACAATAGATACTAAACAGCACGGGTAAAGCGTTTCGATTTCACAGCAGCGCCACACGCTACTCGTTTTCGAGTGTGGCGTGGCGTGCCGTGGAGCGTTGAGTCACGTTGAAGACACACATTGCACACACAAATAACCCGAGCCGTCGATGGCCGAGGCACGGGTCCGGTCTATCGCAGGTCGCCGTTGGTCAGTTGTAGGACGAACTGACGTCAAGTTACGCCACAACTGAAACAGAACAGAGATGTTAGCGTGGGGGACAGACAGCGTTGGTCATGTGGAGGGAAATGGGAAAATAGACTGACCGAGTGAATCAGAGAGTTCAACAGTGCGGAAGCGAACATAAGCAGCAAAATACAGAGTCCAGGTAACATTCCTACAGCCACGATATAACCCGCCATCATTCACCACCCAAAGCGCTCTAAATGCAGCCCATGGTATCGCCCTAACGTTCGACTCAAACATGAGGCACCCGGGCGTGCCGCCGCGCACTCACTGGGTCCTCGCGGTCCCATGGCCTCCGGGTCGAACTCTTCGTCGTCCTCGGGCGTGGCCGGTCGGCTGGGCTCCTTCTCGACCAGGTTCTGCTGGGACTCGCTCAGCTGCTCCGACACCGTGTACGAGAGTAGCATCTTCTTCCGCAGGTCCGACTTGCCCGAGATGAGCAGTCGGAACCGCTCCGAGCCAATACCGCAGAATAGGAAGAAGATAATACCTCCCGTGGAGTTAAGTATCTGCCGGGCACGGTTCGCGGGAATTTAGGGCTTGGTTCTGCCAGTGCGAGAACTTGGCAACAATGGAGGAATATGGATGCATGGAATATATAGCTTTTATGGTAACTTGCCCAAGTACGACACACATACTCCACAAGCTACATTCGATACCACCCCATTTGTCACAATTTGTCGGCACTGTCTTGAGGACCCACCTGGAACAGTGGATAGAAGCTGGGGATGCTAAGGCCCAGCCGCAGATAGGCTATCAGGCCCACGATCCACGTGCAGAAGAAGTAGAATGAGAAGAAGACGTAGCCCTTGCAGACGGTGAGCTGCTCGGCCACGATGTTCTCCTTCCTGAGCCGGGAGGCCTGCATGTTGCAGCTCACCAGACACGTCATCACGAAGGTGAAGACGAGCAGCACGATCATCGGAAGGAACATGGTCATCTTCACCTGAGACGGAGAACGCATAAGGACGGGTTAAAACGGACGGTTAATGGCAGACAGGTTACTGGGCGTTTCGTAATGACGTTTCGCAGTGAAGCGGCTCCAATCGGCGTAAACAATTTAACATTTACCTTAAAAAATCGAAGCCTGTTAAAAACAGAGATCATCTTAAAAATTGAGCTCTTAAATTTGAACACAAAGGGGTTGCAGCACGGGGCACGGGCTGCCCACTGTCCAGCGCCCACCCATCTGATCCGACTGCGCTATTCCATACCATACCTGATCGGGCCAGCCGAGCATGCACCGCGGGTCGGTGCCGTAGTCTATCAGATGCATTAGCATTGCATAGCCCAGTGACAAGAACGGTATACCTGGCGGCACAGGGTCATGGGTTACTGCATAAAATAACCGGACGACTGGATGTCATATGAAGACGATCGGTCATTTGTATGTGTGGTCTATATAGAGGCTGCTTTTTCAAGTAGGAGTACCGAGCAGTGGTGTTCGATAGGAATATCGGGACACATTATATTTATTTATTTATTTAATTTCAGTCAGGTTGAGAATGACGAAAGACGATTGATGAACCGTAAAATAATTTAAGTTATAGCAACACGTTAACTGTAATGCGGGACCACTGCATACTTCGGTGGTCAGTGGGTTCACTCACCCCACGAGAAGGCCACGTAGGACTTGAGTTTGCCGCCGATGGCGCCGCTGGTGACGGAGATAAAGTCGGCGATGCCCTCCATGGTGACCATGGCGGCCGCCAGCAGGTAGAAGAAGTGGATGCCGCCGGCGAACCCGGTACACGTGTGCCGGTCGGCGCGGATCTCCGGGATGTCGGTGAGCACCATCAGCACCGAGCCGAACAGCAGGCCGATGGCCGTGTTCAGCCGCATCAGGTGGAACATCTCGTGCAGCGCCCTGCCGGCGCCCGAGACGGACGGCTGTCACACACACTGGCAGGGTAGGCTGTGCCGCAACACTCCGGAGCCGCGCGGCGCAGTATACCGCTCAGTGGCGCCGTTAGAGGGCGACGAGAAAGAGTCCACGATGACAGAAAGGTGATTTGATTTACATATTTTGTGAATAGGAAATATATGTGTCGTGGGTGACACGTCTTTCCCAAGGAAATGTTGGTTAAACGTATCAAAATATGACATTTAAAATTGTTGCGATGATTGTACTTTACGCATACCTACATACCTACTCGGGCACTAATGAACGGAATTAAGGACTCCATGCTTCTTTGTGGGTACGTTCCTAATTTTAGTTAAAACTGATTGGAAGCGAATCTTTTGATTCTTTCAGCCATTATAACAGGAATATAAGTTCCATAACCATATTCCATAACATCGGGCGGTGATTCGGTCTGTTGCGGGCCTTACTTGATCTTTATTACGACGACAATAAATATAATAAGAAGTAGTGCTGATATCGTGTAGCAGATATATTTGATTATCTTCAGCCATAGGAATTCCAAATCAACGATCTTCGGCGGCTCCTGAGGAAGGCAAATAATCAAGATAAGCATAAATGATCTGTGTTTTGTATGAAAGGTACAGATACATATTCACTACCGTCTATGAGTCTAATGTTTATGTCTATGTTATTTGCGCTAAGCACGTCTTCCCTGGAAAATTATCCGATTGGGTTGATGCTCAAGAGAATCGATATCAATCAACTTATTGAACTCATATGACATTGCAACTGGTAGGTATTTTACCGTCATCATAACTGGCACAATAGTACACCGTCTCCGTGCCGCGTTTCTTGTGAGTTGTGACGTACCTTTTGCACCATGATGGCCATCTGGCCAAAGTGGGCGCAGGCGCACCGGGTGTGGAAGTCGCTGTATTCGACGGCCTTACAGCCGTCCGTGTCCCAGCCTCCGTAGTCGGACAGGTCCGGGTTCCACCAGACGCAGGCGCGGCGCAGAATCTGGCGCAAAAAGGAACGACATTAGCAGGCATCAACGTTTCTTGAGCTGTCTCTCAAATGCTCATTTAGTAGGTGGTAGGCATGTAAAAGGTCACGTATTTATTTTTATTCCAAATGATTCTGTTCTTTCTTCTTGACCCGGACAGTGTGAATTTTACGTGCCGAGCTCACTCAGATTGGGTTTGCTATCACTTTCAAGTCCCAGCCTGTCCGCCGCTTATCGCTCGCACTCGGCACTCACCCCGGTGTCGATCTCTCCCTCGTGGAAGAGGATGCCCCGTTTGGCCTTGACGGGGTTGGTGTGGCTGATGGACGTCTGCAGGGGGTACTTGCGCAGCTGCTCGGCCGTCGGACTGCAGTTGGCCACCAGCTCCGGGTTATCCGAGCTCAGCGCGTACTTGGTCGACACCACGCCCCCCTCCAGCTCCAGGTCCGTGTCGGCCGCGTTGATGTCCCTGAACGAGAGCGTGACTCAATAGCTGGCGACGGCCACTGAACTAACCAGTAGCCTCCTGCCCTTAACAGCCGATGCATTGAGCAACGACGGCCGTTGACCGATAGCTTGCAGAGAAGCTGTTTAGAGGTAACAGCTGGTTGTTAACCAAACTTTCGGTGGTCATTTTTCTAGAATGGCTTAAAGGGACTATCCCACCTTTAACATGGGGTTTGAGTTGAGATAGCCAAGTTTGCGGCGAGGTTCAGAAACCACTATCTATCTAGGCTGCAACCCCCGCGGCCTCTGGGTGTTGAAGAAATTCGTTCCCTTCATTTGAAAATGGGCCTTGTACAAGGCCCTATCTTCAACATGGAGCGACCGTTAGTGTGACGTCACCTCCTTTAGTCATTCTGATTTAAATGGGTTTGTTCGTTGAAAAATCGCTTAAAATTTGGTCTGAACTTTGTTGTGGTGCCTACAGAGTAAAAAGAATCAGCTTTATGACAGTAATGTGGCCTGGGGAAGGAGGTAATTTTGGGCTGTGACGTCACATATTTGAAAGTTTGTGTTTGGAATATGGGAAGCCTAAGATGTTTAATGAAAAATAAATGCCAGAACCGTGTTCCTGGTCATCCAATCTATAAAGTCGGGCACAATTCAACTGGTTTTAACAACATTTTAGAAGGTGGGATAGTCCCTTTAAAACGAGCCGTGCCCAATTACTGTACAAGTAACACGGAGTGAGGATCTCTGGGTTACAGTTTTACTGTATCGTTGCGGCGTTACTCACAGTTTGCTGTAGCGTTGCGGTGAGACGTGTCCCAGGGTGGGGTAGAAGACGTACACCACCGTCACTCCGACAAACTTACACGCGTCGATATCCGGGTTGTGGAACAGCTCGCTGGCCACTGAGAAAGACGAGACGGACGAGAGGGTGTAGGATCAGAAACTAGATCAGTTACCGAGAATGAACGATCGGAACGGGAGGATGTGGTCACGGAACGACACGATCAATGAAACTCTGAGGAAGCAGCTGCGAAGTCGATGGATGCGACTCGGTCAGGATGGATACGGAAGGGAAACGGAGATGCCTAGACCGGGTAACATCGAAAACGCAAACGGAGATAGATGAGTCTTCAATCTACAGTTAGCAGCCAAATAAGCAGACAGGCTGTAAAAAGTCAATATTTTGTAAACACTAGAAACTTAAGGCCTGTTGTACGCCGAGCACCAGCCAGCAGTGCTTACATCGGACGCTGTTGAGTCCTGTCTTTCCGATCGGGTAATTGAGGACGGGCTTCTGCCTTATTTGGAAATTAGCCGTGCGCTGGAGCACCATCTCGATGTTGTTGGCCTTCTCGTGGTGAACGAGGTTATCCTTGAGGCTCTTCAGTTCGGTGTTGCTGCCCAGCTCCAGCGCCCAGTCCTCGAAGCCCGTGACCACCGAGGCGGCACCTGTCGGTGACATTGACGGTACAGAATACACGCTACAGTCGGGTACATCGTACGAAAATGACACACGGAGTACGACCATTAATAAACAACCGAATGTTGCCAAGGCATGCATATTATATGCGTAATACTTTATACCACGTTAAATGGTGCCACGTTGGGAGACCCTTGGCCGTACATTACTGGGCGAGGGCCCTGCTGGCTACTCCAGCACGAGGTCTCACCTCCCTCCTCCTTGTAAGTGTACTCGATGTTGCGCCACTGGGGCAGCGTCTCCTTATCGAGGGCGGTTCCCACCACCTGCTTCAAAGACTGCGGCAAATACCACCGGTCAGTGGACAGTGACGGTCATCGGATGCTCAGTGATAGTCATCGGGTGGTCAATGACTACCGACCGACCTAACAGGAACTATGCTGCCTGTGAGTATAAGAATATTGCGGTCCTGACAGAACACGGTGTAATACACTGAAACGATTGGGTCGGATCGCACTGATGGCCACGAACTACGGCTGCCACGATGACCCTCTGACGGCGTTGCACTCACCAGGAAGAGGGGAAGCTCTTCGGTCGTCACCGGGTCCTTGGCCTCCGAGGTCATCATCTTGACCAGGTCCACCAGCGTGCGCACCTTGCTCACTTCCTCCGGGCTGGCCAGCGGCGTGCCTGGCGGTCAGGCCCGCTTCAGACCCTGCCTCTCGACAGCCAAGCAGCCTTGATCGCGGGGAGCTCCCACCCCAACTGATGGCGTTTGTCAATCACCCAGTTACCCGTGCTGTAGAGGACTTCCTTCAGCTCCAACAGTGCAATCCCAGCACCCACCCTTGCTCCACCCGATCGGGTCAGCGTTGGCCCATCACTCACCCTCTGGCAGGTCGGCCGGGGCGGCCGCCTCCTCGGCGGTGGCCGTCTCCGCTCCGCCGGAGTCGGCCGTGCTGCCCACCGGCGCCGTGGTCGGCGGCGGCGTCTTGATGGCCTTCTCCACGCGGTCGATGGCGGCGCGGAACATCTTGGCGTCGGTGCGGCACTTGGGGCAGCGCTGGAACTCGTCCAGCAGTGAGTTCATCGTGGTCTCCTTGTCCTGCTCGTCTGTGAGTCGGACGGAGAGACGGTATGGGCACAGTGTCAGCACGGTTACGTTCATATATCTCGGAAATTGGTACACAACTACTCTGTAATGAGCCAATGTGCGACACTCCCGACTCAGTCACGAAGAACGCGAGTCGCCCTCTCTCTCTCTCTCTCTCTCTCTCTCTCTCTCTCTCTCTCTCTCTCTCTCTCTCTCTCTCTCTCTCTCTCTCTCTCTCTCTCTCTCTCTCTCTCTCTCTCTCTCTCTCTCTCTCTCTCTCACCGTATCCGCCGAGGAAGTAGATGGACTCGTTGGCCGGCAGCAGGCGCGTCCACATGGCCAGCTCGTCAAACTCGCCCTTGCAGAAGTCGCGGTAGGCCAAGTTGTCTTTGGTCCGGTGGCAGCCGACCTGGAGGTTCAGTCAGCGGTCAGAGCACGTTTACTAGGGCGGAGGGACTGTTCGCTGGTCCGGGGTCGCCTATTTGGCCGTCTGCGGCCACCCAGACCTCACCATCTCACTCACCATCACTTCCACGGGATCGAGGATGGCCTTGACGGCCGCCTGTGCCGGCGCCGGCACCGCCACGCGCGCCAGCGGGACGCTGTTGACGTACAGCTGCAGGCCGGGCAGTGTCTTGGTGGAGCCGGGCACCTCGAACGGCTCCGTCTTGCTCCAGCGCACACCTGGGGACAGACGGCGGGGGTCAGCGGCGGGCGGCGACCGACTGAGGCTAAACCAAACACTCGTCTTGGCGGGCAAACTAAAAAAAAACTTTACGTATACGGAGACCTGCTTGTTAGGGCCAACAATGTGTTCAAGTGCCGGCTTCCTCTGGATATTGGCCCCAGGGCCCAGACTACGGAGGCTAGCTCGTTCTCACTGAAAACAGTCCGGTTCTCACCGAAAGCAAACCGTTTCTCACCGATGTTGATCCACTCCTGCGAGATGACCTGGCCGACCACGGACACGTCCCAGTACTCGGCGCCCGTGGAGACCAGCGCGTGCAGTGAGTGGCCCTCGACGTAGATGGCTACTCCCGGAGAGCCCTGGTCGTCGCCGCCTGTCGACAGTCGACCGGGGCTAGACAACTCCCTCCCAAACGGAGTAACGTCACATGACTATCGTAATCACGTAGATATTTACGACTTTGGGGTAAAGACAAATATGCATTCATCCTCAGCGTGAACTTACAAACACCTAACTACCTAAATGCGAGCGAGTTGTAGTTATCTGACTACAGTGCTGAGAATGTAGCGCCGTTGGGTGCTGTGGGTATCTGACCTGTGCTGAGGATGTAGCGCCGATGGGTGCTGTGTATATCTGACCTGTGCTGAGGATAATATAGCGCTGTAGTTATCTGACCTGTGCTGAGGATGTAGCGCCGGTGGGTGCTGACGGTGCCGTTAAACAGCGTCTCGATGGCCTCCATCTCGATGCGCGCCCAGATGCTGAAGGAGAAGCCGTTCGTGCAGTTGTTGGGGTTATGGGCGCACGCTTCCCGGCGGTTGGCCCACTTCTGGTGGGACATACACTGCCGGCGGAGGGCCGAATCAGAACCGGTCGGCCGGTCACCATCCCAGCAACCGTCTCAGCCGGCCCCACTGCGTTCCCTCGCCGTCCTAGCCCTGTCTCACTTATCCCATCCAATCAACTAAATCATCATCTTGAGTTGTATCTGTTTTAGTGCTTGTTGGAGGATCATTATTAATGTAAAAATCAAGTATTTCTTTATTGTCATGACCTTTCCTCCTTTTCAAAAATATGCTGAGCCAAAATTATATTGTTTTAGCGTTTTCAAGTATATCGGCCACAGGCCTTACTTGATTTTTACATAAATCATCATCTTACCATATTCCAAGGCCCTATACCGGGTGGCCCAGAAAAAACGTTCCCAATTTTAAATCAATATTTCTCAGAAAGTGATAAAGATACAACATTGAAACTTCCAATAGTCAATGCGACATATATTTCCAGTGAATGGTATGATTTTTATGTTATTCGGTCAATCACTTTTTAAACGGTTCGTGTTTCAAGCATGCCATGTAAAAATCACTTTTTTGCTCTGATGTTTACCAAAAATGTGAGTGAACGGGCCACTTCCATCTCGGCACCACGACCTACAGCCATGACTGCTACTGGCAACTAGTCTCATTGGTGGTTCAGGCCTCAGGTTGACACATTCCCTCTAGCTTTTTTCCTTATTCGGTCGATTTACTATATGATCTTCTTAAAGGGAGGGCGATCAGCAGTAACCCATGCACCGTGCCACTCCTTCGCCTCGAAACAGGACTTGTGTTGAAACGAATGGCATCCATTAACACAACTTTGGCGTAGTATTTGAATATTTGGCACATAAGTGTGACAAAAATATATAAAATAGCAACACACGTGCTGGTATCATTCAAGCCGTTCTTTTTTTTGTATTTTTTCTAACATGGTACGTCTAAGCCAATCATTACTTCCGTTCAACAACGGCAAAAAAAGCAAAAACGTCTTACTTGATTCAACATAAGATTGCTGGCTTGAAAATGATGGTACAGTGTTATAATTTGGCATACCAATGCGCAAAGAAGTGACGCAAACGTGATGAAAATTTTGGCTCGGTATTTGCACTCGAATTTGAGATATAGGCCTCCAAAGTTCGGAACGTTTTTTTTGGGCCACCCGGTATCTATCTTACTATTTGAGGGGCATTCCATGTCAACCGGGACAGCCAAAATCGGCCACCTCTGCGATTTTGCTCAAACTTGGTATACTTATTGGCTATTGGGTGAAACCTCTGAGGGTGAAAGGATTTTGTCATATGCCCTCGGGCTACAGAGATACAAGTCGCTAAACTTCTGCTTTTTGAGCAGAATTGGACGTGTATTGCAATCTTGAAAGATCTATAGCTTCAACATTTTTGAAGCTATTAATTTCAAACAAACTGAAACGTGTACATAAGGAGTAATGCTAGTAAATTTTGACAATTTTAACATTTTTTGGTGATTTTGAATTTATTTTATTTTGAATTAATTTCTTAAAATGTAATTTGTGAAAAATGGGTACCCTTCGATTTTGCTCAAATTTAGATATTGTCTTCCACTACACGTAAGGCACACGTGCTGAGAAAATTAGAGTGGGCCAACGATAACTTTGGATGATATAGCAACAAGTAGTGCAACGTAGCATGGGCGGTGGAAGGGGCCGATTTCGCTAACTCCACCTGTTTATCGCCAATAACTCACGCCATAATTATCATATTAACGTCAAACTTTCAATATCTGTCCAGACTCGAATTGCAAATCCTCCCGTGCAAGAAACAGGTAAATCGGTCCACAACTTTTCAAGTATTAGCGGTGTAAAGTCAAACATTCCTGCCGGAGCGGCTCGGCGGCCGGCGCCGGCCGTTGTCGCCTGAATGGTAGACTGTGCCGGCGCGGGACGGTTCCAGCTTTGCACTGCGCTTCTTACCGCTGATTATGATCGATTTGTGTCAAATTTTGTGTGAAGGCTTAAAAATGTACAGGCAATCTAATGGTCAAATAAATACGAAAATCAACTGGTAAAATTAAATTATTAGGGTGCAAACACAATATGTGACTATGACGTTTCCCGCGTCGGCCGATCCCCGCCTCTGCCGGCGACATCTTACTCTTAGCAGGTCACTAATTGCCAAATTTATGGTAAGATTAGCTAGAGATTCTCATAACACTACAAATGCCGTATAAAGGAAGAAATAGGAAAATCGGCCAGTATCTCTTAGAGCTATGAGCGTATAAACGCAAAATAGTCACTATAGCAAATTTGATCACGTTTAACCTCATTTGATCTTGAATATATTGATCTAGGGCCATGAAATTGGCACACGAGAAAGTTCCCCGCCGCCCCACCTACAATTCAAATTCCGTTTTTTTGTACCTACCTTTTTTGGCTAAACCGGGCTTTTCTTCCCTAGCGCTGGGAGAGTCAGGCGTATTTTCTTTTTGCAACCAAAGAGAGGCGCTGCCCGGAGAATGCCCAATTTCATCATAAAAAACTGGCTTACGATGACCAGCTATCTTCGTGGCTTAGCAGTAAGTGTGCCGAGTGTACCTACCTCGAAATCTAAAGGTCGCTGGCTCGCAGCGGGTCAGCCTGAAGTGTTTAACACGCATTTGTTTTTTTAAGTAGCATCTGGCCAGCCGGCAACTGTCGTGAGGGCTAATGTTCGTATCTAGGTAGCATTTGGCCAGTCGGCAACTACCGTGAGGGCTGTACATATTTACGCGTGTTAGATTAGGTCAGGTCACGTCAGGTCAGGTTAGGTTTGCTTTGGTTTGGGGTAGAAAGAAGCATCTCCGGGTAGCGCCTCTCCTTGATTGCTAAAACGAAACACGCGAGTGCCAGACATTACGAAGTCCAAAAGACAGTTACGTAGACGTCGGCCCATTCTGGATTTTTTATATGATGTAGCTAATGTATAGGAGAATGAAATATGTAAAAATCAGCAAAATCGAAGGGTACCCATTTTTCAGAAAACCTAAATTTGTTTTTTGAATTTTAATTAAGTTTACTAATTAGTTAATTACGTCAATATTGTTATCCTCAAATTAAAGCCTGACCTATCCCCTCCATTTCACACTTTGTCTCGTGGTGATATGTCTAAAACTTCAATGGTTATGACGCTTTAAAGATGATAATGTGCCTTGCCTAAGTCAATGTTTGATGACGTGTATCTCGGAAACGTGACGTCATATCTTGACAAAAATATGTCTCCTTTCTTTTCACATGTAGATGAGTAGTTTCACAAAGTTTCGCAAAAATCGGAGGAGGTGAGGTTCAAAATGATTATTTTTTGTCCCACTTGACGTGGAATGCCCCTTGAACAGGATCCATCTGTCTGTTTGTTTGTCCGCCACGCCGTGTAGTGGGTTCAATTTAGCCGGCCTACAGGGCAGACGGTATATCGTAGGGGGTTGAAATTTGCACACCTTATAGGTGACAGAGCGGGTCAGCGCCTTTTCTAGGTTTCGGCTCGCTGGGGTGCACGGTTCGCGCGTGAGGCGCGCTGGAAAAGCGCAAATGAAATTTTGATCGGTTCGTATATCTTCATTGAGAGCCGGGGTCGACAAACTTTGTGGACTAAATGCATGCCGATCGGCGGCGAGTGCCTCGCATCGGCGGATAGGCAAGTTTTAATTTGAATAAAAAAAGCGAAAAATGTGTTGATTTTCGTTGAATGGCAACAGTTTGTGATAGGATTTTACAAATCCACCGCGTTTGCCACAATGCGCCACAATTATCTCAGGGCGTCATTTTCACCGCAACTCGCACAGTTTTGTCAAATATAGTCCGATATGGGTGTAATTTGGTGTCAAGATGCATGCTCAAACAACAGGTACAGATGCGCCGCATTTGCCGCAATGCGCCACATATGCCACAAAGCGCCATTTCCGACAAATACGATTAAGCGTAATGGAATGGCACGAATAGGGGCAGGGCTGGGAACACTCTAAGTCTGATATTTTAGTACTGAATGGATCCAATTATTCTGTGACCTGACATGACCCAGCGGTGTTGGTAGGGTAGGGGTAGGGGTAGTGGTAGGGGTAGTGGTAGGGTAGTGGTAGGGTAGTGGTAGGGGTAGGGGTAGGGGTAGTGGTAGGAGTAGTAGTAGGGGTAGGGGACTGGTAGGGATAGTAGTAGTGGTAGGGGTAGTAGTAGGGGTAGTGGTAGGGGTAGTGGTAGGGGTAGTGGTAGGGGTAGTGGTAGGGGTAGTGGTAGGGGTAGTGGTAGGGGTAGGAGTATGGGTAGTAGTAGTGGTAGGGGTAGGGGTAGGGGTAGTGGTAGGAGTAGTAGTAGGGGTAGGGGACTGGTAGGGATAGTAGTAGCGGTAGGGGTAGTAGTAGGGGTAGTACTAGGGGTAGTGGTAGGGGTAGTGGTAGGGGTAGTGGTAGGGGTAGTGGTAGGGGTAGGAGTATGGGTAGTAGTAGTGGTAGGGGTAGGGGTAGTGGTAGAGGTAGTGGTAGGGGTAGTGGTAGGGGTAGGGGTAGTGGTGGAGGCAAAAGCAGAACAGTGGCCCGGGCTGATCCCAGCGGACGAGAGGTGACCTATGTGACCTGGCCTCACCCAAAGCGACCGGGGCTGACCCCTTTGACCCGTCTTGACCCCGTATCACCCAAGTTTCATCCAACAACGCCCTCAGAACAGTTCTTTTTTAAATTCTCTTCACATTTCCGTCCATATCTATGCTTCTAGACGACACATCGACATGAATCAAACACCATTCGAAAGCAAATTGGCTGGTGCCGCATTTTTTTCCTTCCACGCAGCAAAGCAAGTGGCGCAGCCGCTTGTCTATATTACTATTTGAGGTGACGTAGTTTCTGTCTGTAACCGAGGTCGCGACATGGTGCTACGTAGCGCGGGTTACAGATCACACCGTTGCAACTACCGCGCTGAAATTTGCGCAAGTTATAGAACAAGGATGGACAACGTGCCTTTGAGCGGTCTCGGCTCGATCGGATCGATAGCGAGCGCGTGGCGCGTGCCCAAAAAGTGCAAATTCGCGTCATAGACTTTACCTGTATAAATCGGCTGGCAAAAACGGGCGAAAATGGCTAAATTTGCCCGACACGGGTCCGTTCCCCGTGCAATATCTCGGTAGCCGTGCGCCCGATCGACACGGGGAAAACAGCATCGTGTAGAGAATCGAACGGGCTATCGAATGGTGTGCGGTGCAGTGGATGGCACGTGCCACGTGCACATGTGAGGGCAATTTCATTTTAAAAAGTGCGTTTTAAATGGATTTTGGATTTCATTTTATTTTTACGTGACCGCCCGACAGAGCGAGTTGAAACAACGCCTATTGGCAAGGGAAATGTACCACCTTTCATGGAAAAATTGTGAAAAGCTAAATGATCAAAAACAAGGTGGAACAAATTGCTGGAGAAAATGACATTTGTCCATAATGTGCCACTAAATAATTACACGGGGTTTGCTGCTTAACCTGATACGCTTGACAATTGAAAATGCTATCATTAGAAAGAGCATTCAATTCTCTCCAAGATCCAATCATCACGTTTGCATGACAAGCAACAGTATTCTTAAAAATATAAATGTTTTAAACCTCTGCAAAACGATTTTTAGCGAAAATTATCTACGCCTTTCATTTGTCTTAAAACTACGCACCTCAATTATAAAGCACATTTGACAGGTTCCCTGAACTATTGACAGGTTCTGAAGCAGAAAGCATGCTTATCAGACACGGGCACCTCGATCCGATGGATATTTTTTCTCCAAACCAAATCGTTTAGCCATCAAAAAGCAATCGACCGAAATGGATAGATAACCCAACCGACACAAGAAAAACCAAACACCCGCCGATCGTAAATACCCCTTTTTCGCGTTGCGGAGCACGCGGGTCACCCTAGTATCCCCTATTCCCCATTCGCCCCACAGCCGGAGCCGGCTCCTCCCGTCCTCCAATCCTCCCGACTGACCCCCTGCTGGAGAATGAGCGAGTTCTCGAAGCCGGCCGGTCCCTGGCCCGTGGTCCACGTGTCGTCGCCCTGGGTGGACGTCATGTTGACGTCGATGTTGGCCCAGTAGTAGTTGGTGGTGACCGGATACTTGTCGTCTGCGGAGAGTGGCCGGTGGACAGTGAGCGCCGCAGACACGCAGTCAGACGGGCGGATGTTTCCGATGTAAATGGTCAATGACTGGGTCCACCGCGATGCATCGGCGGGCTGAGCACGCACATTGCGCTCTAAACGGTGGAGTTTCAATACGTGCAGGGGGTTTAAACTGACAACGACAGTTCTAAATAGCGTATTTTATGCATTCACAATTACCATTTACCACTTTAATGCATTATGAAACATCTCGTTATGTCCACTCAGGTCCGAAACTCTGCTATCGAGGGCAAATCGATGACGCATTCGGGCTCGTCCAAAATCATCACACAGGTGTTACATGCAGCCAATGTGCTTATCCTAACGGGATTAGCAGTGTCAGCTGGGGCATAGAGATTTGTGCATAACCGGCAAGTGTTGTGTGATCTGTGTTTAAATTACCTACTGAGGTAGGTGTGCTCCGTCTGTGTTACTGCTGTGTGCTCCGTCTGTGTTACTGCTGTGTGCTCCGTCTGTGTTACTGCTGTGTGCTCCGTTTGAGTTACTGGACGTGCTATGCTGTCGCACCGTGCTGCCGCCCGCCGTTCGATCGCATTGCACTTACCGTATGTTGCTTTGATGGCCATGGTAACCTCGTCGGTCGGCGCAGGAGTCGGCACAACTAAATACAGAAAGAAGGGACGGGTGTCACGACTTTTAGTGAGCATTTTAGGTCTTACACGATGAACGCACGGTGGGTGATGGTTAGGATGGTTCGGGACAGGATCAAGGATACTCTCACTCCATCTGATGCACTGGCTCACGATTCATCGCCTCTCTCTCTCTCTCTCTCTCTCTCTCTCTCTCTCTCTCTCTCTCTCTCTCTCTCTCTCTCTCTCTCTCTCTCTTTCTCACTCAATAGACAGAATCTGCCTACCTCATGTCCGAAAACACGGACCAACCAGTCCTGGCTAGGTGACGTCGAGTCGCCGCCACAAACGGTCGAGCTAGTCTTGGGACGGTGAGCCGGTGACGGAGTGGAGTCTTCGTGGCTCATGGCGGGAGCATCACTTCACGGAGCGGTGTGCTGAGTTGGTGTGACCGCAACTGCTGGTCGTTGACGAAACGCTGTCTGTAATGGGTGAACGACGTCAGGCGGATCGAAAACGTCCGGCACTTTACAGCCAGCCATGGCAATATGATAGGCACGGGATAAGAGCTGGGAGGGATGGAGTGAAGGACATCTTTTATACCAGCACTCATCTCACAAATCGCCACGCACACAAACTCATCCATCATCACACACAAACACACCGACGTCCGACACCGAAACAAACCATACCGACTGCGCGCCATTTGCATGACTCGCTATTCCTCTTAAATAGCGTAATACACTACCTGAAAACGCCTCTCCGTCTAAGAAGCCTGAGAACGTCCATGGCTCCGACTGACAGAGGAGCTAACTTCACCTTCGAAAGGAGTTCATCTGAGGCAGCGTGCCGTTCGCTGGCCGGAGCCGTATAGGCAGAAGGCGGTAGTCAACCGTCAGACCCTCCCAGTACAAACGGTGGGGACTCGTCCCCATCGGTGCTGAAAGACCGGGCAAATGCCACCTGCTGAGAGCAGTAACACAGGCACACCGGAAATCATTTCGATTTAATGGGAATGTTTTCAGGTCCAATATATGTAGCTATAACGCATTATTCTGCGGTCAATTACAGATATTAGACGAAAGGACCGGAAAACCAGCTTCTGCAGCTCGGTTTACCTTTTTATTGCTTCGGGCTTGTACCTAAATCCTGCGGTGTGAACTCTGAAGAGTGATGTTACATCGGTAACATGCAACAAACATAACCGAAGGTTTGTTGTCAATAGTTAGGTAAAACACTATTCTTTAGAATTGTGTTTTTCCAATGAAAAACAAATCTGAGTTAAGCCAGGACGTGATGTTCGTACCTAACGCTATACTTGGCGCAGTCCATACCTAATCATTAAAAAAATATAGCTTTTCTACCTATCGACAAAAATTATGCATCTTGAAGAGACTTCATGTCGATTTGTTCTTTAAACATCTTTATGCTTTTTAGCAGACACTTTCAACTTTAGTAATTCGTATTCGTTTCGGGCTATACTGAGGTAAGAAATGGTTAAAAACAAAATATTTCGGCTTTATTGAGTAGCCTTGTTCACTGGTTTTGGTTCAAAACCACTGAACCATGCAGTTAATAAAGCCGAAATATTTGGTTTTTAACAATTTTTTATCTCAGTGTAGCCCGAAACGAATACGAATGACTATCATTTACTTGAGGAAGATTAGAAATGACACTTCGTCAATACTTTCAACTTTGTTAAATTAGATCCTTTTATAGCTATATAATATCGGCGACGTATCTAATGAACGTCAGTCTGCATGTGTCCAGTTTTAGGAATCATGCCAACATCGTTCAACGGTCATTGACGAGCAGCATTAACATGCTGCTACGTGATGTTGTGTTAAGTCGGATAATATTTGAAAATGAAACAAGGTGGAATGGAATGGAGACGCGAAATCGATATCTACATGCTGCATCAAAGACCATTACGAACTGACGTCCGGAAAAGGCATTGGCGATCAGGGGCGCGGGAACTACTTTCAGACTGGGGGGGGGGGGGGGCACACCATAATAGAGTTCAACATACGGTACCTCCAAATCTAGCTTTCTCAACGCCCAACGGTTTTAGGCCACTTATTTTTTCATCTCTTGACTTTTTCAACAAAAAAGGAAACATTTGTATAAAAAGTACGTTATTCGGTCTCAAAGTTGTGGGGGCACCGCCCCCACGGCCCCAGAGTTGGGGGGGGGGAGGCAAGCTGCCCCCACTGCCCCAGTGCCAGGGGCGGAGAATTGTCATAATCCCAGGGGGTGCTTTTCTCGCACCTGGCTAATGGAAGCGCCGAATTCTTGTGTAGAAAAGCATATATGGGTACGTTTTCTCAACAGCATCACTCTCCTCGCGACCTACGCAAAGCAGTTTGTGTCTCAAACGTAATTTAAGCAACCACTGGAGCATTATTATATGTTGACTTTTGAATTCTCGAGCACCCCCGAAACCCCTAATTCTCCACCCCTGCCCAGTGCCCCCCGTTCCTGTGTCTATGTTGGCGTGGCGATAAGAAACAGCAGGTAGGGGAAGGTGGGGTAAGACGGCCCAGCGGGGCAAGACGGACCATCAGCCCTCCCGGCTGAACCGCTGCTGGTATCTACTGCTTTATGCACTCACTATGTTTGTTTTCCTTCGTAACAATGGCCACCTTGAGCTCATGCTGCTAGGATGCATAGCTTTTGAGTTATTGAGAAAAATGTTGTTTTTCGTCAAACCGATCTAATATAAGAGATCTACGGGTGATTCAATTACGGCGCCTTTCTTGCATGATTAGTTTCTATTTTGCACTTAACTGTGAAGAACAAAGTTATAAACTTAGTTATAGTCACTAGAGGTGGAAATGACTAACGTTTTCCAAAATCTTGACTGATGACTGACTAATGACTAATGACAATTTTGGTTGACTGACTTTTGACTGACTAATCTTTGGTCTCAAAAGGCTTGACTGACTAATGAATGACTAACGCCATTTTTCTTGATTTTGACTAATATTTGACTAAATTTCGAAATTTGTTAGCACTGCGTAAATAATTCCGATCGACACCGGAAAAACACAAATCGATCTCAAATTTTCTCCTAATCATGTTATGGCCAACGCGATGCGAAGCCACCGCAAGATACCTATCTTGTCGGCCGCTACGACGCCTGGTTAGGGAGATAACAGGCGGGGAGGGGGGGGGGGGTAAAATTTATCCCCCCAGCCGGGCGCGTTCGGCCGGCGACCCCCAGTGGGGCGCGGATTAACCCTCGCCCGGCCCTGGCAGGGCATTTTTCGTAACGCGGCCTGGCTGGGGGGGGGGGGGGGGAGAGAGTCGATGCGACCCTTCTGGCGTTTCGAAACTAAGCGTCGTGGCGTTTCGCAACAAAGACCAGTCGATTGGTCGCAACGAGTACTCGCGATTGGCCGATATATTTTTACCATAGGTCAATATTTGACCCAGTTATGACAGGTCATTGGTCAAAGGTCAAATTTCGTGGAAAAACTATAATTTTCCAAATTACTTAGCCAATATTGGCAAATCTATGAAAGATAGCGACATGAAACTTTCACGACCGCGTTTCGCAACGAATTACCAACAAAATGAGGTATAGTTGACTGCATTTCAGTCATTACTGGCGTGACGTATTCCCCGGGAACACGAGAGGTCACGCCCGCCGCCGGCGAGGACGTTTGCGAATATCGGGAGCCTTCCAACTAATCGAGTCAACATTGGTGCATCTATGAAAGATAAAGACTTGCAACTTCGAAGAGCGTATTCCTCAGAACAGCGTATTCCTCAGCTGCAAAATTACATATTGTTGACTTTTTTATGACTTTTTATGGTGATAAAAAAGGCTTTCAATGACGTCACGTACCACGGTACCTGGCCCAAAAAGCCGCAAGGCTATGCTCGCTGACCGGCAGCAGCAGCGGCCGCCCGTCAACCGGAGACCTGGGGAAGTGGGGAGTTCACTGCCACTTGTAGGAACAGTTTTGAAGGCGTTTAGGTGAAAATTGAACCGCAGATTCGGATTCAGGACCTCAAGAAACCTCACTACGGACACTAAACACAGCTCATATCACTGAGGTCAGCGTGTGGACATGCGAGATCATCTTGGTTGACCTTAGAAAGGTCAATATACAATGTAAAGATCATGTCCAGTCAAATTCTGACATCATAAACCACACGGAATAGTTTCGTTCTTGTCGATGAGATCACGTCCAGTTACGGTATGTACGATTTTGTTAGAAACGGTTGGAGGTTGTACTTATTATGACGTCATAGCTCGGTGAACTGACATGACCCGATTTTTTTTTTGTCTAGCAAAAGTTGTGCAAAGGATACCCCAGAGACTATTGAAAATTTCAGCACGATCCGACTAATAGTTCAGCGCGCATCGCAAAAAAACTCTTGGGGGAGGGGTCGCATCGACCCCTCACCTGCCAGGGCGAGGGTTAAGTCACCTCACGAACCACGACAAATTAGTCGACTAATATGCAACAAAATCATTGACTAATGACTGACTAATGACTAACAAACATTTTGGTTGACTGACTTTTGACTGACTAAAAAAGTGCTTGACTAACGTTAGTCGACTAATTTTTGACTAATGACTAATATTCATTTCCACCTCTAATAGTCACACTTTAGGAAAGGCAAGGTTTTGCAATGTTGGGCTATTTGACATATACGTCATGATAATGACAGAATTTAGATTTGGGGCAAGACGGACCACTGTGGTCCATCTTACCCTGTGGTGGTCCATTGTACCCTGCATATGGAAAGTTCTTTTCCAAAACATTGACACAAGTTTAAGTAAGCTAATTTTTCAGGAAGGAGTCTTTGTTGCATGTGAGCCATGCATGCAAGTGCTCAGTTAGCATGCATTCATGCCAAACGACAATCAACACACATGTTCCCAGCTTTTAGCTGCACTTCCATCACACATGAGTAAAGAATAAAGGCTCATTTTGTTATTTTACCATTCTGGTTACTTTTTCTTACAAGAGTAGAGAGCAGAAGTGTAACACACATGAACGGATAGCAGGCACTGCTGGGTGGTCCGTCTTACCCCACGTTTTTTCTTGTCTGAGTTTTTGAGATGTCCCTCTTTAAGAGCATCCACCACCTAGATGTCTTTAATTTGAAATCTAGTCTTTACACATATCAACAGAGGAAGGATTGAGCATTCCGAAGACTATAAATAATATGAATTACGAGAGCAGTGTAGCAAGATATGCGGCCTTAAACCTTAGCTGGTCCGTCTTACCCCACCTTCCCCTAATGCCTTTCGCCGCAGCCGCGGCTGGCCGATGCCTGTGCGTTAGGCTACCCGCAGTGCTCGGGTGTTATGCGGGTCAGTCTAACCACAGTCGCGGCTCTTCGCGCCGCCGATACTATCGCTCGCGCCTCGCTGACGACGTTACGTTTGAGGGCACCTATGTGCTCGGTGTTATGGACTATGGAATTGGACATTGCGTTTGTGTGCTGAGTTTTACAATACAGGATCATAATGAAGTATTCATCGATAAGCTTTTTGAACGGGTCAAATTGAAGCGCGAACAACGTGCGTTAATGAATTGGTATAAATTACCATATCGCATTTGAATTTGATCAATATAGACAAGCCATTCCTGCAGTTGTCGCGCCGTCTGCTGACTTACCTGTGGGTTCTGTCGTCGGGCAGACCGCTGACCGAGGTGCCGCGGGCCGAGGTGGTCGGGTCGGGCGGGCGGTGTGAGGGCCGCGGGCCGGTGCCGTCGCGGGGCCGGCCTGGTCACCCGGGCAGCACCATAACACAGCGGGTGTGTTGTGGCTCCGCTCGGCCGTCTCCCGGCTACCGCGCCAAACAGGCGTCACCGCTCCGCGGCCGTGTCGCCGCCACCGTGACCTAACGGGACGACACGACACGGCACAGCACGGCACGGCACGGGGCGGGGCGGGGCGGGGCGGGGCGGGGCTGGGTGCCGCACGGACGGAACACCGGGCGGGATGGTCGGACTCGGAGGGGACGACGGCAGGGGACGGACGGATAGTAAATAAGAGACGGATAATCGCGAGAGTATTCCTTTTGCTGCTAAACGTACAGTCCACAGCAGAAGTAATGTGGGGTTTCAGTCATGGGTTGTTCTGCTTCTGAAGCTTAGGAACGATTAGCCAGACTACAATGAAACTTTGAATGTAGCTTATATGTATCGTCACCCTTGCAGCTGCAACTTTAGCTATTGACATCTTCTTTTCGATCATTCCGCATTAAACAATCGCCAGTCAAAACCAACCGTTGAGATTGGTGAAACCCTACATTACTTTAGCGGTGGGCTGTACTTAATAGAATATGTATGCGCCACTTTTTAATTCGGAGGAGAACTTATAATTGGTAGGCATACGAAACGATTACCGAAGAGTCATAAATGTGTTTTGATGGCCTGTTCATTAGGTTTTTGATTAAAATCCTTATGTTACGTAAACAGATTCATCACCTGCATCTTCTACGGCAGCGATTGACCCGTTTTGTCATAATTATGATCGTCTTAACTTTAAAGAACAATGCCCCGTCTTCAGAAGCGGCGGAACACCTTCAGGCTTCAATTAAGGGGGAGGGGGCACTGCCGACTTTTGGTCCCATTCTTTCCATGCAACGCTCATAGGGCTAATGTTAAAATGCCAAAATCAAAGGGGGCACCGTGCCCCGGTGCCCTCCCCGTTCCGCCGCCAATGAGTCTTCGAACATGTGTATGAGAACCGTATAGGATCCTGGTATAGAGCCGAACGGCGGCGGAGGTACCGCTGGCTCGGTCGAGTGGTTTGTTGGCCGGGCTGGCGCCGGGCAACACGCGCTCCAAGTTCACTGTTACCGCGGTGCGATCGACGCTGCAACCTCGGTCGGTGCGGCCCGGATCGATGGCGCGTGCCTGACTGCGGCCGTCGTGTAGTTACGGCCCGGACCGAATCTTTACCGTTCCGGACGACACGGGCCCCTACAGTCCGGCTATGCCGCGTCCGCAGCCCCATGCGTCCCGGTATGATCGCCACTGGAGACGCTTGACCAGACTGGTGTCGAATTTATCAGGTCGTTTTTTTATATGCCCTGGCGCAGGCACACATTGACATGCCTATTGCCTGGCCATTGATGGAGAAAGACCCAACGTGGTTTCAAATATGATGACCTCAGTGAGCTCATGTGATTCAACCACATTTTTAGCACATTTTTAGGTCAGATCCTGGTCAGATCCTGATCAGGTCACTTACCTATGACATTATAAGTGAGCCTTTGCACAGCTCAATAATGTCGCAACTTCCCAACACCCTCAGTGCCCTCATCTTTCGCAGAGGGGATCAGTGGTCGGCCGGGACGTCTCCCAGCCTTTTACCCGTCTGCCACCCGGGCCACTGTCCTCTACACTAATTGAACTAAACTATGCATCGTGGTTCAGGTGAATAACTCCGCCATTTTGGGGCACACGCGGTTGGTAGCGAACCCTCGTGGGTTTGGAGCTAAGCTCCTGAGCCATGATGACTAACTAAGGTACCGAATGAATCTGACTCCGCTCAAACTCCGTTCTCCTTCGACTCATCTCATATTATCAAAAGACGCTATCGATTCATTTATTCACATTAATCAAATTGCCGAAATCAAGATAAAAGACTGCCGAGTGATATATTCGTAAACCATGACTCTTTACCCTAACGCTACCCTACGCCACGCGAATTAACCTAACCCTCCTCCCGGATGCTCCTAACCTAGCTAAGGGATGTCCGTGAGCCCGCGACAATCCCTGCGGGGTCGGAACCTACCTCGAGCCAGATGCCAGTAGCGTGAAGAGCGGTCGGGTGCCCAGTGTTGCCACCACTTCGGGTTGCAGGCACTAAGCCCCCGTTTGCTTCCACGCCGCCTTACATACCAGCTCGAGGCGGATACGCCCCCGTCAGCCGGTCCGAGGCTAAACCAATCGGTTGACGGCGGCGCACGGTTCCGGCCTCGCTGGCCTCCTATGCGCCTCCTTAACCCGCACAAAAACAATGCGCAGCACACGCTAGCGCCGGGCCGCCGGCTCACAGCCAGTCTGCACTGTGCCGTCTGTGCCGACCCGGTGGCCGCTGACGCCATGGGCGTCGAAACCGGGGGGGGGGACGGGGGGGACGCGTCCCCCCAGTCGAGGAATCCGGGGGGACGTCCCCCGCAAAAATATCCCCATGAATGATTTAAAAAGTGACCTACGACATTGGTGTATTGTCGTTTTGGGATGAAATTGCGGATACCTACTCGTATACAAGTTGAACCTGTGAATTGCTGACACTGTACCCTTGCTTACAGGGCTGCGGAGTAGATGATTTTGGTAACTCCGACTCCGGCTTAAAAAAAAAACGCTCGGAGTCCCCACTCCATCTCCGACCACGGGATTCCTTCGGCCCGCATCGGAGTGAAAAAAATGTGATGTGATGCTTAGTTTGAACGCTTGATGCTTGAGGGTGAGAGGACCTCGTCCTGGTCTGAGAGAGCCCAGGAGGACGTAATGCTCAGTATGCCCCTACATTGGTCTTACCATGACCCCTACAATCATCACAGCCAACAGAATCTCCAGCTCTTATTCGACCCATCCTCGGGGATGACGTTGACTCTGACTTCAGAGTTGAAGTCTGTTACGATTTTGGTGACTCCAACTCCGTATCCGACCAAAACCGTCGACTACGACCGAAGTCGACTCCGACCCCGCAGTCCTGCAGCTACACTGCACAGAAGTTGGAAAAAAGCTGTACCTATCTGTATCCGGTTTACAGTGGACCACACGATTTTTTTAGAGGCAGGGCTGCTGGACTTGGTGACCAGACCCTAACTGTCCTGGTATCAAACTTATTACGCGGGATGCAAAATTTATGCGCTTTGGGACTGTTTTGCCGAGAGTTTTTGCCAATTTTCGCGGCGCTTCGCGCCGCCAATTCATGCAGAGTTAGAAAAGAGTGTGACTAATAACGCATCCACGCGAGAACATGAGAACATGTGTATTGTGTATGCGTTACAAGTAGTGCATAGGCCTGAAATTGTGCGGTAAACTAACTAACTTTTGGGTTTTTAGTCAGCCAATCCGTCCCCCCCCCAGTCAAAAATCCGTGGCGACGCCCCTGGCTGACGCGACACAATTCCGATACAAATCACAGCTATGCATAAACAATTCCGATACAAATCATAGCGCTACACATTATGAGGAACATGCTGATAAGTGTTTTATGACACATAAGTGTTTTATGTGTCATAACAGCACACAAGTATTTTTAATCATTTTTCAAAAATAGCTGTTCTGCCGTATCTTTCACTGCCAGGTGCCGTCGGTCATCCCCGACGTTACATCACGCCGGGGATTGCCAGATTTTCATACTAGACTTCGACGCCCCCTGTAGCAAACCAATAGGGTTGGCGAATTCGGCTTACTTCTTAAGGCTATGCAGGTCACATGAGGTCAGAATATTCCAGATTTCCCTTAAGATTATATCATATGCTGGCAATGCTGCAATACCTACCTACTTGTGTCATTTTTTCCTCAGCCTAGTAGTTGAGTAATAGGTCAGCTGTAAAGTTGGCAGTGAAATAATCTTTTTGTTTCCTTTGTCCTTGATCATTTGTTTTGTTACATTTTCGGTGTGGCCTGAGACGTTTGTGGTGTGTTTGCTGCTGCTGGGTTGAGTTTATTTTTAAGAGCATTTTCTTCCATTTTAAAGTAAAGTTGACCCAAGGCTATATAAACAAGTTGACCCTAAATATCAGGGTATATAGCTAAATATAGGTCTACATTGTCTGTTTCGGTATTGGGGCATTAGGACATATTAATCTCATTCTTTGTTGAAATGCTTTAAAGGGACCCTCCCACCTTCAAAAAAGTTAATGAATTGGCATGAAAGTGATATCGCTCGGTTCAGAAAGAGCAAAAACAAATATCTACCAAAATTCACCGGAAAATATTCACTGGTTTTCAAGATATTAGACTTTTACTTTTGTTTACTTTTTGGGAGCTCCGCTGTTCCTAGCGACTTCATTTTGGAAGTGCGGCGTTTGTGGCAGATGTTGCGTGCAAATAGCATATATCCACCACTGCTTCTCAAAGATGTTAGTATAAGGTTTTAAAATCGTTAGATCACCGCTGATGTCACAAATTCTAAGGGGGCATCCCAATGCATTAGCCCCTTAGAATCCGAAACTGCAAGTTTGAAATTCCATATCTCCGAATTAAAACATTTTTTGATGTTGTGAGTGCCCAAACCGGTATTTGCAGGCCATGGCCACCACTTTGGCTATCTCAACTCAAAACCAATGTTAAGGTGGGATGGTCACTTTAAGGGCTTGCTGCAGAGTGTAGGATCAGGATCTTCTGCGATATCAATATTGATATGTATTATGGCAGTGAATTTCAATAATACTGCAGACAAGTTAAGATTAAAGGCATAACATTTCAGTATGTGATGCTAAATCTTGTGATCCAGATATATTTCAGGAACCAAGTGAATTTGTTATGGATATGTTTCACATCCTGACCCTATAAACTTTACTGTAGGTATGTAACGTTGATGTGTTATAATGATGATGATCAACAATATCTCATATTTGGAGAAGGGCCTCATTCCCTACCTATTCATATTGGCAGATGTGTTACTACAGGGAAGCACCAGAGCACTGTTTTTTGTTAATCTGTATTAGCATGCTGCTAGTTTCCCTGCAAGTGTTAGTTATTTTCTGGCAGAAGTTAGCCTCTCGTTGCTATGTCTCACAGCATGCACCATGAATTCTGACATGAGAAGCCAAGGAAGCTAAGTAATTTCAGAAGGTGCAGGTTGGCAGTGTGCTGATCAAAAATGATGGCTGATCAGCGCCCACATCCCACCAAAATATATAACAAATGAGTTGCCTTTGGTTGATATTTTGATAGAGTGAACTGATTTTGGAATGGGTAATAATGCCAAATGTGCTGACACCTGTGCAAAAGTTTCAGATCATATTGTTAGGATCTTATCACTATGACTGAGGCACCAATCATCAGAAGGAATCGACCTGGAACCAAACAAGCAGTAAGTTTTTGTGTAGTACAGTTCACTCATCTGATAGATACAAACAACTAGATAACACTTTTTTGTCAGTAGTTGCATCTGTGCCATGAGGAATCTGTTTAAATAGAAAGTTTAATAATTTTTAAGTGCCAATCTTTAAATTGGGTTTAAAGACTTGGTTGAATCACTAGATATGAAGGCTTATAGAATAGAATCATTTTAGTTGCTACTGTTTTCTGACTTTTTGTCATAATAATTTTTTTGTCATAAAATGGTCTGAGAAATCGTCATAAAATTTAGTTTATCATCCTAGAAGAATAATAAAGTGCTGTTTGACATTGGATGCCTGATATTGTCAGCTTGATATGTGCACTCACATGCACAAGGCATGTGAAGTTGATGCTGCAGTGAAGGAGGAAAAAGTAACATGTAATGTAAAACATCATTTTAGTAGCAGTTTTGTAAAGCAGTTGCCAAAGCAGATAATCTGAAACTTTCAACATAATGCTTCTGGAGCTTCAATAGCTAATGTGTTGGAATGCATCTTTTGCTTGCACTAATTTGAATGGGTATCTTTTTTACTGGGAATAGAGCTGACCATTTGTACCATATCCCAGCAGTAGGAAAGTCAAAGTTATACTCTGCTTTGAGGGTCCTTTGATACCTGCTTTCTGAAATCAGGTGTCAAGCGGATCTGAATAGGCTGTTCATTTCCCTGCTCTGGATTTCCACAGGACTTTTACGGCTGGCCGGATGAGTTGTTTGAGGAGATGGACAGCACGCTGGCCGTGCAGCAGTTTATCCAGCAGATGGTGCGCAGAAACCCGGCCGCCGTCGATGCCATTCTGACGGCTCCCGAGCAGCAGGACGAGGGCGTCTGGAAGTACGAACACCTCAGGTCAGTCGGCAGGCACCGACCGGCCGCGCGGGGCCGGGCTGTCGGCCCAATGCCGAGTGCTATGGCTCCGACTTCCCCCATGCGACAAACATTGGTAATGCTACCGTAAAAATCGACGACGGGCTGCGGCTCGTCCTCGGTGTCTGATCCCTTTTTCGATGTTTTTAGCCCGTTTCTCGCACCTACGATTCAGCCGTATGACAGCGTGTTGCGCGCCTCCTCAGGCAGTTTTGTATGGAGCTGAACGGTCTGGCGGTGAAGCTGCAGCTCGGCTGTCAGCCGGACACATGCACCCAGATGACGGCCACCGAGCAGTGGATCTTCCTCTGCGCAGCGCACAAGACACCTAAGGAGTGCTCGGCGATCGACTACACGCGCCACACGCTCGACGGCGCCGCCTGCCTGCTCAACAGCAACAAGTACTTCCCGAGCAGGTGGGTGACCGGGGCGCCCCGGAAACAGCTGCTAACGGGCGTTACAGCCGAGTTACCAGTACGCTGGAGATTACTTCGGGTGACACCGGAAATTGACCGATAACGTGTTCGGTGTTATCGCTTTCAGTACAAAGACGAGCTTTCAGTGCTTGTCTGTGGTTATGGTGTGAGCGTCTGGTATGACCTATCCGATCCCCCGGTCTGTTGCGGCAGGGTAAGCATCCGCGAGTCGTCCGTGTCAAAGCTGGGCTCCGTCTGCCGCCGGGTGTACCGGATCTTCGCGCACGCCTACTTCCACCACCGGCAGCTCTTCGACGAGTTCGAGGTAACGAACCGCCAACTAACTGAACGCAACTCGTCGCAATATTGTCAAACACTGCTGTCAAACGGATTACAAATAGCATTAGCGTGTACCATACATATTTTTATCGCTTCAGAAATAATTGCCCTACATTGTTTTCTTTTTTTTTTTACTTCTCTGAGAAGCATTCCTAACTTTCTAATATACAGAGTGCGTGTAAGGATCACTCGTGCCACTTATGATCAGCAACAAATACATAATACATATGTTATTTGTACAGTAATTACAGTAATTTTACGGGTTCCGACGACAGGAAAACATTATAGTTTGTCATCTGCAATTTGTAAATCACGGTTTGACTGTTGCTAGCGATTTCGATTTTATTGCTTTTGTGTTTAAAACACCTCTCTAAATTTCGAAGATCTATCTAATTAGTACGATTTTATACATTTGAAATGATTTTCCTGCCCAGTACTGCCGGCGACTTTGCATAGTGTTCCTACTCTGGGGTTCCTTGACACAGCAAAAACCGGGTGATACTTACCGAATGCAAAATAGACTCAATATTTATCGGCATATTTCTCGTTCTCCGACCGTCCACAGCAATGACATACGCCAGTCATTTTCTTGAGTTGTCGTCTCCCTCCCCCCGGGACTGATGTTGACGGCATACCCGACGTTACAGAGCGAGACGCACCTGTGCCGCCGCTTCACGACGTTCGTAACCAAGTACGGCCTGATGACCAAGGAGAATCTCAACGTGCCCATCCTGGAGGACCAGGCGCCCGCTGAGGAGTCGGAGGCGTGAGGCGGTGTAATTGGACGGCGGAGGCGCTCCTCGCGCCGCTGGTGACGGGATGTGGGCCGCTGACCTGCTCCCGTGTCGGCTGATCTGGTGCCGGCAGAGGTGTGACCGGCGGTATCGCGACCCTGGCCTCAGTGCAACCGACAGTGTTGCAGACGGGCCGCCCGATCGGACTCGGAAAAGGTGGGCTCTCCCCGGCTCTAGTGACGAGCCAAGTCGATTCCGGCGTATGAATTATATTACCAGCGGCATTGCGATCGTTGAAGAGCGAGATTGAATGATTGTGAGCATCTTGTCGGGGTTTTATGTGGTTTGTACTTGGTTGATATGTGGTATGTCGTCTTAGACTGGGCAAAGTGTGGTCCCAACTCCCAACCTATTCGTGAACTGCCATCTTCTGTTCTAAGCGCGTCGCTAAAAATTACTTCATCGTTTATTGAACACACCTTGTCATTTCGTATCACTTCTGTGCATCTGCGAACATAAGATCCTTTTCACTCGTGGCTTCTATCGCCAATAAATACAAAGACAGTCGCCAGTTTGTGGTATTGTCGGCAGTCGTTTGGCAGCCCCCACCCCGATCGTCCAACCATCCGGGCTGCGGTCGACCGGCGCGCCGCCGCTCGGCCCGGCAGACGGCCCTCTGCTCTGTCCCGTCACCCTCGGGAGCAGCTGTTGTTGGGTTTGCCGATAGATGGCACTGGCACCGGCAGTGTGCACCGGCTGATGGCGATCAGCTGCGCTAGATGGCACTAGGGGTCAGGAGCAGCTGACTGCGATCAGCTGTTGGCCGGAGATAGGAGAATGGTGCGGCACTGAGTTGGTATTGGGGGAATTGCGCGTTACAATGAATACACGAGGAAGCAGGAAGAAAAGTGAGCTGTTGCTTGATACGCGAGAACACAACAAAAGTGGCGACGAGTGATCGAACTGCCTTTGCTTTACTGTGGCACTACTTTCTGCTGGTGTGCCTTGATATTTCTCCTGCTTCTCAAGATCTGTATTTTTCGGTGCGAATATTGATATGGATCTACTGGCTGGCGCCCCACCTGCCTTCTTGCCCACCCCAGGTGAGCCGCGAGTGCCCTGGGTGCAGTGGATAGCTGCTTTTGATAATTACCTTCTTGCAATGGGGGGTGATACCTTTCCCCCAGGGCGCCAGAAAGCCATTTTACTGCACTGCTTAGGCCTTGAGGGCCAACGGATTTACCAGAATTTGCCTGAACTGGTAAAAACAGAGAATGAAACTGAAATGGCTTATACGAAAAGGAAGCTGCAAGAGTTCTTTGTGCCCAAGACAAATATAGTGGCAGAACGTTATCGGTTCCGCAGCAGAGGTCAGTTGAGTTCTGAGAGCACAGCCCAGTGGGTCAGTGTACTACGACAAATGGCTGTGTCCTGTGACTATGGTGACAAAACTGATGAATTTATCCGTGATCAAGTCGTGGAGAAAACAGTATCTGGCAAGCTACGTCAACGCTTGCTGATGGAGAGTGATTTGACTCTTACCAAAACTCTGCAGCTGGCGGAAACAGTCGAAACAGCTGACAGGGAGGCCCAGGCGTTGCAGCACAGGTCTCCTGCAGAAGTTCGGCTTCTCCAGCAACCTGGTGGTCGACGGGGTGGTTCCGGTCCAGGTGCCCGAGCTGGGCCAGTGCATCCAGCTGCTTCAGCGAGACGGCCTGGACCTGGGCTCCATGCCCAGCCGGCACGAGCACCGCCCAGGCAGGCAGCTTCTACAGCAAATCAGCCCGCTAGTGCTACTAGATCTACTCTGCCTGCTACTCAGCCAGGTTTGAGGGAGAGGGAACCCACTTGTTTTTGCTGTGGGCAGTTGGGACACTATGCTAAGTCCCCCGCTTGTCCTGCTAGGGGGCACATCTGTCAGAACTGTGGGAAGCGTAATCATCTGGCAGGTGTCTGTCGAGGTCGTCGAACAGTGGCTGGTGTAAATGCAGTGACACTTATGTCTATATGTGCTACAAAGAGGGGACAGCTGACAATACCAGTGTCTGTTGAGGGCAGGTCAGGTGAAATGGTAGTGGACACAGGGTCTCCAGTGTCTGTGGTACCTAAATTCCTGGTCAAGGATGCCTTGCTGGAGAGGAGTGACACCCCACTAAGGTCATATGGAGGTGCATACTTGCAGGTGCTGGGTACATGCAGTGTAAATGTAACTTGCCGTGACGTCACAAAGATGGTGAAAGTGTATGTGGTGCCACATGGTAGGCCGTTGATGGGACTTGACCTTATGAGAGAGTTTGGTGTCAATATCGTAGATACTGAAGTGTGTGCTGTGTCTGCAAAACAGAGTGGAGTTTCCAGTCAGACAGCCGAGCCGGCTCACAGAGACAGTGTCAGCTCACCGATCAGTGGGTACCAGCATGAGGTCACGATCGACCCGACGATTCCACCTGTACGACAGGGCCTGAGGCGCCTTCCTCTCTCGGTTCGTGATGAGGTTAGTGCTCGTCTCAGAGAACTAGAATCACAAGGGGTGATAGAGCGTATACATGCGAGTTCTTGGGTCTCTCCGATTGTAGTGGGAAAGAAAAGAAATGGGTCTATTCGGATTTGTGTTGACATGCGACAGGTCAACCGTGCTGTCATTACTGATGCGTATCCGATCCCACATATGGATGATGTGCTCTCGCGTCTTCATGGGTCTGCTGTGTACTCAGTATTCGATTTAAAGGATGCGTACCATCAGGTGGAATTACACCCAAGGTCGCGGGATCTGACGGCATTTATCACGCACGAAGGGCTGTTTAGGTACGTGAGGTGTCCATTTGGTCTCGCGTCCAGTGGACCGGCATTCCAGGGGATCATGAACGATATGCTCCGCGGTATAGATGGAGTAGAGGTCTACCTTGATGACGTAGTAGTTCATGCTGCGACTCAAGTAGAGCACGATCGCCGAGTAGCGCAGGTGCTGGAGGTTTTCAGGCGACATAACGTACAAGTGAACCATGCGAAGTGCGTGCAGAGTGCTAGGAGCATTCATTTTTTGGGCTTCATCGTCTCTCAAGGCAGGGTTGAACTGGACCCTGAGCGTCTTGCTCCACTGACTGAGGCACCAGAGCCAGACAGTGCTGCCAAACTGCAGTCATTCCTTGGCGCTGTCGGGTTCTACTCTAAATTCGTACCGCAGTTTTCCACGATGGTCGAACCGCTACGGCGAGCGGTCCAGCGGGAACCATTCGAGTGGTCCACTGATCTGTCTAGACTGGTCAGTGAGGTCAAACAGGCGGTGATTAGGTCCCCATCATTAGCACTTTTTGATCCGAGCTTACCTACTGTAGTCACTACTGATGCAAGTGACGTAGGCCTCGGGGCTTACATTAGTCAGTTCAAGGGTCGTGAGGAGCGTGTGGTCGCTTACGCTTCACGTTCGCTCTCTGCAGCGGAGCGGTCGTACAGCACAGTGGAGAAGGAAGCCTTATGTTGTGTATGGGCGGTAGAGAAATGGCACACGTTTCTCTGGGGACGCCGTTTTCTACTTCGTACAGATAACCAGGCGTTGTGTACGATATTTGGGCCCAAAGGTTCAACACGTGCAGGGAGACGTATCGCGCGCTGGGAAGCGAGGCTTCTGGCGTACAGTTTTGACACTGAGTATGTGCGATCGGCCCAGAACGGCGTGGCGGATGGTCTGTCCCGCCTACCTGTTAGGGACTCTGAGTGGGAGGATGACGATAGTATTGAGATAGCAGCGCTGTACAGTGACAATGGTGCTCCTAACGCCATATCAGAGTCTGAATGGCGACAGTATAGTGCAGATGATAGTACTTTTCAGTTGCTTAGAGGTCATATACAGTCAGGGCGATGGCCTCGCCGATGCTCGGCAGAACCCGAGCTGCAGCCATACTTTTCGGTTAGAATGGAGTTGAGTTGCCAGGGTTCGCTGATCTTTTGTGGTGACAGACTGGTTGTGCCGACGACTTTGCGACGTCGTGTGGTGCAGCTCGCCCACGAGACGCATCAGGGCTTGGTGCGAACTAAACGTAGATTACGTGACAGGTACTGGTGGCCGGGTGCTAGCCGGGAGGTTGATGAGGCGCTGCGGTCTTGCCAGCTTTGTGCGGTTCATTCAAAGTCGGCAGTGCCCTGTAGTCCTCCTCTGCAGGCAATACCTCTACCGCCCGGGCCGTGGCAGCACCTAGAGTGTGATATCATTGGACCCCTGCCCGGTCCAGCTAGTGAGCGTTTTGGTCTGGTTCTAGTCGATGTGTATAGTCGTTGGCCTGAAGTGGCGTTTGTTTCCGAGGTGAAATCTACCCAGGTGATTGAGTTTCTAGAAGCCGTGTTCTCACGGGAAGGAGTACCTTCCAAGCTCCAGACAGATAATGGACCTCAGTTTTGCTCTAAGGAGTTTCAGGACTGGTTGCGTTCTTACAATATTACATATGCACGTAGCTCTACCTACTCACCGCAGACATGTGGGATGGTCGAGAGATTAAATCGCACTATCAAGGAGTCTGTGGCGACGGCACGCCTGATGGGAAAGCCAAGGGCTGCTCATGTCCGATCATTCCTTCAGGTGTACAGGAGCACGCCTCATTCTGCTACTGGTATTTCGCCATTCGAGGCGATGCGTGGGGGCAGACGAATGCGTACGCGTGTAGACTCGAGTGTAGTGCCTGCTGAACATGTGAACGACGCTCGCGTGCGGGATCGTGTGAATGCATATCAAAGCCGGTATGTAAACAGGCACAATGCACGTTGTCGGCGAACTCTGTTACCCACATGGGAAGTCGGAGATTTGGTGCGTGTGAGAGATCCGGTAGCCAAGGCGCGTGTGTATGGTGAGGTCCTTCGTGTGGTGCGGCGCACAGGGCCAGTGAGCTATCAGTTGTCGGACGGTCAGCGGGTGCATGCCCGGCGACTAGTGACTGCGCGGTCCTTACCAGCAAATGAGGATGCAGATGTTCTGTGGCCTGTAGACGTGGGAGGGCCGAGCCGGGCGGAGACGGTGGCGGTGCCTCCAGTTCGTCGGTACCCGGAGCGTAGCAGACGGGAGCCCGATAGGCTGACTTATCACTGAGCGACTGTATGTGTTTGTTCTGCGCTGCGTTCTGTACTGTACCTATGCATTGTATATTTCAGAGGGGGACGATGTTGGGTTTGCCGATAGATGGCACTGGCACCGGCAGTGTGCACCGGCTGATGGCGATCAGCTGCGCTAGATGGCACTAGGGGTCAGGAGCAGCTGACTGCGATCAGCTGTTGGCCGGAGATAGGAGAATGGTGCGGCACTGAGTTGGTATTGGGGGAATTGCGCGTTACAATGAATACACGAGGAAGCAGGAAGAAAAGTGAGCTGTTGCTTGATACGCGAGAACACAACAGCTGTCACTGTCACCGCGCTCCCGGCGGCCCTCTGCGCCGGCGCTTCTTCAGGCTGGTGTCGCCGCCGCCGGCCGCCTCCTGTGTTGTCCGGTTGGGCTTCTTGGTCTGTGTCGTGGTCTCCTCGGCTCCGGCCGCCGACCAGAAGGGCGCCGTCTGGTGCGGCGGCTGGTAGCTGCCAGCGAGACGGTGGTCACTGGTCAGCGCGCAGTGCGCACACCACTGATGCAGCGGTCAACGTCTAGTGCAGCGGCGGTCAGCGCACAGTGCCCACACACTACTGATGCAAAAGGACACAAAATTAATCCTGAAAGTTTGCTGCACCAGCTTCCAGAGTGTGAGAACTTCTTACAATCGTGTTAAAGGAAATCCTGTTAGCTTACGTGTTCAGAAAGTATGAATAATAAAGCAATGATGGGTGATGACATACCTGGGGCTATCTGGGTTAAGTGGAGTTTTGGATAGCAGTATGTGAATTGCTGGAATGTCCTTATTAACCTTCAACGTGTCAAGCGCTTCATTTTCCTTTGGCTTCCAGACTTCTGTAGATCTGTGAAACAAAATGTACGGTTATACGGCGTGTTTGAACGTCGCCGTCCACACTAGATCAAACGGTAATGCTGCAATGATGCTGCTTTGGGAGGCCGACATTTATCGTTTATCCCAAACGATTAACTTTTGTCCATCATCTTCGTATTATTAATGGCAGTAACGTGGCAGTTCGGCATCTTTTTAATGAAAGAGCAGACGCTGGCATGGTGCCAAACAACAGCTGGCAGCAACAGAACAGCAACAGATGGGGGGGGGGGATGAACAGTGAACCTCCACAAGGTTTTCGGCGAATATTTTAGGACAGACAAATAATTTAATGATTGAGATAATTGACATTCAATGGAAATCGTTCTAAGTCCCGATCCCAGTCAGTCCCTCACCAGAAGTCACGATACTAACCTGTGGTAACAGCAGTGTGTCTCCTGGTGTAGCTCGCCGACGGCCTTTTTCAGCAGCTCGGCGCTCTGGATCGCCTTGCAGACGGCCTGGCCGCGGCCGCTCCACAACACGTGGTCGTGCGTCTTCAGCTGGGTCTGCACGTAGCCGACCATGTTGGCCACTCGGCTGGTGGCCTTGACCTTCATCCAGACGAGGTCGTCGGGGAGATGGCGGAACGGCAGCTGGGCGGGCTCCAGCGGCTGCTCCACCACCTCGGCGCGACGGTAGTGCTCCATATCCGCGTGCCAACCTCGGTGTACTGATCTCTGACCTCTGGGAACTGGGAATGTGATAAATTGATGTGTGAGGCTCTGGCTCATATATGGCACATTTTGAATTTCATCTTTAAAGATGTCAAAAACAGTAAAAACATTAGAATAATCTTGATCACCTTTGCATACTGGAATAATAATTGCAGAGCTGATTAGAGAGGCACATAGAACATCATTTGAAACATAAATAGCACCTGGACATTGTATCGTTAATACCATGTACACCGATCACGGATGCGTGTAGTTATAGCAGGTACCTATACTACACTGCTACCTACCTTAGCTGTGAAAAGTAGCACTAAAAAATGTAGCTGGCTGTAGTTGCAGACAATCTGACATCTTAAGAAAATTCACAGAATGAATAGCTATTATTGCTAGTTGCTCCCGGTCCGTGATTAGATACCTACCTATTCAATTTGCCTGTCCTCACGACTCACGAGACCACCCCCTGCAGCTTGTGCCCAATAGTATACTTATATCAAAGAAAAACCTGGGTGGTAATTGACAGGACAGCCAGCCGAGATGGTCCGTTAGAACCAAAAGATATCATCTCGCACCAAAAGCCACGAGAGTCACTCATTTTTTTGGAGTTTCCTGCATAGTGTTTTTGTCAGCCACTACACTTAACATTATATTCCTATAATTTTACCCTTAACCGTTCACAGTACCTTCAATCAGAGATCACCTCTCCAACTCCTCTCATAAATTATTTCAAATCAATAATTAACTGCCTCTCAAGCACCCAACGCGCGCGCGCTGCTGTGGGCGTCTCGTACGATCACGATACGTCTCAATGGTCTCATGCATAGCTACAATAATAGCGCGCCTGCTTCATTCAAAACCACAACATCTAAAACACAGCAATAGGAATATCTGACGTCGGATTAGACAAAAAAGCAATGAAACAAGCAATGAAAAATATAATTTTTTGGCTAAAATGTAGCTGAGCTAAGACTGGCTGATGAATGGCACCCTAGGATAGATTTTGGGTAAAACTCTTTTTATTTACTTGCATATATCATATGGGGCTCCTGTTTGAAGAGGAACTTTTTGGTTACTTGATTTGCTGCATCACGGTGACTGCTGCATCGCACCGTTTCTTATAGGCTAGGTACCCATCTTGGCTGCATCATCGATGGCCAATTGTTCTTCATCGTGCGAAGTTGAATTGCATTGAAGTGCTTTATTTTTGGCCCTAGTGTACCCTGGTGCTAACACGCGAGACGGTTAAAGGAAATAGTTCACTTTCCTGAAATTAGTATTTTGCTATGGATTTATGTTTTTTATGCTCAAAATGATCAGAAAATAAAACCAAACGTTTTTGTAAAAAAAAAGATTATTTTCTATATTTTAGTATAAGAAGAACTATATTCTATATAAAATAATGTTTGACGCGGAAGCTTATTACGCGTTGACCAATCATATTGCGTAGGACAAACCCATCGGCTGTAAGCAGCATTCTGATTGGCTGACGATGACGTGACTGCATTCCTCAGCAAGGCACGCATTCCTCTGCAAGGCACTCTTTTCGAAACAAAAAATGGAATATCTTCGTCTAGGGTGATCGTTGGGCCGTAAAAGCTTCTGATTTGTGCTAGTCTCAGCGCAAGCAACAAAACTGCTATTCCAGTTACAAACCCCATGTTAAAAGTGAACTATTTCCTTTAAGAATCAACGAATAGAAGGTGCTCTCCATGCTGCCGCTATAGTATTCCTATTCCAATTTCAATTTACCTATAGAAGGCAGCCTACTTTTCTTATTATAAAATGGGATATACCCCCATTGAATGTACAATTTTTTTGTTAGGTATCTGATAAGAAGGTGAGGGGACCTATTTCACTTCAAGTTAAATTTTCACAACTCACTGGCATGTCAGTTCCTCTGGCACGAACCTTGCTAAATACTTCCTTAAATGACATCAACACTGCTGGAGTAGCTTCAGAAACCTCTTGTTAGTGTTCAAGCCAAAACTTGACCCCTTATCTGTGACACTGCATTCACTGGAGCCCTAAATCAAAATGTGAAGATCCCTGATTTTGGCCTTTACCTGATGCTGACAAGCAAGGCATAAACCCTGACAAGTCAGGTGACATTAAATTTGAAATTTCAGAGCTGCTTCTGATGTTTCTTGGCGACACCCTTCCACGCTGATTCAGGTGTCACCCTACAGTGCTTAGTTTTGGAAATAATGTGGTAAAATGTCAATGGCATGCGGCTGAATGCTTAGTTAAGGGTCGGTTTATCATAGAACTTGTTGAACATTTTAAATGGTCTTCTGTTGGCCTCAACCTTTTGTGTGATGTGGATTCTGTTTTAGGGCATTGCTCTATTTCCAACTCTGCTTCTCTTTTACAGGATATTTAATGCACTATTTGTTTAACGGCTTCTACAGGCTTGCACCTGTACGCACACTGCAAATTAAAACTTACATTAGAAGGATGAGTACCATTCGAGAAATTGAAATACCAGTGCCTTGGGGCCACATTGCAGGTGAGATATCGTTGCATACCTGTTAGTAACAGGTTCAATATGTGACTCACTTTGCTTACACTGAGTGATTATTGTTAAGCTCTAAATGCAAAAGTCACAGGATTGGTTTGATTTGATCGATTTATGGCTGGCATGTTTTATCTGGCTCCACCTCGGCCGGCAGGTCGGGAGAGCGGTCCTGCCGACGGCCGGCCGCTGCTGATGCTGCACGGCTGGCTCGACAACTGTGGCACCTATGAGGCCATCCAGACGCACCTGCCGCCCACTTACCGCTGCGTCAACATCGACCTGCCCGGTGAGCGCCCGTCGCGCGGTCGGCACTGTCGGCAGAACGGTCACAGCCGACAACCGCGGCCTATCACCGCACTGTACCCAACGATGCGTTATTTAGATTCCCACCTTATGCTAACAGCTTTCTAGGAAGCTCTTGTGTGTATACCTATCTTTTGTTGATGTTTTTTGTGCGTTTTCGTTTTTAGTCTATGTCTTTCGTGACTGACGTATACACTATTAAAGGGACCCTCCCACCATAAAATTAGATTTAAGTTGAGATAGCCAAAATGGGGTCCCTGGCTCACAATTACCGGTTTCGGCACTCACAACATCGAGAAATGCCTTAAATCGGAAATATTGAATTTCAAAATTGCAGCATTTTGATTCAGAGGGGCTAATGCATAGGAATACCCCTCTGAATGTGTGACGTCATCACAGATATCTAACGATTTTTAAATGTTTGACTAAAACGTTTTGTAGCACGCGGTGGTATATGCTGCGTTGCGCGCAACAAATGCCGCACTTTCAAATGAAGTCGCTAGGAACAGCGGAGATCCCAAAAAGTAAACAAAAGTAAAAGTCTAATATCTTGAAAACCGGTGAATATTTTTCGATGAAATTTGGTAGATATTCGTTTTTGCTCTTTCTGAACCGAGCGACATCACTTTCATGCCAATTCATTAACTTTTTTGAAGGTGGGAGGGTCCCTTTAAGTACATAAAAAGGGATGCCGTTTGTTGGACGATGCCGATCATTCCTCGACTAGTCTGTGTTGTGTAAAGATGCCCTAGCAGTGACCGCTCTCTGCTGTTTTGGTGACCGCTCTGTGCGTTATGTCCCACCTGTGACCTCTCCGCGCTCCGACAGGTCACGGTCGGTCCAGTCACCTGCCTCCCGGACCGATGATCGGCAGCGCCATCGCACTGGGCACCTACGTGGTCCGCATGGTACGCGACCACTACGGCTGGAGCCGGTTCTCCATCATGGGTCACAGCATGGGCAGTGGTGTGGGCGTGCTGTATGCCGCCTGCTTCCCAGAGGACGTGGCCTCACTCACCATCCTCGACCTGGTGAAGTTCATAACGCGGCCGGTGGAGCAGCACCCGGCCAACGCGCGCGAGGCCGTCCTCTCCTACCTGGAGGTACAGAGGAAAATGACCACCAACGAGAGGCCGCAGTACACGTACGAGGCGCTACAGCAGCGGCTGATCAGCGTGCTGGGCGGGGACGTGGACGCGACGGCCGCCGACGCGCTGCTGGCCAGGGGCGCGCGCCGCAACCCCGACACGGGCCTCTACGAGTCCACCTACGACCTGCGGCTGCGCACGCGCACCTTCCAGTCGATGGACTTTGTGGGTTGGCGCGAGTTCGCCAGCCGTCTGCGCTGTCGGCTGCTGCTGGTGCTGGCCGAACAGGGCGGCACGTGGATCTCGGCGGAGGAGGAGGCCGAGGCGATCCAGACGTACCGGCAGGCGGTGCCCGAGCTGCGCCTGGAGCGGCTGCCCGGCGGACACCACGTGCACCTGACACACCCGGAGCGCGTGCTGCCCATCATCAACGAGTTCCTGACGGCCGAGCCGGACACGGCGGCGGTGACGACGGCGGCAGCGACCGGCCGCAGCGGGCTCTGACGAGTGGGCAGCTGACATGGGCCGGTCGCTCTGGCGGCCCGATAGGCACCAATAGAAGTTCGTCGTGACTCGCTCGTTGTGCGTGACACGCTCGAGCCTCTTTATATGAAGATGACTCTAGATGGTTATACTTATCGCACGCTGCTCGATTGTGTAATGCTGCGCCATCAGGGACTAGATTTAAGGACCGCACACCGCACGGCCTTTTATCAAGTAATGGACGAACATAGCTTGTAATGGTTACGAACTTCCCTCGTGATCGGATGGCGATAGTGTGCTCCGAATCGCACCGCCGCGCTGTACCGCTTGAATTGATGTTAATTTCAGACCACACCATACGTTAGTGAGTTGTCACTATTGTAAATCGTATGTTCATGATGACACAACATTTTTACGTACAGTCGTCACCGCGATCGACTGTTGGTCAGTCACATTAGGCGTAGGTTTCGGTGGATGCGCGGGCACGACTGTTTTTCGACGGACGCTGTTCGTTTCGTTCGGTCTGTTTTATTATCGTTCTGTGTTCACCCACGGACCACTGTTCTGTGATGGTGTATGACGCGCTAGATTTGCGTCTTGTGAAGATGTCAGGTTAGATGGGCGCATTTTACGTGTGCCATTTGAGACGGGTCACCCGGCATCTCCGTGTTACGTGTCTCCCAGTTCAGACATGGCTATCAGTTATAGTATGCATGGAGTCCCTGTGCATTCCTGGGTCATTTTCAGGGAGCTTAGAGTCGAACAGATTGCGATGTGAAAATCAGGAGTTTCGAGTATTTTGGACTTGCGGCCTTGGCAAGCCCCTCACGCCGCTAAACGGCCCGTTTAAAAGTACTTTTTCCTTCCCAGTGTTTTATTATATACTTTCGTGACAAAGTCCATCAGCATCAGCCAAGCAGCATGTGTTCTGATTAATTATCCTTTTACCTCGGTACATGTTTTCCATGTCGTTATGTCTCACAAAAGTCGAAGCACAATGGAATATTTATCAATGTGGTTCTGTGCCAACCGTATGTGTAGCTGTGGTCCAATATATCACGTGAAGTGTCACGGCCAGCATGATGCCTTGCTTATTTCATTGTCCCACGAGTATCTGCTCAGAGGTTTTCCAGTGGCACTCTGTGCCAAACTGAGTGCCCACCTGGTATATCCAGTTTAGATGCCCATTGATTCCCGAATGAAGTCACGACCGCTGGCGTAATAACGACAAATCGTGCAAAATGTGAACTGTGATCGTCAATTGCATCAATTTTACCGAGGTAACTGCAGTGGGGGCGTGGGCCATAATCCTGCCTGCGAATAACTCAAGCCCAGCAGTTAGTGGCCCGCGAGTCAGTGTTCCAAAAACCCACGGCCCCAGCCCAGTCGAGAGTGAGACCATCCTCTCCCAAACGATGGGTTATCTCTGCTGCACCCAGACCGTCCTTCACCACCCCGCCGCCCCAGTAGAGCACTCGAAATCCGACCGCCTTCATAATGCGCATAGTCTATTTGCGTCCAATCTCACATTGCCGCACGTACAGAAAACAGAATGGCTATATCAAACATCCACCGGATCATGAAATGAACAGTATACAGTATACACAACATACAAACACAACGTGGCGTGCAGTTCGATGGCTGTTGGTGGCGGGCGGTGCGCGGTCCGGCACCGCCAGTAAGTACAGAGCGGCCGGCCGCCCGGCGACGCCGTCGCGCCAGCGGCCGACGTTAAAGCTGTCGTCACCAGAGTCGGGGCGGCGCGGCGCGGCGCCGCCTCTACAGGAAACAGGCACAGTTAAGTACGCTGGAGACTAGACCGAGGATGGGCGGCGGGCAGCGGTCCGGCGGCGGCGGCGGCGGCGGCGGCGGCGCGCCGGGCTCGCCCAGTCACAGGTAGCGGTACTGCTTGAGGCAGTTGTTGCCGAGGTCGACTACCAGCACGGAGCCGTCGTCGGAGCAGGCGAGACCGGCCGGCCGCCGCAGCCGGCTGCCGTCCGAGTCGATCCAGAACTGCAGCTTACCCGTGTCCAGGGAGAACACCTGATGGGCAGGCCAGGGATGTTAGTGAGAGACGAGACGGGCGGAAGGCCACCGGGGGACGGGAGGGGAGCGGGCACTAGCAGACGGACGGACGGGGGTCGCCACTAGAGGGCGTACAGACGAAGAGCCGGTACACAAGGGGCGTGGGCGATGAACATATTTGTCAGTTTGGTCAGGGTTCCAAACACGCCAGTTTTCATGAGATGTTTGTTGAGCAAATCCATTCCGTTATAGTAATTCCGCTCTCCGCTGACACAGCAGACTGGCTGGTGCGAGCTGCCGAGTTCATGTGATTGTGCATGCTCGTGTGGCTTACCTGTACGTAATGCCGAGACTTCTCGGTCCTTGTGGCCAGTACGTTGCCGAGGAGGTCACAGGTCACGCCGCCGTAATACCCGCGAACTGCAACACAGCATATTGCACATTTATAAACAATACCATTACCGTACATCAGTCATCAGCATATCACCTATAGTTGTTTTGCCCATTAGCTGCTCCATACCTATCTTCACTGATTACTTAGGTCACTAGGTGGATGATGCTTTCAGCGCTATCACTGATTTTTACATTGGAAATTAGAAATGTAAAAATGCACACCACACAAAGTCCAATAATGCTCAGCAGCCAGAAGATTGGTTCTAAACTGCTCTCGCGGCGCGGTCGTCGTCCACTCACCGCTCGGCTCGGCGATCATCTCCCGCAGCAGCTGGCCCTGCTCAGAGAACACCTGGATCCGAGAGTCGGCCGCCACCAGACAGCCGTCGGGCGCCACGCACACGGCCGACAGCAGCCGGAACTGGCCGGGCCGCTGGCCGCGCTCGCCGACAGTTCGCAGCAGCTGGCCGTCCCTGCTGAACACCAGCACCTGATCCAGCCCGTTGTCGGCCACCAGCAGTTCTCCGGCCCGGGACACGGCCACGTCGATGGGCGCCTGCAGCGCGTCGTGGCTGAACTGGCTGACCAGCCGGCCGTCGGGCATTACCTCGGTCAGCTGCCGGGAGCGCCAGTTGACCAGCACCAGCGAGCCCGTCTCGGTGACGGCGATACCGGTGGCACCGCGCTCCTCCAGACCCGAGCCGAGGATGTGCTGCGTCACGCGCAGCTCCCGGTCCAGCACCTTGACGCGCGAGTTGCCCGTGTCAGTGACGTACACGGAGCCGTCGGAGGCGACGGCCACTCCCACCGGCTGGCAGAGCTGGTCGTCGCCGTCGCCGCGGGCGCCCACACAGCGCACCGGGTCGTTGTGCTGCGACACGTCGAACTGGAGCGGCGCGCGCGCCACCGGCCGGCCGAACAGGCGCACGTCGAGCGCGTGCGGCCCGGCGCGCCGCGGCCGGAACGTCAGCTGGTACGTGCCGTCCTGCAGGTCCGTGATGCGCACGGCTGACTCCTGGCCGTCCGGATCGGTGAGCCGCGCCGTGAACGGGTCGCCGCCGGCCGTCTGCCGCTCGCCGTGGTAGTCGAGCGCTGTGAGACGGACCGTGGCCCGCAGGTGGGCGGCCGCGTGCACCTCTCCCAGCTGACACAGGCCCGGGAACGTGCGCGAGGTGCGCACCCGGCCGAACGCGGCCAGAGCCGCCGCCAGGTCACCGGGACTCGAGTTGTGCTGGTACTCGTAGCGTACAAAGCCATTCTCTCGGGGCTCGCTCAGGCGACTCACAGAGTCGAGCTTCTGATTGAGCTCACTGATCTGACGTGTGATGTTCCGGACTTGAACCTGAGACAAGAGAAAAATATATCAGTGGAGTGGAGAAATCACAGGTCAATGGACGCTCCACGAGCGATGTAATGCACGTAATAGTCAGGACTGAATGTCCTAGCAGGATAGGTCGCTTACGGGACGATAAAATAGCTGCGAACAACGACGCATCGTCCGCAATGTGACATTTAACGACCACTAGCCTTGTCAACCGACTAACTGGCTCGGTACTAGCCTTCTACTGACCTGGTACTGCTGCCCGTCGCAAGCTGGCTCTGATCCGTAAACTCAGCGCCGCCAAGTAACCCTGTAACTGGTACTAACCTGGTACTGCAGCCCGTCGCATTGGCTCTGACCTGATATTGCGGCCCACTGGCCCAGCACTGACCTGGTACTGACCCGTGGGACAGGTACTGGTACTGACCTGGTACTGCAGCCCGTCGCACTGGCTCTGCGCCTGGTGTTTTAGCCCACTGACCCAACACTGACCTGGTACTGACCCGTGGGACAGGTACTGGTACTGACCTGGTACTGCAGCCCGTCGCACTGGCTCTGCACCTTGCTGCGCTCCGAGTCGATCAGCCGCAACTGGTCCTCCAGCACAGTCTTCTTCTCGTCACGGGTCTCCTTCACCTGAAGACAAAGAACAGCGTCACTAAGGACCACGTCTCAGTAGAAGACTGAACACGCGGGCTGAAAAGGCAAGCAGCTGTGACAGAAACGGAAGCCACTCTGGGCCCCAATGAAACTGATGAGTTCCATGACGAAACCAGGTCCTATAAGTCAATCTGCCCGACAACATAAATATGGAAGGTAAAGAATATGAAGTTTGAGTCCATTTTGGTCCTACGGTAGCAGCAGGATATAACAGTTGATTAGAGAGAAAACAATAATCGAGGAATCGATATAGTTTTTATCACAAATTGCGCCTTAAACCATCCATTCGACACCGGCGCCCGTCTCAGCTCACTTGGTTTGGCTCACCGCTCTGCTTACGCTCAGTGTGGCTGAGTGGTCCACTCGGTTCACCTAATTGAGCAGCTGCACCCGCTGCGACTCACCTGACTAAGTAGCTGCTGGACTCTCCACGGAACTCACCTGACTCAGCAGCTGCTGGACCCTCCACTCGACTCACCTGACTGAGCAGCTGTGCCCGCCGCCGCTCGAGGCTGTCGATCACCTCCTGGAACGAGGTGCTGATCTGCTCGAACGTGGCGTCCACGCCGTGCTCCAGCTCGTGGATCTCGGCCTGCACCGCCGTCTTGGCACGGTCCAGCTGAAATAGGCAGACCGTTAGCATTACGGACGCACGAACGACACACAACATGACTTTAAGACAGGACTGCAACTTACCCGACATAGGTCAGACAGGTGGGGAGTGCCAAATGAGCGTTAAACAACATACCTCTTAACCCGCGTCGGGCCGGTGCTCCGCGACTTCCGCGCCTGGCCAGGGGGGGGGGGGGGCGATACCTCAACAAATACCTCTTAACCTCAGGGGCACACAGAGGGGTCACAACTCACAGGTGCATTTTTCCGATTCAGTGTGTCATGTTTACCTATAAACCGATGTTTGTGAGGGTTTTTAACATCATTCGTCCAAACTAGGCGCATTTCAATTTTCTCCCATTGACTTATAACGGAGAGGTCGCAAAACTGACCTGACCTTATGTCACCGATATCAAAACTCCAGAGATATACATTTTGTACATACTGTTACTCTTATCAATCGCTGGAAGTTTCGAGGCGATCGTTTTGTCGGTGTAGCTATGACGAGGATTCAAACTTTTTCTGAGGTGAGGTCACTTGACCTTACCTGCTGACCTGACATTGAAAGCCCTGGGTCTGAAATTTTCACAACATGTGTGGAAAAGATGCATGAGCAGGTGTGCTAAAAACCGCAGGGGGGTGTTCAAACACCCCTCCCCCCGGCCCGGCGCGGGTTAAATCGTGACCGTCAGATGAACCTTTTGGAGCTGTAACACCAGATCAAGCTGTCTAGAGACAGGATACACAGGTGTGTCGCAGCAAACATGCTTCAGCTGTTCTAAGCCATGGTAGTATGGTCTGATAGGAAAAGAGCATGTCATGGGTGAAAACGAAATGAGCGTATTATCCGGACATTCCTGAGTGGTAATACAAGAAAGTTAACACTACAGTTGCTCCAATAAGCTCTCACAAAGCTGAGTCGATCTGTCTCTCCGAGCTGACTGACCTTTGAGATGCACTCGTTTGCCTTGTAGAGGAGTATTTCCGACATCCGTTTGATGGCTATGGAGAATGGTACGATGGTGTGTTCGCAGGAGTCACTGAGGCCGCCGTGGCCCGTTTCCGTGCACAGCGCACAGAACACCGTGTCGCAGGTCTCACAGAACAGCAGGTCCTGTAATCACCACAGAACGAGTCATAGAACAGGTCCTGTGGTCACAGAACACGGTGTCAGTCTCACAGAACAGCAGGTTCTGAGTGGTCACAGCAGAACAATTAGTTAGATATAAAACAGGCAGGTCCTGTGCCTCTGTAGTCACGGCAAAACAGTGTCACAGGTCTCAAAGAATAGCAGGGTCCTTTGGTCAAAGCAAAGCATCATGTCACTGCAGGACTCAGCTACAGAACAAGAGGACGTCCCGCAGTCATAGCAAAACAGATCTCACAGAACAAGGATGTCCTGCGCCACGTATCCCACAGACAGAGCAGGCCCTTTGTCCTGTGCCGTTATATTCATAGAACAACAAGCATATCCTGTGCATTTGCGAAAAAAATGTTGCACAAGTCCCAAAGAACAAGAGTAACTATAGCGGGCCTTGGTCATAGCATTTCCCGAAGAACACCAGCCGCTAAACAACTGATCCCTCCCCCCCCACGCCACAGGACGGAATCGGTCACGATGCCACAACCCGTACATATACCACACGGTCACCCAGAGTACGTGACCTCAGCCCAGCGGCCACCCTCCTCCCTGTTTGTTTATTGGGGCTTTAGGGCGTGCCGATTGCTGTGATCGCTACCACTGACCTCTGTCTGGTGAGTGGAGCACTTGGGGACCACCTCGCGTCGCTGGCGGGACATCAGATCGAGCAGCTGGTTGACGACGAAGCTGGGAGGCAGCGCCGCCACCCCGCCGGTCGGGAGGGTGATCAGCGCCCGGCAGATCGGGCAGCGTAGGGTTCCTGTTGGCGGGGGGCTCAGGTCAGACAGAGTGCTCTGCAGAGGCGCCGGGCGATACAGGACGGGATGGCAGGGGAACAGCGGCCGATACAGGACGGGACAGCATCACCGGGTGAGAAGGCAAAACAACATCGCCCGATGCATAGCGAGCCAGCATCATCGTTCGATACTTGACAAAATGACAGGATACCATCGGCCAACAATGGTTAATAGGACAGCAGAATACCACCGGCCGAGACATGGCGGGAAAACGCCATCGACCAACACACCACACACAACCACTACCGAGTCCGGCGGCAAGGTACATGGTCGGACGTTAGACCGGGGTGCGGCAGCGCGCTTCCAGCTCTGGCTAGGACGCGACTGAGCAGCGGATTCGCACGGCGCCCCGCCCGCGTCTGACAGCGCCAACAGTGTGTACACAGTGCGGACGAGCGGATAATGGTGGCCCAAAGTCTGTCGGCGGAGGAAACACGGTGCCTACGATCGGCCCGGAGCGGTGTAGGCATTTCTCTGAAAACTTCCGGAGTCAGGTGTATGCATATAGGTGCTTACTGCCTAGAAATAACGGCGCAAAGCAGAAAGCACATATCCCTGGTATGCCGGGCGGTGTAATTGTAGCGCACTCTGTGGATGCGTCTTGATCGAAGTTGTAACTACTTAGCACCATCCGTTATATGCCGGTCGGAGAAACCGTGTGCACTTCAGAACCCCAGAAGGGTGTTTGTGTAGGGGAGGAGGCGAAGGGAGGGGGGGGGGGCAGTATGCGTTGTTATAGTATTTTTCAGTCGGTGTTTTGATAGAATATGTTCGATATTTAAGTAGAACCCAGTTCCTAGTTAGTTGTGTTGGTGAATGAGGCACGGGTCATTATTTTAGCAAACCCGGTCGGCGTTTTAGTGCACCCTGCCGGCGGGTGAGTTCGTCAGGAGGAGGGGCGACTGACTGACGTCAGCTCGGGGCTGGCAGACGGCCAGCGGCGGCCGGACTGTATCGACTAGGGCCGTCGCTTAGCGCTCAGCGGCGCACGAGCGGACTTCGACCGGTCCCGACCCGTGGACCAGCGAGCATGGAACGCGGTGGGAGGGACGGGACGAGACGGGACAGCCAACAGGGGCGGAGTCACCACCCCTCCGGCCGGGGGGGGGGGGGGGATCAGTCGCCGGACAAAGAGACAGCAAAGGATCGGTTCGGGTGGTCCAGCTCCCATAATAGACCCAGGCCACAGCAATAGCGCGTATGGTTTTCAGTCATCGCCACTCCTGGTAATAAATCCACGTGGGGAAAGAGAAAAGAACAAAGAAGAAACAGCAAAGAAAGAAAATGCACCAGGGAAAAAAGAGCAAAAAAAAAACGTACGGAAAAATAAGGAACGAACAAGCGACACAAAAGAACGAACAAAAATAACATTCAAAGACACAAGTCTTCCACTTCGCTGGATCATTCACTGAGAGAGCCCTCAGCTTCCACTGGTTGTCCCACCAAGCCCTCAGCCAGTTGACCCAATAACTCCACTCTCGTGAAACTGACCCCTCAGCCCACCAGTCTAGCCCTAAGCCGCGTCCCCGGTCACCCCGAGTCCGGTCTCACTGGCTACTCACCCGGCTCCCGTGTGTTGGAGGTGACGATCCGCGACAGACACTCGAGGCACACCGTGTGCGAGCATGGCATCAGCTTGGGCGTGTGCTCGGCGCCGTTGTAAGTACCTGAAAATGATGGCATAGGTCCGTAATTGTCAGTGGATAACCCGGTCCTCCTGCTCCACATGTTATAACATTCAGCTCACGCTAGTAATGGTGGTCGATCGCAAAATCACTGAACATGGCCAGCGCAGAATATGGTCGGCCAAAGGGGGGGGGGGATCGTTTGAACCGAGATCTTATAATATTATGAGATCTCTGTGGTTTGAATGAATCACTATCTGAATTTTAGGACGACAGATGCCAAAACCTCTCTTCAATACTCGATGAAAAGTCTCTCCTTCTAGTTGGAGTATTACTATTCGTGGATGACTACCTTGTTATCTAAAACGTCAACAAAAGAAATACTGAATTAATGACAATCAATCCCAAAAAGTATACACTTAATCATAGAGAACTCAAAGCCTATCAGTTTGTCTGTGTCACCAGCTCACTCACATAAGCAGGTACCGCACGTCAGGAAGCTCTCGTTGAAATCGTCATAGTTGATGGAGACCGTTTCCACCAGCGTCGAGCTCATACTGGCTACTTTCCTTCCAAGTCTGTACCTGGGTAAAAAAGAAAAACAGTCAGGAAAACAGAACAGCAAACACAACCAATATCAACTCAACAGATTATCTGTTATTGACTGATCTAACTTACTTAAGTCTGTCTAGTTAGCAACCAGACAGAAACTGGAAGGGAACTAAGAGGATTCAGGGGTCAATGAGGGCAAAGCTTCTTAAAATTTCAGAAGATTTGTCTCCTTTGACATCCAACATGATGCAACTTGTAAGTAGTCATTAGGTAGTCAGCCACAGCACCTCTTAACACCTATGCAGCTTGTAAAAAATATGCAAGCTCCATTTTGCCACACAATATTTACTGCTAGACAACAGCTACTGGCCTGGGTCGATCATGAGTTGGTCCTGCAAAACATGAAGCTTGAGCTGGGTCTGCCACTGCAGAGGGTTTGAAATTGGGTTCTGGAGAGAGCACACTATTAGGCCTACTTAGCCCAGTGACAACCAATGACAGTCTGACTGGCTTCTACCCTTTGGTAATTACTTTGAGACTGACATGCTCCTCTGCATTGATATGACTACCACACAGTTTGTCCTTGTACCATAATAATTAAATGTCCACTGAATGCATATCATGGTCACTTCTATTCCAATATGAAGGATGGGCTCAAGCTGACAAACAGAGGACCAAATGTCGAATTAAAGTTTGCTGAACTTAGTTCAATTACATTGGTATCTAATCGATGAAGCATGGAGTAGCCATTGCATGGCTGAATGGAACAAATTACATTAGGTAACATCTTGGGATCCATCCACTATGGCCCATGCAAAATCCCCACAGTGAAGTCTGCATTAGGTAGTCACCTACATAGTTATCCTGCTTTCTTGATTGTTGTGCAAAATCATTTGAATGGCAAAGCATAACAATCTCAACAAGATCTCATCAGTGCAGGGTCATTCAGGCCAGTGTAAGTAGTGAGGTGTTAGCGTTAGTTCCCAGTGTTGTGATGCAGATTTGCAGTGACAGATCCAGGGGAGGGCAAACAGGACAATTCCCAAATTGATATGGCAAAATTTTAGCATTATTATGCCTATCATACAGTGCATGGAAAAAGCCACTAAAATGCTACTGTTTGCCCCTCCCAAAACTCTGGGCTGGATCTGCCAGTGCAGATTTGGTGTGGAGTAATGACTGGTGGGTGGGCATTAGGGAGAGGTGGCATCAGGGTGCATGTTTGGAGATTGCAACACAAACTGTGGGACTTTTTAATAATATTATTTCCAAGTCTTGTAGCTTGTAAAATTTAGGAAATTATAGACTATTATTTTGGCAATTTCTATTATCTATTTTTTGGTGATGCAGTGACACTCGTTACGGTAGCAAAATACGCCCGGAGGGCACCTCTCCCGAATGGCCCCAGAGCGGTGCAGGCCCCAATTTGATGGATACTGTACTGAACTGCTGTGCCAGTGCTTGCAAACTATCATCCAAAATGATATACAGGTCAGGAGACTCAGCAGGGCCAGCAAGGGAGATCACTCGGTGCCCAGTGGCCTACTGTCAGAGAGAGGCAGTACAACATGATTAGGCACTGTAAGCCTATTGCCTGTGCATGATGATCATGAAAGAACCTTTGTAAGAAATGTTAACAAGTATAATTGACAATGCAATGAAGACAAAATAAAGTGACATGAAAATGTTTTGCAATGCCCTGCAAAATTCATATTAAAGCTTGGGGCTCCTTCATCCCTGCATAAAATTTATCACCCAACATTGACATTAATCAAAATGCCAACGACCTAATCAATAACACATCAAAATCTCACGATATGTAAAAATGCTGCAAAATGCAGCTTCTAATGCATTTTGATGCAGGGTTTTTGATGTGCTTTGTTGACAACAGACGTTCAAGGTTGTGCATAAACAAGCCCAAGCGCAGTGAATCTGGCCTCATATTCTTTTAGCTACTGCTACCATATAAAGTTTTTTTTTTCGTTTCGAGGAACAGGCATTTCCGATTTTGCAAGAAATACACAAACATATTGGGCTGGAAAGAAGCATTCATTTGTCATAAAAGCTAACAAAAATTGAGAAAATAAGCACTTTCTGGCAAGAAATATTTGACTATCAGATATGCAAGAATCTCAAATTTTTCGATAAAACACGTACGTCATCAAATTAGGGAAAACAAACGCCCATTTCATCAACCCGATGGAACTTGGAAGCACTTCAAAAGTTCCCTGATCCGTCTCAGAATGTTTATGGTCAAGTTGAAAGGGCCTTGCTATAGGTCTGATGGCCTTGGTCAAGTCGAAGAAAATTGATGGTGTCTACGCAATAGATAAATACCTATACCAAAACATAAATTTTGGATTCAGGAATGGGCACCGGCTCTTCGTAAGCCTCAGCTGCAAGGTAAGACTGTCGAATCGGTCGAATCGATTATTTCAGTTTTCCATGTTGATGTTGATACCATGGAATCCGTCATCCCCAAGGCTATATAAACCGTCATCCCCACGAATCAGCAATCACGACGCCCCCCCCCCCCCCCCACACACATATCAATATTGTTGACTGTTGAGTAGGTACTTATGTTTCCCGCCTATTTTCCAGGCTGTGCCACCAGACACGGACCTTCGGTGGCGCCGACAAGACAGGCCCCATTCGTATGTCAATTTTACCGGCGGTCGCTACGTCAAAGTGTTCCTACGGGCCACTGTCACGGACTCACGAACCACTGCGATCAATCAAGGTCAAAGTCGGCGTGACTATTGGCACGGCTGGAAAATCAATGTGTTGTGGCCAAGTGAGTGGCGAGTGCTGCGCTCAGGACCGACTCGGCGCTGAGCTCAGTCGGTCGCGGTTTGGGTTCAGGGTCGATTGCTGAACCGACGTCCGATACTGTCCGGTCGAATCGAATCAGTGGTAGATTATCGCTGAATATTGCCGACACGATGATGAACCGGTGCTGAGTCAAGTGAATCCAGCGATGAATCGGCATTAGGCGGACGCTGCTGAGCTCCGTGCTCACTGCAGTGCTCAGCTACTTACTCAAACACGGTCTCGACAGGTCGAATTCTCGAGTAGGTACCGCCCACCAATCAAACCAATCAGCTAGCCACACATTTTGAACGGACAACTGCTGTGAGCTGTCCAAGTGGGAAACCGCAGCTATGCATCGGATTCGGACAAAGTGGACTGGAGTGTGGAGCCCATCCAGACTTGTCTTGATACGCAGTGCAGTATGCGATGATCCGGCAATGATCGCTCCGTCATCTCCGACTTGTCTCTAACGGCCCGGGCCGCACGTGATCTCTCGGCGGCCGGCTCCGGCGCCGGCTGGTCGGTGGCGCGGGTCAGTGCGGACGGGGTGGGTCGCACAGGCGCCGCCCCAGGCTGGGCGTCTCTATCGACCGCTGCGGCACAGCACGAGGGGTAGATCGTGATCGCTACGGCGGTATAGGGCACCCGACAGTCCACGGACCACAGCGGCTGCACGGTGCACAAAGCACATTCTACGGCCACGGACAACTGGACAGCCCAGAGTCCGCAGTCAGTGCGACTGGACAGTGTGCAGTCCCACAGTCACGGTGATTAGCCCTCAAACAATGCACAGTCACGACGACTGGAGACCCATCGCTGAAACCAATAAGCATCGCCTGATGCCAGCACAGAGCGAACGCACATATTCCAGCCTAACAAAGCGACGAGCTCTCTCCGCCAGCCGGATTCATCGCAACTTTTCTCTCAGATGTCGGTCGATATCGGGATCGAGGAGCAGCTGGCCACTTATCGTGACATCTGGACGGCGGCCAGGTTCGACCGCACGACACAACGAGGATGGCCGGTCGATTGGCCTCGTGGCGTGTGTTCCTATATCCACCGCATGGATAGTTCGCATCGTACTTCCGTCCGGGAAGAGTTAGCTCACAAAGGTTGACTGTCGAGTGTTCACTGGCCCTGGGTCGAGGTGTGAAAATGAACTAATGAACGGATCGACGGGCCATCACCTCCGCCGCATCGCACGGTCCAGTTTCTGAATCACACGGTTGGTGTAAGTCCGGAAATTTCCGCCGTTGCTCGAGTGATTCTTGGTCAGTGACCAGCCACGCTTTAGGCGAGGTGCACTCTCATATATTGCGCGATAGGAGGCAACCAGACAAAGCAAAGCCTGATTGCAATAGTATCAACGAGATACCAATATTTTCTGATGCGCTGTGGCTAAGGGAAGCTGCCGGCGTGCTGTCGTTCGTCGTCGCTCCGCGGGCCCGGCGGTGGTCCGCTGCCGTCCAAGGCCCGACCACGCCCATCGCTCGGCGTCACCTTCCCACCAGTCAAGGTGACGGGAGGAGGCGGGCCGCCGGGGCCGGTCGGTACCTACCCGGTCCTCCCGCCGAGCCGCAGTGCCGCCGGCCGGCCGGACACGGCGCTGAGGCGCTCTTTACTGCCCCCACCTGCGCGCTGCGGAGTTGTTCCGCCCGGGAGCGGCGGCAAGACGGTGGGATTTTTGCCGGTACTACGGGCCTGTACCGGTACCAGTGTGACCGGTGCTGACAAACACAGATCTGTGACCTGTGTATACCGGCACTACACACTGCTACCTGCTCCGCTCCGGACACACACAGACCGGTGTCAGTACCGGCGCCACACTGCGCCATAAGGGCTGAGTCAGCTGGTAAACTCGTCACGTTCCCCTGTTTGCAGTACGGCAGCCGCTCTGAATGCGTCACGTCACATGTCCGTGCTCCCCGCAGTCGATCAATGCAATGGTGGCGGCGGAGCGGCGGGCCGGGCTGTCGGTGGCCGTATACCATGGTCGGCTCGGGCCCCGGACCGGAGTTATGCTCGACCCGGGCCGGAGTTATGCTCGGGCCAGGCCGGTCCAGTCGGGTGCCGCGAGGCCGCTCACCTCCGGGGGCGCGGCCGAGCCGTGGGAGAGGTGACGCCGCCTCCCACGGGGGCGGAGAGTTCAGCGGAGGCGGCAACCGCCACCCCACACCGCCACAAACACCCACCTCGGTATGACTGAACTGCAGCCGTCTGGTGCGAGTTGTTCAAAACTCGGTGTGGCACTGAAGCCATGGGTTTTGTATAGGCTTGGTAGTTGGTAGGGCCTGAGCCCTACCAATAATTTCCGAATTTTAACATTAACCCCATGGCGCTGCATGCTAAGAATGGTTTTGGTATCCTAAAATTAACCATTATAGCCCTACCAATAAATTTCGGAAAGTGACACCCGTGACTGAAGCTGGATTCTTACATCGGCATCGGTGGGTAGTCGACACTGCATTTATAACCCCACATACATGCACGCTACACACCGCACAGTGCACACATGTGAGCATCTATAACACTTTGAAAGTAAGCAGTTCAGTGCGGTCACTTTCCGTCTCCGTCACATCACCTCTCGGTCTTCCCTCCCTGTCTCCGAACCTGTCCCTCCCTGTCTCCGCCTCTCTCTCTCTCTCTCTCTCTCTCTCTCTCTCTCTCTCTCTCTCTCTCTCTCTCTCTCTCTCTCTCTCTCTCTCTCTCTCTCTCTCCGTCTCTCCCTGTCTCCGCCACTGTCTCTCCCTGTCTCCACCGCTGTCTCTCCTGCTGAGATCGGTCCCGAGAACAGCTCCGGGCTCAGCAGATGCCCGCCCGCTGAGCACCTCGTCCCCGTGCCCTGGATAACACCGTACCGTCCGGTCCGACCGGCACCAGCGTCCAGGGTAGTACAGGCAGCTGCGCAATAGTCCGTACCTAAGGTCCGAAACACCTAAACAACATATAAACAAACAAGCACAGGCAGCTGTGTCACGGAGATGGCAAGTCACCAGTGTGACGGGAGAGCACAGCCGGACCAAGCACCGCCACGGTGTAATGTCATGTTCTCAATGGATCGCTATCTGCCTACCATCCATCATCCGTCTCGCGTTCACCTCTGACACACTTTGATTGGTAATGCAGACCAGACAAGTTTTCCTTTCAGTGGCTCCCATCAGAAACCGCTGTCCGCAAACGTTCAGCGGTGCCCTGCTTTCACGGACGGCACGGACCGCTCGCCGTGCCGGCCGTTGTGGCTCACCACCTATCGCCAGGGAGATCTATTCTCGGCTGTTCCGACAGTTTTTCGAGAGTGTTTGTCTGCCCGGTGCCTTTCCTTGAGTCAGTCAGTTGTGTCTGAGACGCTGGAGCTCGAGGACGAACCGACGCGACGCGTCTCTCTTCTCCCATACCTCTGAGAGATGTTGGGTGACCTGGTGGTGGGATCGGGTGTTTGTCTATAGGATGGACGGTCCGGTCCACCTGGAGTTAACGGTTCAGTAATGACTGGTGCAATAAAAACAGCTTGAATGATTGGCTTCACCAACAACCCCGTCATCGACCGGCTAATGCAAAATTGCCGCAAATTCATGCATGAACAAGGAAATGTTCATGAGATATGCACGGATTTTACATTTAGGCCGGGGGGATCCAGGGCGTCGCAAGTCCATTTACGACACGTCGCAAGTTACGACACATGTCCCGTCGCAAGTTGTGTCGTAGCGAAAAAGGAGGGATGTTGAGGAAAGAGGGGTTTGTCGGAGGATACGACAGAACGTAGCTGCGACAAGGTTTAAATACCCGCTTTACTCGAGAATTTAAAAGGCTACACGATCAGCTGATCCCGTAGTAAGCGTCAGTAAGGTCGAAAACTCTATCAAGCATAAAGGAACATTCGCCCTTCTGGTTTGCGAGCTTATGAGACAGCCAGTTCAAGCATGTTCTCTGATTCTGAAGCTTTGTCTCAACTGGGTGACTTGTGGTTGCTAACGCTCACGTGAGTTGCCATGAATTTTGGGATCGATCACAGGAGATTCGTGGCGCTATAGGGCATCTAGAAGCGATGCTTTAGAAGAAATGAGTTAAGAGAGTATGAGGTCACAGAGAGTTAGTAGAGTTGGAGATTGAGGTCACAATTGGATGTTACAGAGGTCATCTGGGACACTTCAGGTCACGGAGGTCAACTTGGGGTCATCACAGAGCTCAATTGGAGACCACGGAAGTAATCTGAGACACGTCAGGTCACAGAAGGCAACTTGGGGGCAGGTCAGGTTACAGAGGTCAACTCGGGGTCATCACAGAGCTCAATATGGGGTCATCTGGGACACGCCAGGTCACAGAGGTCAGCTTGAGGTCATCAAAGAGCTCAATTGGAGGTCACGGAGGTCATCTGGGACACGTCAAGTCACAGAGGTCAACTTGGGGTCACCACAGAGCCCAATTGAAGGTCATGGCGGTTATCTGGGGCACATCAGGTCAGATAGGTCAGCTTGGAGTCATCAGAGGGGTCACTTAGAGGTTACAGAGGTCATATGGGACACGTCAGGTCACAGAGGTCAACTTGAGATCATCACAGAGCTCAATTGGAGGTCACGGAGGTCATCTGGGACACGTCAGGTTATAGAGGTCAACTTGGGGTCATCACAGAGCTCAATTGGAGGTCATCTGGGACACGTCAGGTCACAGAGGTCAACTTGGGGTCACCACAGAGCTCTATTGGAGATCACGCAGGTCATCTGTGACACGTCAGGCTACAGAGGTCTACTTGGGGTCATCACAGAGCTCAATTGAAGGTCATCTGGGACACATCAGGTCACAGAGGTCAGCTTGGAGTCATCAGAGAGCTCAATTGGAGGTCACGGAGGTCATCTGGAACACTTCAGGTAACAGAGGTCAACTTAGGGTCATCACAGAGCTCTATTGGAGGTCATGGGGTCATCAAGGTACACGTCAGGTCACAGAGGTCAACTTGGGGTCATCACAGAGCTCTATTGGAGGTCA